GCGTCCTTCCTCGCATCAACCGCCTCCTGCTCCCTCCGCTCTGCCTCACCCCTAGCACTCTCCGCTTCAGCTTGCTGCCTCTCTGCTTCCTCTCTCGCCTTCTCCGCCTCCTCCGCACGCCTCTCAGCCTCAGCTCTTGCACTCTCCGCCTCAGCTTGCTTCCTCTCTGCTTCCTCCCTCCCCCTCTCTGCTTCCTCCCTCCCCTTCTCCGCCTCCTCCATCCGCTTCTCAGCTTCAGCCTGTGCGTTTTCCGCCTCGCCCCTAGCCCGTTCCGCTTCCTCTCGCGCTGCTTCCGCCTCCGCCTTAACCTTCTCTGCCTCCTCCCGCGCAGCTTCAGCCTCGTCCTTGTCCTTTTCAGCCTCTGCCCTAGCTGCATCTGCCTCTTCCTTATACTTCTCAGCTTGCGCCCTCGCTGCCTCTGCCTCCGCTCTCGCTGCCTCAGCCTCTTCCTTATCCTTCTCGGCTTGCGCCTTGGCGGTTTCGGCCGCCTCACGCGCGCTTTCCGCCTCTGCTCGCGCCCTTTCCGCCTCCTCCTTAGCCTGTTCCGCCTCCTCTCTCACCATCACAGCCTGCTGCCTCTCCGACTCCGCCTCCTCCCGCGCCTTCTCCGCTTCCTCCTGCTTCCGCTCCGCCTCCTCTCTCGCCGCCTCCGCTTCCTCTTGCTTCCGCTCAGCCTCCGCGCGGGCCGCCTCCGCCTGCTGCTGCTGCGCTTCCGCGGCCTCCCCCGCTCGCTCCGCCTCCTCTTTTGCATCAGTAGCCGCGTCTCTTGCTTTCTCCGCCTCTTCCCTCGCCTTCTCAGCCTCCTCCTGTGCCGAAACAGCATCTTTAGCCGTATTCTCCGCTTCCTCCTTCGCTTTTTCAGCCTCCTCTCTCGCCGCTTCAGCTTGCTGCCGCGCCTCCTCAGCTTCCGCGCGCGCCTCTTCCGCTTCCGCCCTCGCCTTCTCCGCCTCTGCTTTTTCTCCTTCCGCCTGTGCCCGCGCCTGCTCCGCTTCCGCCCTCGCCCCTTCCGCCTCCTCTCTCGCCTTACCAGCCTCTTCTCGCTGCGCCTCCGCCTCTTCTCGTTGCGCCTCCGCCTCTGCTCGAGCGCTCTCCGCCTTCTCTTTCTCCGCCAAGGCTTCTTCCCTTTCCGCCTCCGCCTCCTGCTGCTTCCTCTCCGCGTCAGCGCGAGCACTCTCCGCGTCAGCTCGAGCGTTCTCCGCGTCAGCAGCTGCGGCCTCAGCCGCGGCCCTGCTTTCCTCCGCCTCCGCCTTCCGGGCCAAAGCCTCCTCCCTCGCCCTCTCCGCCTGCTCGCGCGCAGCTTCCGCCTCCTCCCTCCCCCTTTCCGCCTCCGCCCGCGCCCTTTCCGCCTCTTCCTTCTCCCCAACAGCCTGCTCCTTAATCTCCTCAGCGTCCTCTCGCTTCCTCAATTCCTCCTCCAAACACTTCTGCAACTCTGCTTTCTCTCCTTCCACACCCTCTTTCACCCTCAGCGCATCATCCCGTTCCTGCTCCGCCTTCCTCCTCCCTTCCTCCGAGTCCCTACAAGCAGCCTCCACCAGCTCTTCCATTCTCGCCTCCACCTCTTCCTTCTCCCTCATAGCCTGCTCCTTCTGCAATTCCGCCTCCTCCCTCGACTTCCTCGCCTCATCCCTCTCCATCTCCGCCTCTTCAAGCTTCCTCTCCATATTCTCCTTCTCCTCCCGCACTTTCCCAATCGCCTCTAGAGCTTCTTTCTCCGAAGCCACACGTTTCTTGTTATCCTTTGTAAGCTTCTCCACTTTCTCCTTTAAGCTGTCATGCACGAACTTATACTTGCCAAGATCCACCTCCATAGCCATAAATTTCTCCTCCATTTCCTTTAACTCCTTATCTTTTGCGCCCATTGCGGCGCCACTCCCTCCAACAATTTTGCTTTCCGCCAATTCTTTCCTCAGCTTTTCAATTTCTGCCTGCATCTCCCCAGCAGCGTCCTCAGAAACTCCACCTCTCTTCCATGATTCAATTTCTTTCGTCATCTGCCCGATCTGCTCCTTTGCTGCCTTCAACTCCGCTTGCATGTTCTCCATTTTCAGTCGCATGTCCATATTCTTTATTTTCAGCTGCCCGAGCTCCACTTCCAAAGCCACACTGGAGTCTTTAGAAGCCCCCGAACCTGCAGAACTGGGTCCGCTTCGGGCCGAACCGGCAGTACTGGATCCGGTTCGGACCGAACCAGCAGCACTGGTCCCGGTTCGAACCGAACCAGCAGCGCTGGGTCCGGTTCGGACCGAACCAGCAGCACTGGGTCCGGTTCGAACCGAGCCAGCCGTACTGGTTCCGGTTCGGCCCGATGCAGCAGGTACAGGGACGGCTCCCCCAGACTGAACGGACTTGTGCCGAAAAGACGCGACTCTATCGGCGACACTAAGCTTAGCGGTGGTCTTTTTCTCTGGTAACCAGTCATCGTTAGGTGACGCTCCATCTGCGAAACCACAGAATCGGCCGAAGGTGAGATAAACGTTATCACAGAAACAACAGAAGAGAAAAACTGAAGACCGTACCTTTTCCGGACATTGTTGCGAGGGCAATCGACGGTTGCCGAACTGCTATTGGTGCTTTAGGTAGTAAAACTGACCGCCAATGCCGTTGTCAGATACGGAAAGAAGGATAACTTGAGTCCTTAGATTGCAAGGAAGGTTGGGAAAGAAAAGAATAAATAAAGAGGGTCTTCGATTACGCAGTCAATGATCTAAAACCCTGTGATGACAGAGTTGCAAAGCGTCTCAGAACATTAGTCCATAATGTCCGACGAAAAGCGGCATTAGCTATTCCCGCCGTACATCTTTATTAACCAAGACACTCAGTCCCTGGGTGGGCCTACCAATTCAGGGTGATGCAGAGATGGATCAATCGTCTGTGGTTGGATGAAGGGAAATAGCTCCTCGATGATTGAGTCTGGGGCGAAATGCAATTCCAATGTCTGCTGCCTCCAAGTAGCTGCCTATAACTCGTCGGTTGGGTTCGGTCAGAAGGCTATTCAGGCGTTCTCAACGTGACGGAACGGAACGGATGGAAGGGATAGGAACTGGACCAGATGGTTGGTTTGGGGTGGAACGGAACAAAACGGAGTTTGGACGGAAGGGGGACGGGTAGGTTAGCATATTTGCACTTGACGTGGAAGGCTTGTCGTGTGTGCTAGGCTGCCTCGGCACGTCGAGCCTAGCACCCTATCAGCAAGCCACGTTCGGCAGTCACTAAGGGCGCGTAACTTTTTCACCTTTCATCGTCCGGACGGAGGCCCCGTCCGGACTTCTGTAGGGTAACCAATTTCGTAGCAGTCCGTTTAGATGTTCGCAAGACCCCCTGCGACGTCGCTACCGTCCGGACACAATCTGACACTTTTCTGCCAAAAAGTGGTCCGGACTAGCCTGCTGACTCCGTCCGAACGGCATTTCGGACGGTCCGTTTTGTCTGCGCTGTGATTCGGCCACGAAGTGAATGATTTTCCAACCAATAGGATGCCGTCAATTTTTGGTGGCGAAATCTCCAAGGGCAATACGATTTCTGTAATGCGTGTTATTATTCTTGGCGAGATTCTACATTTTCGATAGGGGAAAAAGTTGCACAATTGTGGTCCGGACGCCCTAACGTCAGGACCTGCTTCCCAAACGTCCTGACGGAGCTCCGTCCGGCCGGTTTGGAGGCTCCGTCCGGATATTTGATGAAAATGGAAAAAGTTACGCGCCCTAAGGTCCGTCCGAGACCACCCTGTAACGAGGAATCAAGAACGTGGAGTGCTGATGTTTCTTTCTAAGATTCGTTTTTATACTGATGCCTTTTTGTGTAGAAACTTAGTTATTTCATTTTGAGGGCATAAGCCGTTCAACGGCAACCGCCACGTCACCAATAGGCCATTTTTTGTTCGGAGAAAGGGCTAGCCGCTTCGGCACTTCCCAGACCGTTTCCGTGCCTCCAATCAACCTCCCTCGTCCTCGCTCAGAGGTTTCTAGCCAGCCCTCACCGCAGAGGGCATCACCAGGTCTCACCGCAAGCACGTCCTCGCAAGGCCTGTCAATCTGGCTCGGAAGCATCACAACAAGCTGGTTCGGTTAGCCGCGTCGCTAGATTCAAGACATTTTGACATTGATTGATGGCAATGTCGCACCACGAGAATTGTGCTCCACGCGACGACAATGACGACGCACATCTTCTCTTCAGCTCTCTTTCGTCCCTAGTCCCCCCGACTTCCTTTGTTTGCAGTGCTCAACACTTGACGTTCGTGGAGTCACCACACTTTCGTAGCTCCAGATCAGACATGAGTCGCGCAGCAATGGCAGTAGAGCAACCGCCTTGCTCCAAGAAAACTATGTCGGGTTAGCAGTAGAAACTGGAGACTATGTCGGGTTTGCATTAATTTATGTTACAGCAGGTTCAGATAGCCCGCTGGCTTTCGTGACTCCCTCCTGTCCATCGACTTAGTTGATCGGAAACGTCTAGGTTATAGCAGCCATCTCCCATCCGTTTTGTACCGAATAGAGCTAGCAATGGCAGTCAACGTTACCCTCTTCGAACCAGAACAAGCAGCTCTCGCCAAAAAGATGGACTATCTCAAACGTCTCCATAACGCCGACGACGAGGACGACAGTAACGAGGATGACTCCGACGAGGGTTCAGGCGAATGCAGGATGATACGGCGAGAACCGATCAAGAGCAGCGACAGCAGCAGCGGCGAAGGTTCCGATGACGGAACAAACAGCTCTGACGACGGCGGCCCCAGCGACGGCACTTGCGGCGACACTTGCGGTAACGGCACTAGCGCTGACGCACCCATTGGTTCGGCCGAGCCTGGCCCCAGCCCTGCCGCGTCCACGACCCGGATCGGCGAAAGCGGCGGGTTCAGTTTCAGCCGAGACTACTTCAACTCGCTCGCCGCGGCTCGTGACGCCGGCAGCAGCAGCACCAGTAACCGGCGGGCGAGTTTGGGCTCGGCTTTGGCTGCGAAACGGGAGAATCGGGTGGAGAGTCGATTCTTGGAAATCGAGATGCAGAGTCGGTCGTCCCAGGCTGCTGGGGCGCATGACTGGCGTGCGGCTCTAAAAAACCGGGGCCGTTCTTTCCAAACGATGCACGACTGGGGCGCGAAGCAGGAGGACCAGCAGCAGCAGGTGGAGAGTCGCGAGGGCCTGCGAGCGGGTGACGGCTTGCCGGAAGCCGGTAAGTTTACCGGCAACTGGACCGGGCCGTCAGACGCCGGCAGGTTCACAGGCGGGGATCGCCCATCGGAGACGGACAGCGGATCTTCCGACGTCAGAAAGGAGTTATTGAACAACAACGGCTCGTCTTCTTACGTCAGCGGGTCAGCGGTTGCTACGGCGTCTTACGCGGCGTCGCAAAGCCAGCGCGAGGCTTGTGAACCGGGCGCTGTTAGCTCCGCGCGGTCCGCGATGGAGGAGGTGCGACGCGTGGAGAAGAAGATGGAAGCAATGGAATCCCGGCAAGGAACGCTTAGAGCTCCTGAGTCGGACCGGGCGGTTGACGCGGATCGGTCTCTCGACTCGAACGCTATGGATCGCACCATCGAGTCGCCTGAAGCGTCTTCTAACGCGCTACAAAATGACGCGTTACAGAATGACGCGTTGCTAAACAAAGCGGCTATGGAACGAGCGATAGAAGCCATGGAACGAATCGGCACGAGTGGCGGCGGGGACGGCGGAGGCGGAGGCGACGAGGGAGCTGGGGGAAGAGCCGGTGAGGGGGACAGCGGAGACGCAGAGGGGGGGCGGCGGCGGGGGAGGGGGAAGGATGTGGCGGAACTCGAGAAGGAGGTCGAAGAGGCGAAGCAAGCGTCGCACCGCATAGCCGTTATGTTCTACCAGCAAGACCAGGAGCTTAAAGACCTGAGAGAGAATCACCTGGCGCTTCAGGAGGACCATAAGCGCATATCGGTTCAGCTACAAGCGGCGCAGGCGGAGACGGACGAGCTGTGGAACCAGCTGGCGGCGGCGTCCCGCCAGAAGGAGGCGGCGGAAGCGACGGCGGCGGAACTGCGCCTGAAGATCCGCATGCTCGCGGGGAACGTGGAGGAGCTGGAGGGGGAAGCGGAGGCCGCCGGGGGTTGGGGCGGCGGGGGAAGAGGCGGAGGCGGAGGAGGAAGCGGAGGTGGAGGTGGGGGAGGGGTTGGCGGAACGACTGCCGTGGAGGGAGTTAGCAGTTTAGAGTCTGATCTGGTTGGCTTGCGGAAACTCAAGGAGTTAGAATGGGAGTTAATATCCGCGCGAAGCGCGCGCGACCGCGCTATGACCGTCTTGGCGGGAATGAGAGAGGAGTGGAATAATCTCCGCAAACTGCGCCTGCAGCTTGACGCGCTGACGGCTAGCAGGGAGGTTGCCGGCGGTTCTGCTGGCGCCAGCGGCGGCCGCGGTGCTCATGCGATGGACCGCGCAGCCAGGGGGAAACTTGCTGGGGAAGACGTGCGGGGAAGGGCATATAGCGGAACGAGACGGGGGGAGGAGGACGCGGGGGAAGCGGGAGGGGATGAGCTGTTAAAGGGAGTGGAGTCGGAGATTGCGGAGGAGGCGGACAAGTGGCGGAAGGTGGTTGGTCAGCTGCAGGAGGACCACGTGCGCGCAGTCGTGGAGGCGCAAGACGCGGCGGAGAAATGCGCGGGCGCGCGGAGGCAGGCGGAAGCCGCCAGTGAAGAAGCGATGAGGCTTAGGCGGGACATCGAGCGTGTAAGAGAGGAGAAGACTATAGCAGAGGAGGATCTGAGGGATTTCCGCAAGGGTTGGAAGGACCTAGCCGGGCATTTAGAAACTTTCGCGGCTAAGGTGAGCGAAATGGATGCGGAATTAGCGGTGAAGAGAAAGGAGAGAGAGGTGATGGCGATGGAGATCGAACGGTCCGTGAAAGAGCGCGATCTGATGGCTGTGGAGATCGGACGGGTGAGAAAGGAGCGAGATTTTATGTCGGTGGAGATCGAACGGCTGCGGAAAGATCGCGATCTGATGGCGCTGGAGATCGAACGGCTGAGCAAAGAGCGTGATTTTATGGCGGTGGAGATGGATCGGCTGAGCAAGGAGCGCGCAGAGGCGGAAGAATCGGCGGAGCGCGCGCGGGGGGAGATGTGGGGAGAGCGGGAGAAGCGGCTGGGGGAAGTGCAAGAAGCGGAGGAAAAAGCGCGGAGTATTCGCGAACGCGCGGGGAACGCGTTAGAAGCATACGCGGAAGAGAGAAAAGAGATTGAGAATATGTTACTGCACCGAGTGCAAACCTTACAGTCGGCGGTGGAGGAGTTGCAAGGGCAGCTTGATCACGTGCAAGGCGCGAAAAGCAGGCTCGCGCACGCCGCGGGGGCGTTCATGCGGGAATTTCAGTACACTGGCGCAGGGGGAGGGGAACGGGGAGGGGGAGGCGGAGGCGGAGCGGAAGGAGGGAGGTTTCGGGAGGCAGCGAACGAATATTACAGCGAAGGCGGGGCTTCCAGGGGAGTGGGCGCAGGGCTGGTCTTCCTGGATGATAGAGGGAGGGTGGAGAATCTTGGCCTTCCATCTACCGGAGATGGTTTGGGGTTCAAAATCGGACGGTCGTTAGAGCAGGGCTTGTCTGGGCGGCAGATAATTGAAGAGCTGGATTATCTGTCCGATGGCGGGGGCTTGGGAGGCGGTAACGGCCGAGCCTCTGGAGCAGGTCGGGATGAGACGGTCCGAGGCATGGCTGGGCAGAGGGGCGTTGGATCAAGAAGTGGTGGGCGAGGGGCGATGGGGATGACAGCCGCAGCAGCAGTGACTGCTGTAGACTACGGAACATCATCCATTGGGGGTGCTGGTGGTGGTGCTGGTGGTGCAAGGAGGTGGAGTGCAGCAGCAGAGCTTGAGCAAGCTTTACAGGCAGATAGGGGTTGTGGTGTGGGGAGCAATGTGGATGATGACATGAGGTCAACACGCAGTGGGGGCAGGTCAAGGAGGGCTTATGGCGGAGGAGGGACAGGAGTAGGAGTAGGAGGAGGGTATGGTGGTGGTGGTGCGGGGGCAGGGTTGCAGGCGAGGACTCCGAGGGAGAGTGCACGGGCTGGCGTGTTTTCAGACACATATGCTGCTCCGCGTTCAGGTACGGGCCTTTTCTTCTATCATTCTACCCTACATCCCACTGCCATTCTCGATTGCACTTCATTTTGCATTCCCCCCCTCCTCACCGCCTACTTTTTCAGTAGTCAGCTTCACTTCTTGACTCTAAATCCTTATCAATACCCTATCCTCCCCTCCCCTCCCACACCCTGTCCTGTTCTCATTCCTCCCCAGCATCTCGAGGCAGGGGCGGACTGCGTGGTTCCCTGGAGGAAGACGATGGTGCCGATGCTGTGTCAATCGCCACTTCGATTCGTCGGGAGAGGGAACGCGAGCGAGAGCGGGACCGAGACCGCGGCACCGAGTATCTGCAGCAGTGCGATCGTGAGCGTCGATTCCGGGATGAGAGGGAGGACGACGACAGGATATCCGTTCACGCTCTGGAGAAGTATGCGCCGAACCTGGCTCGCAGTTTGAACGTTGGCGGCATTGCATCTTCAGGAGTAGCTGGAGGTGGTAGGCGTGGGGTTGACGACGATGAAGATGCCAGGAGTGTTAGCAGTCGTAAGTCTTGTCTCTCAGGTGCTTCGAGAGGGAGTAGGTATTCCACCACTTCGTCTGGTGCTGCTGCCACAGCGGCAAGGGGAAGGACTTCAATGGGTGGCGCGACAAGCTTCGTGTCTCCGAGGGACCATTCAACACTTTACTAGTGGAGAGACTTGTGCTCTCCAAGTCAATATGTAGGTGTTGTGTGGATGATGCTAGTATGTTTGCCTGCACCCGAAACCCTATTTTCTGGATTAGGACCACTTGAGAACCATGCCTAGCTGTATGTATTTTTGTTATGCATATGTAAGGGTCTAACGTTGTAATATTATCTGCCACTTTACAACCCATTGTATGTTTACGGGGCGGCTCCGGCGCGTATGTTTTGGCCATTCAAATTGAGACTTCAAGGTCACGCAGCCCTCGCCTTGCCACATCTCTATTCGGCTCGGCGACTCCGAGCCTCTTGTTCAAATTTCGAGACACGCGACTCGTTTTCCCGCCACGCATGGGCCTGGTTTCTCTAACAGCCACCATGCCGAACCGAACCATCCACCAGCGCCGAACTGGCCGTCGAGTCTCATGGCCGTGCTTTGACCCTTGCCTCACCGTGCGGTACGGCTACATCCCCTTGGTTTTCTCAACAATCCCTTTCCAAGCCCTGGCTCTCAGAAGCATGCCCTTGCGATTTGCTTGTGAACAAGTTTCCATGTTCCACGGTTCTACAATCTCAAGACTGAGCAGCTTTCCAGGGAAAGGCAAGAGCCTTACGTGAAATTAGATTTTCTAGCGGGATAGCCGGATTGCTATTTCAGCCTGTGGTAGTCGAATTAGCATTTATGTAGACAAAACGTATGCTACTTCAAGTGCGCCCTCATTCGTAGCCCTGCAGCTTAGTACAGGAAACAGAAAAGAGAATGGCGGGCGATTCAAGCGAGGACGAGGTAAGTCAGAGTACCGATAGCTCACTATTTTTTCTTTCTTTCTTTGTTAGTCTTCATGAGCAACCGTACGATCTACTGAACGTGCCTTCGCTGTTTCGCTCGATCGCAGTATATTCCCGAGGAGGCGACACCAAAAACCGCAAAGAAGCGTAAGGCCCCGAGCAGCACTCCACGAACCACTAAAAAGGCACCTCGCACCACCGCCGCTTCGCCAGCAACCCCCTTACCCTCCGCTGACGGACCCCCATTAGTAGAAACCCCTAACGCCGTCGGTCCAGATGGGAAGACGATCGAGGAGACTTATCAGCGCAAGACGCCGCTAGAGCACGTGCTCCTCCGGCCGGACACGTACATAGGTTCGGTGCAGACGCACGTGGGTCCGCAGTGGGTTTGGGAGCAGGGTCGGATGGTACACCGCGAGGTTCGGATGGTTCCGGGGCTGTATAAGATATTCGACGAGATTCTGGTGAATGCGGCGGATAACAAGCAGCGCGACCCGAGCATGGACGCTATTAAAGTGACCATCGATACCGCCAAGAATAAAATTCAGGTAAACAGCTTTTGGTGTGCGGATTGGACCTTGGGGTTGTGCATGTTTGGCTGGACCGAGTAGGACTGTACCGAGACTGACACCGTTGTCACTAATGAACGATGCACCATTAGGCCTTCTGCTGACAGGAACTATATGCTATTCAGGCGCCAAATAAACGAGTACTAGACACGGTCGACAATGAGGAGCGATGTGGGTTAGACCTCGTGCTGACTGGACCTGCACAGTGTAACTGAAGCCACCTAGGAGATTCGTGGTTCGTCCTGCACGTGTGTTCTGGATTGATTGCACTTACATTTGTGTATCTAACTGGTGCCACACAGCATGTCTTGTTTGCACCCCTTCCCACCACTCGCAGGTGTGGAACAACGGCCAGAAGATTCCCGTGGAGGTGCACGCGAAGTGGGGGTGCTACGTGCCGGAGCTGATCTTCAGGCACCTGGTGCCTTAATGAGACCTGCACCATATGCTTTATCTGCACCCCGTCGTACCACACTCCCACTCGCAGGTGTGGAACAACGGTCGTGGAATTCCGGTGGAGGTTCACGCGAAGGAGGGATGCTACGTGCCAGAGCTCATCTTCGGGCACCTGCTGACAAGCAGCAACTACGACGACTCGGCGCGCAAGACCACGGGCGGGCGCAACGGGTACGGCGCGAAGCTGGCGAACATCTTCAGTACGGAGTTTGTGGTGGAGACAGCAGACGGCAGCCGGCAGAAGAAGTACAAGCAGGTACATAAGAGGGGTCATTTTTACCCATTATAAATCACACCCCACAGCGGTTACGGCGCCAATCTGGCGAACATCTTCTGCACGGAGTTTGTGAGGGAGCCCACTGACAACATGACCTCCATCACCTTCCACCCCGCCCCGACTTAGTTCCTTACTTCCCTTCTTTTCCCCTTCTTCATACCCTCTTCTCCCTTCTCACAGGTCTTCTCTAACAACATGAGCGTCACGAAACCCCCAGTAGTCAAGGACTGCAAGCCCACCGAAAACTTCTCTTCCATCACCTTCCACCCGTACTTAGTTCCTTCATCCCCTTTTTCCCTTCCTCCCATGCCTCTACCATTTCCGTGTGCCCCCTCTCCAGATCTTATCAAAGAACATGAGCATCAAGAAGCCCCCTGTAATCAAGGACTGCAAGCCCACCGACAAACATCACCTCCATCACCTTCCACTCAGAATTAGCTCCTTTTTTCATCCCTTTCTCCCCTTCTTCCCCTTCTTCCCCGCCCCTCATTCGACCATCTCCCTGTGCCCCTTCTCCAGGTCTTCTCTAAGAACATGAGCGTAAAAAAGGAACCAGTAATCAAGGACTGCAAGCCCACCGACAACTTCACCTCAATCACCTTCCACCCGGACTTGGCCAAATTCGGGCTCGATTCTCTAGACGCAGACCACGTGGCACTCATGAGCCGACGTGTCGTTGACGTGGCAGGGTGCCTGGGGAAATCCGTGAAGGTCACGCTCAATGGCACGCGTGTGCCTGTGAAATCGTTTGCGGATTATGCGGGGTTGTATCTTGCCCCTCCTCCGCCGCCCACCCCGCAACCCCCCGCCACTCCGCCATCATCAGGGGAAGGGGGGAGCGGAGGGGGCGGAGGGGAAGGCGGGGAGGGGGCAGGGGCGGAAGGAGGGGTGTCTGCAGCAGAAGCGGCAGCGGCAGCAGCTGCAGCTGCTGCTCATCCTTCAACTCATGAGAAGCTCCCAAGGTCCGTATTTCTATTGCTGACCACCCGTGAAACTCCTAAGAGTATGCGTTGACACCATAATTCGTTGGGGTGAGTTTTCTGATGGGGTTGGTCTTGCCTAAGTTCACCAGGCGCATTACTCCGGGTCAATTTTTCATGAGAGATAACGGCTGCCACAAGTGCGCCCGTGATTCGCAACTAACGGCTGCCACAAGTGCGCCCGTGATTCGCAACTAACGGCTGCCACAAGTGCGCCCGTGATTCGCAACTAACGGCTGCCATCTGATTGTGCAGGATTCACGAGAGGGTGAACGACTGCTGGGAGGTGTGCGTGTCCACCAGCGATGGGCAGTTCCAACAGGTACTGTCGATGGGCGGGGGAAGTGAGGGGGGAAGGGGTTGAATGGGCACGAGGTGTATGCTGGAAGGTGTGTGTGTGTGTGTGTGTGTGTGTGTGTGTGTGTGTGCGCGCGCGCGTGTGTGTGTGTGTGTGTGTGCGCGCGCGCGCGAGTGTGTGTATGTGTGTGTGCGCGCGCGCGAGTGTGTGTGTGTGCGCGCGCGTGTGTGTGTGTGTGTGTGCGCGCGCGCGCGCGTGTGTCCGTGCCTGCTTGGGATAGCCAATTTCAAGTCCGAGCCATGCTTAATTTTATGCCTGTGTCCATGCCTGACCGTGCCTGCAGGTCAGCTTCGTGAACGCCATTGCGACCACGCGAGGAGGCACGCACGTGAACATGGTATCAGAGCAGATCGTGAGGTACCTGCTGGACAAGGCGCAAAAGAAGGCTGCCACTGGCAAGCATGGGTCCGCCAGTGGCGCTGCTGCCATCAAGCCGCACCAGGTGAGGATGGGGAGGGGAAGAGGGGGGGACTGGGATAGGATTGGACAGGAAGAGCGAGTGAAAGAGAGGATTTGGAGGGGGGAGAGAAGGGTTGGATGGGAGAGCGAGTGAGAGAGAGTGCTAGGCAGAACATGAGGGGGACAGTGGGAGAGTGCGAGCAGATCGTGCGGCACCTGCTGGAGAAGGTGCAGAAGAAGGCCAGCACTGGCAAGCACGGGTCTGCCAGTGGTGCTTCTGCCATCAAGCCACACCAGGTGAAAAAGGGGGGAAAGGGATTGAGAAAGGCTTGTTGGTGGCAGTGTGCAGCTGAGAGAGTGGGGGAGAGCGTTTGTGTTCGTTTCTTGCACTGCTGTGCCTGTGCTGCTGCCTGCTGCTGTCTGTCTCTGGATGTTTGTGAACTGCTTGGTGGTGTATTTGGCGATTGACTTGCAAACGAAGGAGAATATAAACACACGCCCCTCTGTGCTCTATACCTTGCTTTGCTTGCATATGCCCCTCCCTCTCCCTCAGGTGCGCAGTCAGCTGTGGGTGTTTGTGAACTGCCTGGTGGTGAACCCAGCCTTTGACTCGCAGACCAAGGAGAGACTCAAACACGCGCCCCTCTGTGCTCTATCCCTTTTCTTGCTTGCCTATTCCTCTGGTCTCTTTCAGGTGCGCAGTCAGCTGTGGGTGTTTGTGAACTGCCTGGTGGTGAATCCAGCCTTTGACTCGCAGACCAAGGAGACGCTCAACACACGCCCCTCTGACTTTGGCTCCAAGTGCCACCTCTCGGAAGACTTTCTCAAGAAAGGTGCGCATGCAACGGTATGGAATGAAGGGAAGAAATGAGATATTTGAGGGGTGCTTCTAGAGACGCTCAACACACGCCCCTCTGACTTTGGCTCCAAGTGCCACCCACCTCTCGGAAGACTTTCTCAAGAAAGGTAGGGGAACATGTACAATGGAAAGGATGGGATCTGTGAGGTCCCTCTAGAGACACTCAACACACGCCCCTCTGAATTTGGCTCCAAGTGCCACTTCTCTGAGAACTTTCTCAAGAAAGGTATGTTATAGAGGTGCTTCAAGAACAGACTCTTTAAAGACCTCCGCAAGAAAGGTATGCTGATATGCAATGCAAGGGATGGGAATTGTGAGATGTCTCGAACAACTCGTAAAACACAAGCCCCTCTGACTTTGGTTCCGCGTGTATGAAGGTTTATTTTGAGACGTCTCAAAATAAACCTTCATACTTGTGAGATGCCTCGAACAACTCGTAAAACACAAACCCCTCTGACTTTGGTTCCGCGTGCAAGCTCTCCGAGGCAGTTCTCATTCACCTTCTGCTCGTTGCAACCCCCCTGTCTCGGCTTTCTCTCTTGCCACAGTGGCTGCCAAGTGCGGCATAGTGGAGCATCTGCTGTCCTTGGCAGCGCACAAGCAGACCAAGGATCTCAAGCGCAGCGACGGCAGCAAGAGGCAGCGCGTGTCGGGCATAACGAAGCTGGACGATGCCAACGAGGCGGGTGGTAGGAATGCGGAGCACTGCACCCTGATATTGACAGAAGGAGACTCTGCTAAGACTCTGGCGGTGAGAAATTAGCTTTGGTTTCTCCTTGAGAGGGGTAGACATAAAATGGGGGAATGGGGGGTGAATGGGAAGAGGCAACGCGCGTGTCGGGCATAACGAAGCTGGGCGATGCCAACGAGGCGGGCGGCAGGAATGCAGAACACTGCATTCTGATCCTCACTGAAGGGGACTCTGCATTGGAGGGTAGGAAGGACACTATTCTGATCCTCACTGAAGGGGACTCTGCCAAGACTCTGGCGGTGAGAGAGTCACTTCAATCTCGTGATTTGGAGGGTAGGGCGGAAACTGGGGGATGGGGGATGAAGGGGAAGAGGCAGCGAGTGTCGGGCATGCATTGTGAAGCTGGACGATGCCAATGAGGCAGGTGGCAGGAATGCAGAGCACTGCACTCACATCCTCACTGAAGGGGACTCGGCGAAGACTCTCGCGGTGAGAGAATCGCTCTGGTTTCTTAGAAGGGCAGGATGTGGGGTGAGGGGGGGAAGAGGCAGCGCGTGTCGGGCATGCATAGTGAAGCTGGACGATGCCAATGAGGCGGGTGGTTGGAATGCGGAGCACTGCACTCTCATCCTCACTGAAGGACTCGGCTAAGACCTTGGCGGTGAGAGCTGCTTTGTTTTCTTTCTTGGGGGGACAAAAGGGGGGCTACGGGAGGGTGGGAGGAAAAGGATCTTTGGAGGTGGGTGGAAAGCCCGAGTTTTGGGAATGGCAGAGGGGGAAAGCGGGAATGCAGAGCAACACTGCAAGTATGAAGAATCATAAGAGGCGGATTTCTCGTGTTCCTCCCTCCCTCACTCACTTCCTCCAGGTGTCAGGGTTGAGTGTTCCTCCCTCCATCCCTCACTTCCTGCGGACGCGTGTTCTCCTTGCGAGGCAAGCTGCTGAACGTGAGGGACGCATCACACAGACCGATGTTGGAGAACACTGAAATAAGGCATTCTTGAGAGTTGCTTCACAGCATTCCTGTCTTACCCCCTTCCCTCCCATCCATCCCTCCAGGTGTCAGGGCTGAGTGTGGTTGGCCGCGACCGCTACGGCGTGTTCCCCTTACGAGGCAAGCTGCTGAACGTGAGGGACGCGTCACACCAGCAGATGATGGAGAACACTGAAATAGGGCATTGTAGAGAATTGCTTCGAAACATTCCTGCCCTCCCACCTTCCCACCTTCCCTCCCTCCCTCGCGCCAGGTGTCTGGGCTCAGTGTGGTGGGCCGTGATCGCTACGGTGTGTTTCCCCTGCGAGGCAAACTGCTGAACGTGAGGGATGCGTCTCACCGGCAGATGATGGAGAATACTGAGATTGGGCATCTGAAGCAGATCCTGGGGCTGCAGCATGGGAAGAGCTACGAGAGCGTGAAGGCGCTGCGATACGGGCACCTTATGATCATGACTGACCAGGTGAGTGAGACCGTGAAGACGCTGTACATGTATGGATGTATATCATGGGGCTCCTCATAATCCGATTTGACTTATGAGTCGAGTTGACTTTTGAGTTGACTCAAAAGTCAGTCGACTCAAAAGTCAACTCGCGAGGACGCTGTATATGTATGGATGTATATGGATGTATATCATGGGGCTCCTCATAAACCTCCTGCACTCCTGCTGGCCTTCTCTCTTCAATCATTTTTCCTGCTTTCCTATCTTCCCTCACAGCACCATCATTCACTCCATCGTCCCTACTCCTCTGCCCGTGTCACTCACTTCCATGCCACCCACAGGATCATGATGGGTCCCACATAAAAGGTCTCCTCATCAACCTGCTGCACTCCTGCTGGCCGTCCCTGCTCAAGCACCCCTCTTGCTTTCGTTTCTTCGCTTCGTCCCTCTCAGCACCATCATTCACTCCATCGTGCATGCCTCCTCTGCCCTCACCACTCACTCCCATGCCCACCCACCAGGACCACGATGGGTCCCACATAAAAGGTCTCCTCATAAACCTCCTGCACTCCTGCTGGCCCTCCCTGCTCAAGCACCCCTCCTTCCTCCGCTAGTTCATCACCCCTAGCACTCATCCACCCCTTTCCCCTTCCGTCCCCCCTATGCCCATGCCACCCACCAGGACCACGATGGATCCCACATCAAGGGGCTTTTGATCAACCTGCTGCACTCCTGCTGGCCGTCCCTGCTCAAGCACCCCTCCTTCCTCCGCGAATTCATCACCCCGATCGTCAAAGCCACCGGGCCTAGAGGCCGCACCCTCGCCTTCTACACCATACCTGAGTACGAGGCTTGGAAGCGGACCTTAGGCTCGGAGGCGAGGCAGTGGAAGGTGAAGTACTACAAGGGTCTGGGCACGAGCACACCTAAAGAAGCCAAGGAGTATTTTGCACAGCTGGACCGGCACAGGAAGGACTTTGAGTGGCGGGGGGAGGGCGACGGGGAGCGGATCGAGATGGCGTTTAGCAAGAAGGCGGTGGATGCGAGAAAGCAGTGGCTGCGCTCCTATGAGGTGAGCGGAGGGGTAGGATGGCGAAAGAGTGCAGGAGGGAGGGATTGGGTGGGGGAGGGCGATGGGGAGCGGATCGAGATGGCGTTTAGTAAAAAGGCGGTGGACGCCCAGAAGCAGTGGCTGCGCTCCTATGAGGTGAGTGCCCATCCCATAGGGCACCCATCGTTTTCTCCTCCGTTTTCCATAATCCAAATCCCCTATTCCACTGTTTCTCGCCTCCCATCGCCCCTCCCATTCCCCCCGTGCCACACCCTCAGCCCGGCACGTACCTGGACCAGACGGCGCAGCGCATCAGCTACAGCGACTTTGTGGACAAGGAGCTCATCCTCTACTCCATTGCTGACAACATGCGCTCCATCCCCTCCGTTGTGGACGGGCTCAAGCCGGGGCAGCGCAAGATCCTCTTCTCGTGCTTCAAGCGCAAGCTGCACTCAGATATCAAGGTGGGTGCTGAGGGGTGCTGTGCGGTGCTGTGGCATGACCTGCAGTGCATGCATGCGCTGGTGTGCGCTCCATCCCCTCCACGGGGAGCAGAGTCTGATGAGTACCATTGTGAGCCCCATCCACCTTAACCTCTCCACCCCGTCCCCCTGCCTTGTCCTCTTCCTAATCCTTCTGCAGGTGGCACAGCTGGCAGGGTACGTGTCAGAACACGCAGCGTACCATCACGGCGAGCAGAGTCTGATGAGCACCATTGTGAACCTCGCCCAGGACTTCGTGGGCAGCAACAACGTCCACCTGCTCGTTCCGTCCGGGCAGTTCGGAACTCGCCTGCAGGTGAGAAGGGGAGGGCGGAGAGCAGAGGGCAAAGAGGGGGTAGAGGGCAGAGGGCACAGAGAGCAGTGGGCAGAGGGCACAGAGAGCAGTGGGCAGAGGGCTGAGGGTCGAGGATTGAGGGCGGACAGCAGGAGACCAATGGCAGAGAGCCCGGGTTTATTGAGTAACGCATGCCTTGCTTCCATCTCTGTGTCCTGCCCGCCCTCGGTTTCGTCCTGTGGGTACACCTCAGGAGTGGAAGCGATGCAATGAGCCGCAGGTACATCTACATGCGTTAGCACAAGCTGATGAATTTGCGCCCTCTTCCATCTCTCTGCCCTATCACCGCCTTTCTCTTCCTCTTCTCCCTCCTCTCCCTTCTCTCCCTCCTCTCCAGCATCTCCTTCCTCTTCCTTCTCTCCCTCCTCTCCCTCCTCTCCCTCCTCTCCCGCCTCTCCCTCCTCTCCCTCCCCTCCCTCCTCTCCCGCCTCTCCCTCCTCTCCCTCCCCTCCCTCCTATCCATCCTCTCTCATCTCTCCCGCCTCTCCCTCCTCTCCCTCCTCTCCCTCCTCTGCCGCCTCTCCCTCCTCTCCCTCCTCTGCCGCCTCTCCCTCCTCTCCCTCCTCTCCCTCCTCTCCCTCCTCTCCCTCCTCTCCCTCCTCTCCCTCCTCTTCCGCCTCTTCCTCCTCTCCCTCCCCTCCCGCCTCTCCCTCCTCTTCCTCCTCTCTCTTCTCTCCCTTATCTCCGTCCTCTCCCGCCTCTCCCTCCACTCTCTCCTTTACCACCTCTCCCTCCTCTCCCTCCTCTCCCTTCTCTCCATCCTCTCCATCCTGTCCCTCGTCGCCCTCCCCGCCCTCCTCTCCCTCCCCTCCCTCCCCTCCCTCCTCTCCCTCCCATCCCTCCTCTCTCCCCTCTCTCTCCTCTCTTCCTCCTCCCTGCCCCTCCTGTGTGTCTGTCTGTCTCCAGGGCGGCAAGGATGCGGCCAGTCCCAGGTACATCTACACGCGTCTGCACAGGCTGACACGTGTCATCTTCCCAGTGGCTGACGACGCCCTACTGGATTACCTGGATGACGACGGGCAGAGGATCGAACCCAAGTGGTGAGCTCTCTGGGGGGGGGGGGGGGGGGGGGGGGGGGGGGGGGGGGGGGGGGGAGGAGAAGCGAGGAAGGAAGGTGGGCAACAGAGAAGCTGAGCCGCTCGATGCGGGCCGTTATGGTGCTGTGTGGTTGGCGACTCACTGCTCTAGTATCGGGATTATGACAGGCAGAGGAGTGAACTCAAGTGGTGAGCCGCTGGGGGGGATTGGAGAGAGACTAGAGAAGGGGCTGGAGGGAATGGAGGAGGGGTGTATATGCCTATCCTTTCCCATCCTTCATTTTATCCTTGCCTTCCTAACCACCCCTCCTCCACTTCCCGTCTCTCTCCCCAGGTATGTGCCCATCCAGCCCCTGGTGATGATACGTGAAGGTAGTGCCCCTGGTGTGCCCCAGGCATGGGGTGCAGGTCGTATGAGCCTAATGTGCCCCCTTTTCTCTCCCCTCCCCCAAGGTACGTGCCCATCCTGCCCATGGTGCTCATCAACGGTGGTGAGGGCATCGGCACGGGGTGGAGCTCGTATGTGCCCCATGTGCCCCATGTGCCCCATGTGCCCCATGTGCGCATATCCACCCCCCTCCCCTTCCCCTCCCCCCTCCCAGGTACGTGCCCATCCTGCCCATGGTTCTAATCAACGGCGGTGAAGTGAAGGGATTGGCACGGGGTGGAGCTCGTACGTGCCCCATGTGCCTCACTACTCACTACCCTCGTCTATCCTTTCCTTCCCCACCCAACCCCCAGGTACGTGCCCATCCTGCCCATGGTGCTCATCAACGGCAGTGAGGGCATCGGCACGGGGTGGAGCTCGTATGTGCCGACGTTCAACCCACGGGACGTGGTGGCAAACCTCAAGAGGCGCATGCGAGGGGAGCCCATGCTGCCCATGCACCCCTGGTTCCGCGGATTCAAGGTGTGCAAGAGAGGGGGAGGACGAGGGGGGAGAGAAAAGGGGCCTGATGCTGGGGGGAAGCGGGAGTGAAGGGGAGGGAAGAGGGTGGCCGGGCTTGTCGTGTAGTGGGGTGGAAGGGCATCGGCACAGGGTGGAGTTCGTATGTGCCAACTTTCAACCCACGGGACGTGGTGGCGAACCTCAAGAGGCGCATGAAAGGGGAGCCTATGCTGCCCATGCACCCCTGGTTCCGTGGCTTCAAGGTGTGCAGGGGGGGAGATTAGGGGGGGTATGCTGGGGGGAAGCGGGAGGGAATGGGAGGGAAAGGGGTGGCAGGGTTTGTCCTTTAGTGGATTACTTGGCACGGGGTGGAGCTCGTATGTGCCGACGTTCAACCCGCAGGACGTGGTGGCGAACCTCAAGAGGCGCATGAAAGGGGAGCCTATGCTGCCCATGCACCCCTGGTTCCGTGGCTTCAAGGTCCGTAAGGGAGTGGGAGGATGAGGGGGTAGAGAGAAGGGGGTTTTCTCGGAGCGAGGGAAGGCGACGGAAGGGGAGGGAAAGGGGAGGCAGGGTTTGTCGTTTAGTGATTTAGAGGGCGGATATGTGTCACGGGTGGAGCTCGTACGTGGCGGCGTTCAACCCGCGGGATGTGGTGGCAAACCTCAAAAGGCGCATGAGGGGCGAAGCGATGCTGACCATGCACCCCTGGTGCCGTGCCTTCAAGGTGAGTTGAGGAAGTGGAGTGGATGGGGGAGGGGGGGGGGGGAGGTTGAGGGCTTGGGAAGATTGGAAATGCTGCGTCTTCCTCTACTTCTCCCATCGATGTTTCTCCGCAACCTCTGTGTCACTTCTCTGTGTGCCTCCTCTCGCTGTAGCCCCTCTCACTGTTCTCACCCTATCTTTTGCTGCTCCTGTGGGTTGGCATGGCACATACCCTGTGTCCCCCCAACCATCCAGGGTTCCATCCAGCTGACGTCAGCGCGGCAGGGAGGAGGCAACTCGTACACCGTGACAGGTGTCGCGACGCGATTGGCCAGCAGCAGCGGCGGGCGCAAGGGCGAGAAGCAGCCGCAGCAGCAGGGAGTGACAGGTGTCGCGATCACAGAGCTCCCCATCCGCACGTGGACACAGAACTACAAGGAGTTTCTGGAAGGGATGATGGGAGGAGCGGGTGGTGGTCATGGTGGTGGGGAGGGAGGGGGAAAGGTGGCGCTGATTAAGGACATGAGGGAGTATCATACTGATACGTCGGTGCATTTTGAGGTGGAATTTACTGCTGAGGGAGCGGCGTATTTCATGGGAGAAGGAGGGACGGTGGGAGCGAGGAGAGGAAGTTCTGCAGCGGCTGCTGCTGCCTCTGCTGCTGCTGCTGCTGCTGCGGCGGCGGCGGCGGCAGGGGCAGGTGCTGCAACTGCAACTGCAACTGGTACTGCCACTGGTGCTGCTGCAACGGCAGCAGCAGCTGGTGGTGCTGCTGCTGGGGTGGGTTTTCCTGAGGGTGAAGACCCGGAAGCGGGTGCAAGGTCGCCTGGGAGTGGAGACGTAGGGGGGGAGGGGATGGGCGGAGGAGGAGCAGGATGTGAGGGGGAGAGAGCAGAGGGGCAAGAGGAGGAGGAGGGAGAGGAGGCGAGGAGGGAGAGGGAGGAGAGGAGGGCGCGCGCGCAGTGGGCGGTGATGGAGAAGCGGCTGAAGCTGACAACGACGATGAACACGGGGAATATGCACCTGTTTGATGCAGATGGGCGCATGAAGAAATACGACAGCCCGGAAGACAGTGAGTCGAGGGAGTGTTTGGGGGGTTACGTGAGTGTGATGGGAGTGCTTCGGGAGACTCTGTGGGTGCTTTGCTTTCCACTGTAATCCGCCTGGAGTGCTACAAGTAGCACCTTCTGTGGAGTTTGAAGCAAAGCACCCACAGCAAGGTGTTGCAAGCAGGCAGGCAGCACCAGCTGGCTCACCTGAGATGAGACACACGAGCTGCCTTCCGCTTGCTGCGCGCCGCCCCTCTCTCTGTCTAATTTCTCTGTGCATTTTTCCCTTACGTTCTGTACGAGCATCAGTTATCGAGGACTTTTACGGCATTCGTCTGGGGTACTTACGAACGAGCAGAGGAAGGAGCACCAGCTGGCACAGCTGCGCCACAAGCTGGCCTTCCCTTACCTTACTCTTCCTGCCCTCCCTCCCTGTTCCTCACCCTCATCAGTAATCGAGGACTTCTATGGCATTCGCCTGGGGTATTATGAGCAGAGGAAGGAGCATCAACTTGCACAGCTGCGTCATGAGCTGCTGCGGCTGGACAACCGCGCTCGCTTCGTGCGGGCGGTGATTCAAGGCGACGTGGTGATCACCAACAGGAAGCAGGCTGACATCGTGGCACAGCTCAAGGTGAGCATCGGAGTTCTGGGTCCATGCATGTGAAACAGTCATGGATTGTGCCGCCTGTGGTTGAGGTGCTGTGCTTGTGCCCTTTCCTCTCCCTTCCTCTTACACCCTCCCAGGCCCGTGGTCTCTCACCCTCCTCGAAAGCAGTTGCCCCTCCTCCTCCCCCCACGAAAAGGCCACTCTTCTATCTCATCCTCCTTTCTGTCACCATTTGCTCCCCCTCCCTCCCCTCGTTTCCTCCCCCTTCTCCTCTTGACCTTTCCCCAGGTACGTGGTTTCACCCCTCTTCCCAAGGGTCACGCGGCCGCCCCTGTGGTGGTTGCTGACGTGGACCCGGGCAGCACTGATGTCAGCGCGGATGGGGATGACGTGGAGATGGACGACGTGGAAACACCAGCAGGGCACAAGGCAGGGAAGGGGAAAAACACAGCAGCAGCAGGAAAATCAGGAGCCGCAGGAAAAACAGCAGCAGCAGGAGCAGTACCATCAGCAGGAGCAGTGGGAGCAGCGTATGAGTATCTGCTGGGAATGCCTTTGTGGAGCCTGACGTGGGAGCGCGTGGAGCAGTTGGAGCAGGAGAGAAGGGGCAAGGAGGAGGAGGTGGTGGTGCTGCAGGCGACCTCGCCTCTGCAGCTGTGGGAGAGAGACCTGGATTTGTTCCTGGAGACTCTTGAGGTGAGTAAAGGGAGAGGGTATGCGTTTGCACGTGGTGCTGTGTGTGTGAATAGCAGTAGCATCACCATCAGCAGCACCAGCAGCAGTGCTGCGAGGAGGAGGAGGTGGTGCCGCTGCAGTCCACGTCGCCTCAGCAGCTGTGATAGAGAGACCTTGGCCATGGTTCGACAACCTGCTCTCCCGTTTCCGTGTTCCATTTTGTTCCACTGACCCTGGACCCGGGGCTTAGTGAACTTCTTTGCACCCTTGTGAATAGACAGACGCCCCTTGAGACCTCTCAAGAGTGAGCCATCCGTTGCACTGACTGAGGACCCAGTACTTTCTGAATAAACTGCATCTTGTGCGTGTGGGTGTGTGTGTTTCTGTGTGTGCATGTGGTGTGTGTTCTGTGTGTGTGGCGTATGCGCATGTGTGTGTGTGAGTGAGTGTGTGCACAATCGGACCAACAGGAGGTGGAGGCAGAGGCGGCTGAGGAGGAGAGGGAGCGGGAGCGGGCAGCCAATAATCACAAGGCACGTGGCAGGAACGCAGCAGGAAGGAAGGGCGGCAAGCAGCAGGCAGGGGGGGCAAGCAGGGGGAAGAAAGCAGGGGTAACTGGGGGAGGGGGGACTGGGGGAGGGGGGACTGGGGGAGGGGGAGGAGGAGGGGGCAGGGGGAAGGCAAAGGGTGCAGTTGGAGAAACAGGGATCAGAGATGGGGGAAGGCTGGGAGGGGAGAGGCCGCAGGGTGGTGTAGGGTTTGGGGAGGAGGAGAGGCAGGGGAAGCAGAAGGTGAAACAGCAGACACTGCTGGGAACCATGTGGGGCAAGGGGAAGTTGAAGGGGCTGGGAACTGCTTTGGGTGCTGCTGCTGCTGCTGCTGCTGGTGTGGCTGCTGCTGCTGATGGTACCGGTGCTGGTGGTGATACTGCTGCTCCTGCTGCTGCCACTGCTGCTGCTGCTGGTCTTGATGCGGATAGGGGAGATGGGACACATTTGGACGGGACTGGCAGCATAGCAGCGAGTGATGGGAGCAGTGGGGAGAATGAAGAGAAGAGGGAGGAGGGTGGTATGGATGCCAGTGAAGAAATGGATGAGGACGGGGAGGGAGAGGAGGGGACTGAGAGTGAGGAGGAGGACGAGGAGGAGGAAGAGGAGGAGAGTGAAGATGATAGTGACTTTGAGCCAACGACAGCAAAGAGTGAGTGATTCTGGGCAGTTGGGATATCTTTGAGTCGACTACATTTGAGTGAGTGGGAACGACAAGGAGGAAGAGGAGGAGAGTGAAGATGATAGTGACTTTGAGCCAACAACAGCAAAGAGTGAGTGATTCTGAGCAATAGGACATGCAACAGGAAATCCGAAAGTTGTTTGTTCTAGGATGTTGCCTATGTCCTTCGTCACAGGTGTGTTGACTCGTTGCCCTCCGGTATCATCCTGCCTCTGTGTGTGTGTGTGTGTGTGCAGCAAAGGGCAGGGGTGCAGCGCCAATGGATGCGCCAACCCCAAGACAGTCCACTCCCCGCTACTCCTCCCGCCTCACACGCACCCAAGCAGCAGCAGCAGCAGCAGCATCACCAGCAGCTGCTGCTCCTCCTGATGCAGCGTCTCCCCAGCAGTCGATTGAACAGGCAGACACACAGGCACTGGGAAATGCGTACGCACAGGGAGAGAATGATGCAGAAATGTCAGGAGGGCAGGGAGGAGAGCAAGAGCAAGAGGATGTGGATGTGAATCCGTCACCGCCCTTCCCACCGCCGTCGCCAGCAGCAGCAGGAGGCATGAGGGAATCGCCTCCTGTGATTGAAATGACATCATCGGAGGAAGGAGGGGCGCTTGGTTTGCAGGTCGGCGGGTTGCGTCTGGGTGACTCGGTGTCAGATGCAGGCGATACAAGCAACACGAGCAGTGGCAACGCACATAATGGCGACACTAGCAATGGCTCCAACAGTCCAAGTAAGCTCGCCTCAATTGCATCCTGTAATCTTACAATTTCAACTCTCTCGCATAAATGGGATCGTCTCGCCTTTATCCGATCTTCTTCCTTGCCTCAATTCTTTTGCTTGTTTCGTCTGCCATTACGTTCAGATTCGTGTAGTGCTTTTCACTCACACAATCGTCCCGTTACTCTTGTTCTGGTTATTTCTTAATTTCAAAATCCACCTTTTCACTCACACGGTCTTCCCATCCCCCCTGGGCTGCACTCACCAACAGGTGCTGCCTCTGATCCATACTCCCATTCTCTCCATGCATCTCCCTCCGCATCCCCACCGCTCTCCACTCCTCTCCACACCTCTTCCACCCCCAACCCCCCCACAAGCACAGCCACACCTGTCCCAGCCACGCCGCTCCCATCCCGACGTTCTACTCGTGCTGTTGCGTCTGCAACGCCTTCTAGTGCAGCTGCTGCAACACCATCAGTACCAGCAACACCAGCAGCGCCATCAGTACCAGCAGTCTCACAAGCACCTGGTGCGCCTGCACTAGCACCCTCAGCACCAACTGCACCCCCGGTTCCTGCTGCAGGAGCCCCAGCACCTGCTGCTGCACTCTCTGTGCCTGCAGAAACCCCGGTACCAGCCAGCGCAGCTACAGCCTCCCAAAGCGTACAGGTCCCTCTTATGGACGTGCTTAGAGAGGGGGGTAGGGCGCAGTCACTGGCAGGTAAAGGCCGAGGGGCAGGGGGGAGAGGGCGAGGAGGAGCAAGTGGGAGAGGGAGAGGGGGGAGGGGAGGAAGAGGAAGAGGGGGAGCAGCATCAGCTAGTGGTAGTGGTGGTGGAAGTGGAGGTGGTAGAGGGCCAGTTGAGGTGGTTGATTTGGATGATTAGCATCGTGCTGCTAAGCATAAGTTGGGGTTACCCGTATGCGAAAAAGTAGCAGAGGTGTGGATGGAGTGGACTCTGCTGCTAATATGTTTTCTGTTGTAAGTCTTGGATAGAGCGGGGCGGGGCGGGAATCTTCTGTGCATCAGCCAGCGGCACACGTAGCAGTGGCATGATACTGGGAACTGTTCTACTTGTCTGTCAAGGCAGGAAATTTTCTGTGTGTGGGGCAGTCAGAATGATGAGAGGGTTTGTTCATGCACTAAGTTTGTACTCATACATTATACAAAGGAAATCTTGCTGACTGTAGTAATGGTTTCATTATACCATAGCTTTGTGGGGCACTTTTTAGATGGGGATGAGCTGGTCCAAGCTCGCTTATACACCAGCTCTAACACTCTTAAAACTGCGGTCTACATACTAAGTGGTGTTTTTTTAGTGTATTTTTTATGCCCACCCTTTCGTGCGTTCTGATTGGAGAACGAAGTCAGCATGTTTCAGAAACACCGCAGCAGGCGAACTCAGACAGGAGACGCGAATCCAGCCCAATTTCGTGCTGACGGGTGGTTTGGAGGAGGGTCTGCGGAAGGGCGGGAAACAACCTGGGGAGTTAAGTTTCGTGCAAGAAGTACCCCAACCCCCTCTCTCCACCCCTCTCAACCGTTAGCTTTGCAGGATAGGGGGCTGAGTCCAAAAACTGGTCACCCTGTTTTCAAGTGATAATCTCAGCCCTCCCGCTCGAAGTATGTAGGCTGCAGCTTTAAAACTGAAACATTCGGTGCAGTATTGCATCCTAAATAACATTCGACGTCGTACTACTGCCTAGTGCATCATCTGTTATCCCAATCGTCACTCTTGTCAATACCCATCCAACTCCAGGTCATACCATAGTGTATCCCTCTGGTACAAGCTCATTATATGGAACATGTTACATGTACCATACTTCTCCTACACATCACACACCTATCAAGCTGGCCCTTGTACTAATACCCGTCCAGCTCAGTGTTACAGTAATCCCTTCGGTACGTGCTCAAATCATACAGGATTCTGTCTTCATATGTCTCTTCCTCCTCCAGCAGGAAATGTACAGTAGGTAGCCCATCACCCATCCAACTCCGGGTCATAGTTATCTTTTAGATAAGTGCTCATATCATAAGGAATGCGCTCCATGTACTTCTCTTCCTCCTCCAGCAGTGCGTAAGGGTCGATGTAGCTTGGGGGTTGCCGGCCCTCCCCGTAACTCTTGCCCGGATGCACAAAGTCGGATCCCAGGAACTGGTCACACAATAAAGAGGATGACAGCAGAATGAGGAGGCCTAGTCAGTCGCGTGATTTAGCATCCCGTGAGAAATATGCATAGAGTGCAGAGAGCAGCAATAACGAAATCAAGTTTTGACAATGCAGACCATGCAATGCAACAGAGCCTGTTCAGAGCCTCCGAGAGACAGCCAGCTCAGATTTGAGCTGGATGGGTATGGACCATAACCATCCATTTTGTGAGCAGCTCAGCTGCTCACAATGGCCTTTCGGAAAAGGCTCACGAAGCAGCGAAGCATAAAAAGAGGGCCGGTTTACCCAGACCAGACTGGTAACGTGGGTGAAGAGAACATCTTACCAGGTACATAGAATGAAGAGAACAACTTACCAGGTACATAGCGGTGAAGACAGTGATAATGGCGAGAGCAAAGGGCCAGAGCGGCAGGTAGAAGGAGACTCCCAGCTTCAGCAGCTCAGCTGCTCGTGCCGGCAGGCCCTGGTGGGTGTGAGATGCGGATGCGGTGGAGGGTGGAAGGCAGAGAATGGAAGTAATGGTGGAGAGAATGGAAACGGAGGAACAAAAAGGAGACGACTGGTTGGTATTGGTAAAAGAACATTTCCTGCTTGAGCTGCTCCGCTGCTGTGCTAAAGGGCCCTGAACGGGTAGGAGGACTTCTATTGCACTTGAGCCAACTCTCCGCTTCACAGCCACAGCTTACGCGCTCCCATATCCTCCTTTTTGTTTTCACTTTGGAAACCTAACCTGCCCCCTATCCTACCTTTAGTACCTAAAGCCAAGAGCACCTCATATCAGAAGCTTTGTGCCCGGCGCCCTGCTTCCTCCCCCCCCATACCTCGAGCCCTTCACTATTGAGCGCGTTAGAAACCGCCCGCTGGTCGCGCATTCCCGGCCCCCCTCCCGTGCCACTTCCCCCCGCCCCTCCGCTCCCCGCTTCTGCGCCGGGTGCCTTGCTGGCAGGGTCTGATTGGCTGTTGGAGGACTGGGCCGCGCGCCGGCGCCGCAATTCGCGCATGAATTGCGACTCCGTGGAGGGGTTGCTCGAGCTGTTGTCTGCGGGGAAGGTTCATAACGGTTTGGAATGGGTTGAAATTATGTTGGATAGAGATGAATTGGGTTGATTTGGGTTGTTTTGCGGTGAAGAGTGTGTTTGCGAAGCGCCTTAGAACATGAGCGCCGAAAATCGCGCGTGAATTGCAGTTTGCTGGGAAAATGCCAGGGATGGGGGGTTCTAGGGGGAGGGGTTGGAAGTATGTTGCGTGAACACGACGGCCCAACTCGCGCATAGATAGCGGCTCAAAGGAAAGATCTCCAGGAGAGAGGTCTTTGGGGGGAAATAACAGGATGGGCACGAGAACGGGCAGGGCATCAAGGCAGTCGCACGTACCGTCTGGTTTCTCCGCCATTGCTCGTATCCGCAACCCCCCAGCGCGCCTCGCGCGCACTCCAGAGACGGAGGCGACGCGGCTTTGCGCTTCAAAGCGCGCAGGAAGCCGTTGTGGGGAAGGAATGGGTAGCGAGTGGGAACTTGCGGCGAAGGTGCGCACGGGCGCCATGGCTGCTTGGAGCCCGGGGTGGCACGAATGCGCAGCGGGCGTGGCTGCGCGCGCTGCTAACATGGCGGTGCAGGCGGAGAGATGCTGGCGGAGAGATGCTGGCGCAGAAATACTGGCAAATGTCTTACTGCGGAAAAGGGTAAGCTACCACGTTTCCGCGCTTAATTATCCTTGTGCTGCTTCGGCTGAAGGAATGACAGGGACGAAGTCAGCTTCAGTCCCGACGGCGAAGTCGCTTCGGATTACTCTGGCAAAAGTTGTCGCTGCGACGAATGTCGCCCTTGCGCGATTGACCAGGCAAATGGGATGGGACCAGCGTTGCGATCGCGGACTAGCACGGTGGCAGGCTGCAAGCTGCGGTGGGAGTGGGATTTGGCGAAGCTTTATGCTGAAATAGGCGGCGAGTTCGGGAAATTAGGACATTCACAGACCGTTGCTTTTGGGGAGGACGAGGAGTGAAGGTATTTGAGGGTGACAGACGGACGACTCGAAAGCGCGGGGGGAAGGTGCAGAATGTGAAATCATGGCCAGCTGTCCGCTTGGGATAAGCTGGGGAAGCCTAGGTGAAGTGTACGTGGTCGGCATTGGAAGCCTCGAAAGGTTGACAAATTTGCCGACGCCACGTCAGATCCATGTGCACCTTGGAGGATCTCCAGAAGCATTCACCTACGCCAATCAGAGAAACATACAGGTCAGGACGAGGTGGAGCTGACAAAATCGTATACGCGTTGAAGAAATGGTATCGCCGACAGCAAGTACACCGTTTCCCGCTTAAAACGCTCATCCAAGTCTGAGTAGAATTGCTCATTTTCCAGGCAATTTTTTTTTACCCTTATTTCCACAGGTACCCCATAGAACTTACACTACCCGACATAAATAAGATCCCTGGATAGCATATTGATACCGCTGTTCCTACAAAACGGTCTATCCGAATAAGGAATTAGTGTTCAAAGAACAGGGGAGCAGCCGCTAGAGCAGCTGTAGCAAGCAGGTTGAGCAGGATGTGAAGTGTGGGTGCTAGCGTCTCCCGCAGAGTACCACCAACCCTGAGATGAAACACCATAAAGAAAAAATAGCAAAAACAAAATACAATGAAGCCAAATAAACCATATAGCACTCCCATGCACATGAAAAAAAGGCGGTAAATCTCAAACAGGTACACCCATGTATTGCTTACGTGTCGCCAGTGATGGTGGCTTTGTGTGCTTCACTCCCCGGCCCTCCCAAGTGCCCTGCTTCCACCACATCCCTGGCGCCCCTCCACGCACTGCCAGCCCCGTTGAAGAGCGCTGCCAGGAGCAGCGTCACCAGCACCGCGACTAGAAGCAGCGCCGCCACCGCCCGTGCTCCCAAGAGAGGCTGGAGGGTGGCTTTGCCTACTGACCGCACTATGATGCCTGTGAGGTGATGGGGGGAGGCGGGGGATGAGAGTGAAGGGAGGGAGAGAGAGAGAGAGAGAGAGAGAGAGAGAGAGAGAGAGAGAGAGAGAGAGAGAGAGAGAGAGAGAGAGAAGAGAGAGAGAGAGAGAGAGAGAGAGAGAGAGAGAGAGAGAGAGAGAGAGAGAGAGAGAGAGAGAGAGAGAGAGAGAGAGAGAGAGAGAGAGAGAGAGAGAGAGAGAGAGAGAGAGAGAGAGAGAGAGAGAGAGAGAGAGAGAGAGAGAGAGAGAGAGAGAGAGAGAGAGAGAGAGAGAGAGAGAGAGAGAGAGAGAGAGAGAGAGAGAGAGAGAGAGAGAGAGAGAGAGAGAGAGAGAGAGAGAGAGAGAGAGAGAGAGAGAGAGAGAGAGAGAGAGAGAGAGAGAGAGAGAGAGAGAGAGAGAGAGAGAGAGAGAGAGAGAGAGAGAGAGAGAGAGAGAGAGAGAGAGAGAGAGAGAGAGAGAGAGAGAGAGAGAGAGAGAGAGAGAGAGAGAGAGAGAGAGAGAGAGAGAGAGAGAGAGAGAGAGAGAGAGAGAGAGAGAGAGAGAGAGAGAGAGAGAGAGAGAGAGAGAGAGAGAGAGAGAGAGAGAGAGAGAGAGAGAGAGAGAGAGAGAGAGAGAGAGAGAGAGAGAGAGAGAGAGAGAGAGGGTTCATTTGGTGATTCCAAATTTTCCGGTGCTCGTTTCGAGAGAGCGAGAGAGAAAGGGGGACTTAGCCTCTTCCCTCCTAGCCTCTTCCCCTTCCCCCAGCTATATAATGGCCAGCCGGCACCTTCCCTAGCTCATTATTCATTTGGTGATTCCAAATTTTCCGGCGCTCGCGTACGCGGCCTACGGCCGCGCATTTTAGGAGGCAAGCTTAGGTAACGGAACAACTTTAGCAGACAGCATGGCGACAAACATCATCAACTAGCAGGCATCATGGGGAAGGTCTACACAAGACAAAGGGGGCACCTACATGCGATCCGCCCCCAGAAACGAGAGCATTCCGTGCGTGGTCTGCCACAAGTGGCAGACCACTGACACGCAGGCGATTAGAGCATCTCCGGGTGTGCCTTCAACCGGCCCTGCAATGTGCCTCAGATCCAGGGCCGCGCGAGCTAGCAGGTTGGCCGCGTCTGCACCCGGGGAGGGCGCTGCCTGCAGTGGCGCCAAGAGGGATAGGATCTCATCCGCCGCCCCCAACCACGCTGCTTGCGGTTTCTCAGCAAATGTGCTCAGGCGGGATATCGGCATTGACGCACGAGTCGACCGGAGAACACGCGCCAGTGCCTCTAGGCACTCCGACAGTATCCACAGCTGACACAGGGTCGCCGTGGAACATGAATACTCCGCCTCCTCAAGGCGAGGACGAGGGTCACGATACGGACCCCTTGCTGGGCCTCCGCCAGCGCCAACAAAACCCGGGAGAACAGGCGGCTGCTGGACAAAGCGTTGCGGGGACACCGCACGGTTGGCTACCTCAACAATGGCGGGAAGAGAACGAGGAGCTTCTGGCGGAACGGAGCGACAGGCTGTCGCCGCCTGCGACTCACGGAGAGCAGTTGCGAGCACGTCCGGAAGCCTCTACAGGGCGCGCGCAAAGTCCGACGCAGACTGGCGACCCCCGCCCCCGCGTCCGCGGCCCCCGCGACTGCCACGCCGCCCACGGCTATTCGACCACGAGCGGGCTGGAGATTGGGGCCGGGACGTGCTGCGCGGGCGGAGCGCAGGGGATCGCTCACGACGCGATGGAGAATGGCGCCGCTGTCGCTTCACCGACGATTCGCGTGGAGAACGGCGAGCAGGAGAGCGACGCCCTGAGGATCGGCGCGCGGGTGAATGACAGCGAGGCGAATGGCGAGATGGGGAACGGTGACTTGGCGAACGACGCCCAGGGGAACGGCTGCGGCTCCCCTGACGACGAGGGGAGCGACGCTCGCGGCGATCTTCACGCCGCCCCTCTCAGCATTCACGAGGCTCAGGCGTCCGACGACGCGGAGAACACCCCCGGTGCGGCTCCGCCAAGGCGCCAGAACGCACAGCGGACTCCGCGCGGGTTGCCACTCTCGGAGGCGAATCATCGACGCACGGCCCGGGAGGACAGCGCTGGTCCTCAAATCGGCGCCGGATTTGGTCCGCAGCAGCGGGAGGACGAGTAGGAACGCTCACCGCCGGGCGTGGCGGAAGCACAGGTGCACTCTCCGCGGTACACTCGCGGTCTTGGGCGGACGGAAGCGCCATCTGCGCAAGCACAAGGCGCAATTCCAACACAAGGGGAGCCTACAACCCCGACTTTCCCCACGCAGCAGGCGGCGCTAGCAGCAGGGACCCCGCAGAGCGGACGGGGAAGCGCGCGGGGGAGAGGATCGCGACGAGGAGCGCGCGGAGGACAGAGGAGCGCAGGTCAAGCGGCGAGGGGGCGCGGGCGCCAACCATCGAGCCCAATCTGGCTAGGGGAGCCGGCGGAACGAATCACGCGGCAATCGTTCGCTAGGCGCGGGGCGAGAGGTGGTGCACCAGCGCAAGCAGGGAGGAACGTCGATATCATCAGAGAGGCGAGAGACGAGGACTATATAGCGTCAGATCTGAGGCAACCAGACAATCCCGACTCACCTCGCGCGGAATCAGGAGAGGAGGTGGCGCAGCAACAGGAGAGAGGAACCAACCGCAGACAGCAGCGCAGAGCCCAGCCCCCACCGGACCAAGCCCTATCTGCGTCCCAGCTGGCCTCGCGGGAGGATGTTTTCCAGATCGCGATGACCTGGGACCTTACGCTCCTAACATCCATCACCCACCAACCAATCGTCCGCCGACTGCCGCCGCAGATCCTCAGCGACTACTCCACCTGTATGCTGGCTGCCTTACTACAGATCTCAAAGCTGCCTTATTGCGCGGGAGCGTGTTGGGTCCTCATGTTCCTGCCACGTCTCACGTTAAGACTTAGCCGGAGATCCAGCTCTAGGTGGAAACTGCTGCGGGCACAGATGCATCTATTCCGATGTGGCCACTGGACCCAGCTGTACACCAAATACTTGGGGTCAATGCACCTGGCCGAACCACCTCAGCACCAACGTGACCCGCTGGGAATCTGCTCACGTGCGGAGGGGTTGGTGAAAAGGGGTAGCCTGCGAAAGGCGTTAGCGGCCCTTCAACCCTCGCCATCAGCACCGGCGACATTCGCGACACTGCAGCAGCTGGAATCGAAACACCCCCAACCCCAAAATAACCTGCCCGACTGGGTCCACTCCTACACGACACCCACACAATTTTCAACCACCCTGGAAAGCTTTTCGGACGTCCTCGGGGAATGCCCCAGGGGAATTGGGGCTGGCCCATCGGGGTCAACCTTCGAACACTACCGCGATCCAGCGCAAAGTAACATCGAGGTACTAGGGCACCTCCACTCCGCCGTTAAACACCTTCTCTCGACAAACCTTTCCACCGAGGTTGCAGCCCTACTCGCCCCGTCCCGCCTTATAGCCTTCGCCAAACCAGGGGGGGGGGTACGCCCAATCGCGATTGGAGAAACATTGCTTAGGCTGGCGACGAAAGTGGCACCCTCAGACCTGCAAGGAGAAACGCGAAAATTTTTCCTACCTCAGCAATTTGGCGTGGTAGTCCCGGGAGGTGCTGAGTTCGTCATCCATGCAGTCAGAGACCTCACCACCGTGCAGCCCTCCAGCCTAGTCCTCCAACTCGACATTGAGAACGCGTTCAACTCAGTCGAGAGGAGCGCGTTCTTCAACGCACTTATCGGCTCCCCGCTAGCCCCCCTCATCCCCTTCACACGCTCTTTCTACGCATCACCATCACCGCTGCTGCTAGATCCATGCTTTAATTCCACAGCACTCACCAGCGGAAGAGGAGTCAGACAGGGGGATCCCCTCGGACCCCTGCTATTCGCGGCGTCTATCCAGCAGCACCTCAGGCATGTGGCAGCGGAGCACCCGGAAGTCACTGTCCTCGCGTACGAAGACGACATAACCATGATTGGACCCGCGACGGCGACGCTAGACGCGCTAAGGGAGCTCGCGTCGCTACTAGCACAGGATGGCCTCACTTGCAACTTTATGAAGTCGTCGGCGTGGTCCTCCATGCCGCTTGGAGGTGTCGTGCTCCCTGAAGACCTCCCCCACACCCACGAGGGGGTACGGGTGTTGGGAAGTCCTGTGGGGTCACAGAGCTTCTGCTCTGCCTTTGTCCGCAGTACCCTGACAGACGCGGCAGCCCCCTTGGGTTCTCTAGCGTCCATCCACCCACAACATGCCCTCCTGCTACTGTCCCGTTGCATCAGCTGCAGAATCGGCTACCTGCTACGCACTACCCCAGCAGACGTCTTACCCCTCTCGGAATGGCACACATGGTGCTCCGAACTTCTGCACACGGCCTTGACCGCCGCCAGCATTCAACCGCCACGCCGAGAAGCCGAGTTCAACTTCCTGCTCCGACAAGCAACTCTTCCAGTCGCCCTGGGCGGGCTGGGACTTACAGACCCCACAACAGAAGCAGCACCGGCCTACCTGGCATCAACGACGGAGGCGCTACGACTGCTCCGCTCCCTTGACCTACCAGCAACCGCGGCACTGGGGGCCAACAACAACACCCTGCAGCCGTCCGCAGCGCACTCGGTAACCATCCAGGACATGAAGGGGCGCCTGCCACCGCTGGCACTACAAAACCTCCGGGAGGAGCAGCAAACCCTGTCCCAAGACCAGCTGCAACGCGCCCTCTCTCTTGGTATGTGCACGCGGCAAAGGCCGACGCCTTGACAGAGGAGTCACGCACCATCCAGTCAGCCCCCGAGATGGGTCACTCACTCCGCCTCATCAGCCTGAGAGGGGAGGGAGCGGGAGCATGGCTGCAGGCCCTACCTTTGACCCCGGACCTTTGCTTCTCACCGCCCTGGCCTTCCGCATGGGCATCCGACAGAATGTACCCACTGTGTGCGAGTGTGGAGAACTCGTAGCCGACTGCAGCCTACCCAACCACCTACTCCGCTGCAGCACAGGCCCCGACAGGACACGCACACACAACCAGCTAGCTTTTGCCGTGGCTAAAATGGCAAGGGAAGCAGAGCTGGTGGTATACCTGGAGAACGCCATGTACTCACTGCCGGATGACCCGAAGAAAGCCGATGTGATTGTACGCGACCCGGACAGTGGAGAGACTTGGATCACAGACACCACTATCACCGACCCTGTGCTGCAGAACCGGGACCCCACATCCCGCAAACCCCCAAGCTGGGCTGCTAGAGAGGCACAGGGGCGGAAGGAGAGGGAGTACTACCGACACACGGAACACGTGGTGTTCTGCGCCCTAGCTGTCGAGACCTACGGGGCAAACGCGCCCACCACGGCTGCGTTCCTGAAGCTGCTGGCCACAGCAGCAGCTAGGAACCGGTTCAGGGCCAACCCCTTGGCGAAATCGGCCAAGAAGATGGCCTGCCACTTCAGCCAGCGCTGGTCAGTGGCCCTCCAGCGCTCCCAGGCGAATGCCCTGCACACCAAGGCCAGGGCTGGGATCGAGGCAGCGCACCCCCAGATGGCAGCGGACCCCTGGCCGCTGCACCTGGGGGACATCCTCCACACGCTGGAGGGCTAGAGGGTCACTCGGGGGGGGGAGAAGAGTGGTGAGTTTTGGGGTTTATGGGATGGAGGTTATCATGGATAGCACCGCATGTTTGTACCCCTGCTGAATTAATACAAAGGACCGTTTGAGAGAGGGGTAGGGAAGATGAAGGGGCAGGGAGCGAACAGCAGCGTCACCAGCAGCAGTGCCGCCAGCAGGGTTAAATGGCCTTACCTACTTACCGCACTATGATGCCTGTGAGGCGATGGGGGGAAGGAGAGGAGAGAAGGGGTAGGATGGTAGCAGGGTTGTGTTTGAGGAGGGACAACTGGAACAAGGGAAAGAGCCACCATGGATAGAAATACAGCGAGGTGTTACAAAAAAAAAAGTGGTGCTATCTTACTGTACTAACTATGTTGCCCTACATCAATCATACCCATGGCGATTGGAGCAGCGACAGCGAGCAGGCCTGGCAGCAGCAGCTCCTTGAGACTCACAGCCTTTGAGGCACCTTGCACACAGCACTCTCTGTATTGCACAAATCAGATTTCCAGTAGCAGTGCATCGATCGCACTCACCCATGGCGATTGGAGCAGCGACAGCGAGCAGGCCTGGCAGCAGCAGCTCCCTGAGGCTCACAGCCGCCACTGCACCCACGAAGCGAGATGGGTCATCCAGTACCATGGGCGCCCTCGGGTATGCCTGCTGGGAACCGGGTTGGTGGGGAAAGGGAGGGGAGGGTACATACGAGGATTCAGTATGTGCGTGGACTCATGAGGCTCACTGCACAGCCGCCACTGCACCCACGAAGCGAGATGGATCATCCAGTACCATGGGCGCCCTCGGGTATGCCTGCTGGGAGAATGGGTTGGGGGAGAAACGGGAGGGAATGGGGAGAAGAAGAGATGATGGGGTGGCTGAGAGAGAGAGAGGACGAGTGGATGCATGAAAGAATATGGTAGCAGACAGAGAGTCAGCAAAAATAGAGGTGGATGCAGGTACTCCATGTCAGAGGGCCTTCCTGCGAAGTTGGGACAGGACAGCCCCCAAAAGTGCACCGCGGTGGTTCCAGCCTGGCAGCTCAAAAGATGCTTTCACGTGCTCATCATCTTCTGTGTGTGCAACCGTTTCGGCGTTCCACATCCCAGCGCCCCAATCACATGGGGCACGACTCCAAGTCACTGCACGACTCTATCTACACTCTGCGATCGCATCCCATGGGGTTCGACGGCGAAGATGTTGAACTGTACTGGGCCATGATCGCATCCTGCCTTCGCACGTTGGGCTCAACCCAACCGCAACGTCCACAATCGTCCCCCCGCCACCTCATCACAATGCCCCATGCCTTGCACGTGCCATGTGCACGTTTCGCTGTCCCGACTTCGAAGTTGGGACAGCCCAGGAAGGCGATCTCAAAGACATACTCTAAATCTAAATTCACACACACACACACACATATATATATATATATACATATATATATATATATATGTTATTGCGTGTTTGGAATCTAGTTATCAATGCTTCTGTAAGAGAATCGACCTTGACCTTACCATCCGCATTCTCTCCCAGAGCAATAACAGCATCTTTATCGCGCTATAAAGAGAAGAAAAAAAAGGGAAAACCCCAAAAAAAAGGCACACTCTCTCCCCTCCCAGCATACCTTCTCCTCAGCTCGGTGGTGCAGGTGCTTCCTTCCCTCCCTAACCACAATGGCCGTGCACTGAATCACTCCACACATTCTTTATAAGAGCGCCGGCTATTCTCAACTTGCTTTTGAGTTGAGCCACCCCAGCATACCTTCTCCTCGGCTCGGTGGTGCAGGTGTCTGCGTCCCTCTCGCACAACAATGGCCGTGCACCGCGTCACCCCAGAACCTGCCATCGCTACGCCTCCCACCACCACTGCCGCCCCCACCATGCATGCCACTAGCAGCTCTGGCCGCAGCAGGTCAATCTGGCGTTGGGATTGGGTGGGAGTGTGGGAAAAGGAAGGAGCAGCACTAATACGAATTGGATGGCTGAGTCACCCCACCTCCTGCCATCGCCTCCCAACGCCACCATGCACGCCACTAGCAACTCTGGCCGCAGCAGGTCAATCTGGCGTTGGGATTGGGTGGGAGTGTGGGTCAGGGAGAGGAGCAGCATAATCATTTCTTGGACGGAAAACGGAGTCACTTTACATGCTGCCACCGCCACGCCTGCCACCACCACTGCCGCCCCCACCATGCACGCCACTAGCAGCTCTGGCCGCAACAGGTCAATCTAGTGTTTGATGGGGGAGTGTGGGAGAGGGAGAGGGAAAGGAGCAGTGCAATCATTGATTGGGCAGAAAGCGTAGTTTCTCCACTCCACATGGTGCCTTTGCCACAACTCTAGAGCACACTACCACTGCCGTCCCCCTCCCCCACCATGCACTCCACCAGCATCTCTGCCTGCAGCAGCTGAGTTGATTATTGAGGCGCCTTAAAAATCAACTCTAGAGCACACTACCACTGCCGCCCCCCTCCCACCATGCACTCCACCAGCATCTCTGCCTGCAGCAACTCTACCTCCGAGCAGGATGGGAAAGATAGGAGGCAAAAAGAAAAAAGAAAAAAAAAGAGGGATACGAGATAGAGAGGAAAGGATGGGTAGGGTAAGATGACAAATATGAGTGATCAGTCCAATAAGCCTGGCTGCACCTCACATGATACAGAGCTGTGCCAGTGTAGGAGGAGACAAGAGGCACAAAGGCATGTATGAGAGAGCACCGGAGAGCAGAGAAGAGCGAGGGGGCACCACACACACCCCATGGCATGTCAGACAGACGTCTCAGAACTCACATTGTGCAGTGGTGTGGTGGAGTAAGAGGAGACAAGGGCCACAAAGGCGTGCACAAGCAGCAGAGAGCAGAGCGAGGAGGCACCACACCCCATGCCCCGAGTAGCCGACGCCACAGCTGATGCTGCTGCCTCCAAGGGACTGACTGGCGTCCGTACCACAGCCGCTGCCGCTGCTGCCGCGGCCGCCGCTGCTGGCGATGCTGATGCTGAAGATGAGGGAGCGTGGGGAGGAAGCGCGGAGGATTGTAACGAAGACGACTGTAACGAGGATGAGGAGTCCCCTGTGCTGCCTGCTGCTGCAAACCCTCCTGCTGCCATCTCTCCTGTCGCTACCCCTCCACCTACCCCTCCCGTTGCTGCAGCTGCGTCTGAGGATACTTGTTGTTGCAACAGATGCGGTGATCCTCCTGCTGCTGCCATATGGTCTGAAGACATGCTGCCTCCGTCTTGCATGCCCATGCCGTATGCATCCATGCCATGTGATGCCATGCTGTGACCTGCCATGCCATGTGCGTCCATGCCATGTGATGCCATGCTGTGTGCTGCCATGCCATGTGCGTCCTGCATGACATCATGTGCTGCCGGGCCGAGACTGAACTCCTGCATCTGCTGCATCTGCTGCATCTCCTGCATCTGCTGCATCTGCCCCTGCTGCTGCTGCTTCTGGTGCTGCACGTAGGAGAATGGGACGGGGGAGGAAACGGAGGTGAAGGGAGGGAAGAAGAGAGAGCGGGAGAGAACTCAAGGGAAAGTTAGTTCATCGGGAAAAAGGCAGGTAAGTATTAGGTACCATTGGAACAAGGTCGTGAGCAGTAACCCACCCACGTGTGCCATCATTTTACATAGTAACCCAGCGTGTGAAACAGCGAGCTGGGAGAAGCACCCACAACTAAGCATCCCCATCACCGCCACAGCCAGCCCCAGCAACCCCCCTGCCGGCTCCCCCTTCTCATCCACCAGGCCCAACAGCCCCCCCACGGGCTCTCCCAAGTTTCCCCCTTTCACCAGCTATCAGGCCTATCCTCATCCACCAGTCCCCGTAACCTTGGTTGACCCCCACCCACCTGTGCCATCATTTTACACGTGTGAAACAGCCAGCTGAAACAAATCCGTGGAGAGGGAGAAGCACCCACTACTAAGCATCCCATCACCGCTACAGCCAGCCCCAGCAGAGTAAACCCCCACTCCCTCACCAGCAACTCCCTCTTTTCCCATCCACCACCCCCTTTGGTTGACCTCGTGTCCCCGACTCACCTGAGCCATCATTTTACACAGCAAGCCGGCATGCGAAACAGCCAGCTGAAACAAGTCAGTGGTGAGGGAGAAGCACCCGCTGCTGAGCATACCCATGACCGCCACAGCCAGGCCCAGCAGTCCCTCTGCCGGCTCCCCCTTCCCATCCACCACCAGCCCCCTTGAGAATTCTCAAAAAACACGCTCTACAACACATTTCCCTGCCGGCTCCCCCTTCCCATCCACCCGCCCCCTTGGTTGACCTTGCGTCTCTCACTCACCTGTGCCATCATTTTACACAGCAGGCCGGCATGCGAAACAGCCAGCTGAAACAGATCCGTGGTGAGGGAGAAGCACCCGCTGCTGAGCATGCCCATCACCGCCACAGCCAGGCCCAGCAGCCCCCCTGCCGGCTCCCCCTTTCCATCCACCAGCCCCGAATTCCGCCCCAGCCACACCGCCGCCGCCACGGCCAATCCCACGATGACAGCTGGCGGCGCGGCGGCGGCAATCCCGAGGGCGAGGCCGGAGGAGATGTTGGATGCGTGGCCGGAGGAGGAGGCGATTGCGAGGGAGCGGACGGGGGGGAGGTGCGGGGCGGAGAGGAGGGAGGAGGAGAGGAGGAGGAGGATGGAGGAGAGCATTCCGAGGAGGGCGCAGAAGAAGAAGTGCAGCCAGGCTAGAGGGGCCTGCTCCGTGAATAGCAACCACCTGGTCGCCTGGAAAGGGCGGGTTGTGAATGGGATGGGCGCAAATGGGAAAACAAAAGGGAAAGGTGGGGGAGCAAGGGGGGATACGTAAGGGCTGTGCTCATCTTAATATAGTCACCTGGTCGCCTGAGGGTTGATTTGGGTGGGTAGGGACGAGAGAGGAGCATTGGGAGGAGGATGGAGGAGAGCATTCCGAGGAGGGCGCAAAGGAAGAAGTGCAGCCAGGTGTTTTGGTGCTGTGAGCAACACATACAGTGCCCCTCCGTGATGCAACAAGCAACCCACTTACCAGGGCAAAGGAGGAGACAGCGAGCACAAGCGAGAGGGCATATCCGTTGAATACACACCCCACCACCTCCTCTGCTGCTGCGGGCAGCACAGCACACCATACCAGAAACACCCATACAGAGCCCCCCCATTCAGGGGCTACAATGGGAGCCACTTACCAGGGCGAATGATGAGACAGCGAGCACAAGCGAGAGCGCGTATCCGTTGAATACACACCCCACCACCTCCTCTGCTGCTGTGGGCAGCACTGATCCCCGCACCATGGGCGAGCGGGGAGAGGAGCGGAAGAGCGGCGAGTGCGAGGAGAAGGGGGAGGAGGAGGAGTAAGAGGAAGAGGAGTCGATGGGGAGAGAGTGAGGGAGGCGGGAGGAGCCAGCAGCAGCAGAGACGGAGAGTATGGCTGCGGCTGATGTGAGGAGGTCGAGAGAGAGCACCACGAGGGGCAGAAGGATGAACCCTGTTGGGTCTGGATTGGTAAGGAGAGGGGAGGGAGGGAAGGGAAGGGGGGGAGGGCAAGGAGGGAGGTGTATGTAAGGTTGATGATGACATGTGTGGGGCCTGGCTTTTGAGGGGCCTCAAAAGTTGTGAGGCGCCTCAAAAGGTGCATGTAAGGTCGATGATGACATGTGTGGGGCCTGGAGTGGGAGAGTGTGAAGCAAACGAGTGGAATGGGGGGGAAATCAGGGAAGGGCAAAGAGTGAAAGAAGTGCTGCAAGGGAAGCAAACCTACTGTCGATGGCGCAGTGCTGTGCCACATGCGCCCCCAGCACCATCGACGCCACCGCCAAGGCAAATCCTGAGTCGCTTCTGAGATTAATCAAAAGCAAAGGCAAACCTACTGTCGATGGCGCAGTGCTGCGCCACATGCGCCCCCAGCACCATCGATGCCACTGCCTCCGCTGCAGCCAGGCAGAACGCCTCACACGCCCTCGCTGCCCCCCTCGCCATGCCCACCCCCACCTGCTCTCCACGGACGCATGGAGAAAGATACGAGGGTGGGGGTGAGAGGGAAGAAGACAGGATATATATATATATATATTAGGCAACTTGATGCAGGGGGTAATACAGAGAGGAGGGAGAGCGAGAAGCGAGTTTTAACGACCCTTCAAAATAGGCCTTAAGAAAACAAAACCTCGAAAACAGACCCACCATGTCAGCAACAGCAACAACATTGGCGCCCCCTCCTGCCGCCTCAGATGCGCTTCTGTCCATCCTCGATATAAGCTTGTGGCCCAGAGCCAGGGAGCGGGAGAAGATGGATGGCGGGAGGTGGTAGAAGAGAGACACCACTGCCGCCCCGAAACAGAAGCAGACAAGCAATGCCGGCACTGCGGTGGGAGGGGTGAGTAGGGGGAGGATGGAGGGAAGGTGAGGTACGGAGGAGAGGATAAGAGGCAGAATCAAGATGAGGTAAGAGAGTGAAGTTGCGTAATATTTTCGGCTTTTCACTGCTTGCTTACAATCAGTGGGCTTAAGGCCTGCTGAAGCCATAGCTGAACCCGCAGTAGCGGCCGAGGCAGCAGTGGCGGAGAGGCCTCTTCGTTTTTGTGCAGTGAGGGAGGCGGGGAGCGGGGCGAGGTGCATGTGGAAGAAGGCGAGCAGGGCGCTGTAGTTGATGCCCAGCCCCACCACCGGCACTGCTGCCACCACCAGCGCTGCTGCTCCCGCTGCTCGGATTGCAACCTGTGGGCGGGGAGCGGTTGAAAACGATATGCATGGGAGGGGTTGACAGAACCATATGCATGGGGTATTGTGCAAGAAAGGAAGAAGAAGGCGAGCAGGGCGCTGTAGTTGATGCCCATCCCCACCACCGGCACTGCTGCCACCACCAGCGCTGCTGCTCCCGCTGCTCGGATTGCAACCTGTGGGCGGGGAGCGGTTGAAAACGATACGCATGGGAGGGGTTGACAGAACCATATGCATGGGGTATTGTGCAAGAAAGGAAGAAGAAGGCGAGCAGGGCGCTGTAGTTGATGCCCATCCCCACCACCGGCACTGCTGCCACCACCAGCGCTGCTGCTCCCGCTGCTCGGATTGCAACCTGTGGGTGGGGAGCGGTTGAAAACGATACGCATGGGAGGGGTTGACAGAAACATATGCATGGGGTATTGTGCAAGAAAGGAAGAAGAAGGCGAGCAGGGCGCTGTAGTTGATGCCCATCCCCACCACCGGCACTGCTGCCACCACCAGCGCTGCTGCCCCCGCTGCTCGGATTGCAACCTGGGGATGGGGAGGGTTGTTGCGTTAACTTGTGGTAGCCCTTGTTGTGTTAACTTTGTGGTAGCCCTAACTCGGCTTCCAGTCATTCTCTCTCTTGCCTACCTCCACAACCTCATTTTCTCCCCAACCCCTCATTCCCTTTCCTTTCTTGGAAAATTCCGAACGCACCATTTCTTGGCCTCTGCCTACAGTTGATTTTTTAGTGTGGTTGTGCTGCCGTCAAGACAGGGACACGAGTGTGTTCTGGTTTTCTCACCTGAAGGGCCTCCTGAGGGGATCGCCTGGCAGCAACAGCAATCCTGGCAGCAGCCGGCACGGACAGGCGTAAACAAATACCACTGTATTCGTATTAGTATTCGATATTCGACAAATATCAAATACAAATCAAATACAAATGCCCCTTACAATTCGAAAGTATTCGACGTTCAAGTATTCGAGTATTCGGTTTAGATAACCGGTTATTCGAATACATATTCGATTCGTTCTTAAGTTACTGAACCACTCAAACCAGCCGCTATTATTCACGAAATCTTGAGTAAACAATACAAAGGACTCTACAGAACGGCCGTCAGAGCCATGCTAACTGAGCAAGGGGCCAATGAGTTAGAGTAAAAGGGTGTGAATGATACTTCAGTATGCATTTAAGCCCCACCGTGAATCATGAGATCCTTGTTTGAGCTACAATATGCTATTCGAAACCGTATTCGACACACCATGTATTCGAAACGTATTCGAATTCGTGGAGGGACAGGTATTCGAACAAATACAAATACAGCCAGGTATTCGACAATTATTCGTTTTAGATAACCATATTCGAATCCGTGTTCGTTTTTACACCCTTAGCCGGACAACCACACAGCAGCATGTGCAGCAAGAGTCATGCAGAACCCTCCCAGGAGGAAGGCGAGGAGAGAAGCGAAATGACAATGCCTTTGTTCTTTTACCTGAAGGGCCTCCTGAGGGGATCGCCTGGCAGCAGTGGCAATCCTGGCAGCAGCCGGAACAGACACCCACACAGCAGCATGCGCGGCAAGGGCCATGCAGGACCCTCCCAGGAGGAAAGAAGGAGAGCAGCGAGACGACAACATGCGTTTTTTTACCTGAAAGGCCTCTTGGGGGATCGCCTGGCAGCAGTGGCAATCCTGGCAGCAGCAGGCACGGACACCCACACTGCAGCGTGCGCGGCAAGAGCCATGCAGGACCCTCCCAGGAGGAAAGAAGGAGAGCAGCGAGACGACAACATGCGCTTTTTTACCTGAAGGGCCTCTTGGGGGGATCGCCTGGCAGCAGCAGCAATCCTGGCAGCAGCAGGCACGGACACCCACACAGCAGCATGCGCTGCAAGAGCCATGCAGGACCCTCCCAGGAGGAAAGAAGGAGAGCAGCGAGACGACAACATGCGTTTTTTTACCTGAAGGGCCTCTTGGGGGGATCGCCTGGCAGCAGCAGCAATCCTGGCAGCAGCAGGCACGGACACCCACACTGCAGCATGCGCTGCAAGAGCCATGCAGGAGCCTCCCAGGAGGAAGGAGAGCAGCGAGACAAAGGCGAGCAGGGAGCGGTGCACCCCGGTGGCCTCCTGCTGAGGTGAGAGCTGGTGGGAGAGGTGGATGAGCGCCACCAGCATGGTGGCCACTAGCACCGCCTTGGCTGCTGCCGCTGTTACGGCTGCTCGCAGCGTGGACGCTCCCCTTTGGACCGCTGCTGTCACCTGGTGTGGGCAGGAGAAGTGAAGAGAAATGACAAGGAGTGAAGAGGAGTGAGGTGGCATGAGGGAAAGGTTCAGGGAGGGAGAGATGAGGGAGAACGGTGCATGCCGGTGGCCTCCTGCTGAGGCGAGAGCTGGTGGGAGAGGTGGATGAGTGCCACCAGCATGGTGGCCACTAGCACCGCCTTGGCTGCTGCCGCTGTTACGGCTGCTCGCAGCGTGGACGCTCCCCTTTGGACCGCTGCTGTCACCTGGTGTGGGCAGGAGAAGTGAAGAGAAATGACAAGGAGTGAAGAGGAGTGAGGTGGCATGAGGGAAAGGTTCAGGGAGGGAGAGATGAGGGAGAACGGTGCACGCCGGTGGCCTCCTGCTGAGGCGAGAGCTGGTGGGAGAGGTGGATGAGTGAGTGCCACCAGCATGGTGGCCACTAGCACCGCCTTGGCTGCTGGCGCTGTTACGGCTGCTCGCAGCGTGGACGCTCCCCTTTGGACCGCTGCTGTCACCTGGTGTGGTCAGGGAGGAGCACACGAGGGGTGACGAAGACTGAGACGACTTTTGAGGCGCCTCAAAAGTCGCAGCGTGGCCGCTCCCCTTTGGACCGCTGCTGTCACCTGATGTGGGCAGGGAGGATTGCAAGAGGGGTGACGAGGACTGACGAGGAAATTTTTGAGTCAACTCAAAAATAGGATGCCCCCCGCTGCACTGCTGCTGTCACCTGGTGTGGGCAGGCAGGGAGGAGCGCAAGAGGGGTGGCGAGGACTGAGGAGGAAATGGGAGTGGCTAACGAAGGGAGGGAGGAGAGAGGGAGCAGCGCACGCCCATGACCTCCTGCCGAGGCGTGATGTCTAAAACAAGAAAACAAAAACATACTGAAAACGAAATTGCTAACAATGTGAAGACAGTGTGAGTGAGTGACCACGACGTGTGGGAGGGAAAGGGGGTGAGGCAGACAAAGAGCACAACAAGCAGGTTGACAGGGAGTGAGGAGGTCTGGAGCTGCTCCTCACCCCCATCCCCCAACCCAACCCCCACAACCACCCCCACCCCCAACCCACCTTTGGTCATCATATTTGGTCCGCATCCAGGAGCCAAGCAGCCAGGGGAGCACGGGGACAGGAAGTGCAAAGAGGCAAAGAGCCAGGGGAGCACGGGGACAGGAAGTGCAAAGAGGCAAAGAGCCAGGGGAGCACGGGGACAGGAAGTGCAAAGAGCACGGGGACAGGAAGTGCAAAGAGCATGGCAGCAGCGGCGACGAGGAAGACGGGGATGAGCACCGGGGAGGTGAGTGAGGCCAGCAGGAACGCCTGCAGGAAGGGCGAGCAGGCAGACGAACAGCGGGGCTAGCAGGAAGGCGAGAAGGTGGGCAGAGAACGCATGGGCCTTGTTGCTATCCCTGAGAGCCAACCCACCTGTCTGAGGGTGTTCCCGCCGTCATCCCTGGACCGCACCCAGGAGGCGAGTAGCGAGGCAAAGAGCACGGCAGCAGCGGCGAGGAGGAAGACGGCCAGTGCCATCCCAACCCACAAGCTTCCCCTCCCCCTCCCCCCACCTAAACCTAGACTAACAACCCACCTGTCTGAGGGTGTTCCCTCCATCATCCCTGGACCGCACCCAGGAGGCGAGCAGGGAGGCAAAGAGCACGGCCACAGCGGCTAGGAGGAAGACGGGTATGAGCACCGGGGAGGTGAGCGAGGCGAGTAGGAACGCCAGCAGGAAGGGCGCTGCTACCAGCAGCCTCGCCACCTTTATTCCACGGAACAGGTCAGGACTCTGGGAAAGGGGGTGGGGAGAAGGGGGGTTATGTTGTGGGAAGGGGGGTGCAGGTGATAAGCAACGGTTAAGCTGGCAGGAGGCTATTTGCACGAAGGGCGACGCTACTAGCAGTCTCACCTCCTTTATTCCACGGAACAGATCAGGACTCTGGGGAAGGGGGTGGGGAGGGGACGGGGAAAAGGTGAGAGAAGGTCAGGGTTTTTGGGGGACTGGGGAGGAAGAGTGGGGGGAGGGCGGGAGGGGAAGGGCAAGGGGGAAAAAAACAGCTAGCCGTCCAGCATGAGTGAAGCGGAGCGAGCTAAGGAGCTAGGCGGATCTTACGGGCAATCGAGAACGAAAACAATGGGCACTCAGAAAAGGAAAAACTGGTCGTAAAATGGATCAGAAATTCCAAACAATAAAGATTCAGGGCGGGGAGGGGAGAGCACTGACGAGGTCGGGCACCACCACCACATGCTGCGCTAGACTGTCCTCGAACGGCGTCCGCGCCATGGGCTGACTCGTTTATAGGCGCCGATAGAGCAGGCCTGGGATGAGCTACCATCAAGTGCGGACCAATCAGCGGCTGCTCTGAAGGGGTTTGCGGTGCTGGGAGAATGTTGATTTGGAGGAGGAAGGGAAGGGGATGGGGGAGGAGGAGGGGGAGAGATGGAGAGGGGTGAGGTTTGGGGAGGTTGCAGTCATAATCCACCAGGTCAGCAGTCAGGTTATGAGGCCATGGCAGATGCTAACGTTTGCGAGAGTAGCGACTCTTGAATAGGAGCTGGGTAGAAGAGGTGTAGGGTTGACTCAATGAGACCTGGACGTACGAGCTGCAGCTTGACGGCCTACATCCGCGTTGTGAGTTGGCTCACGAATAAGGCAAGGACGTTCACGCCTCGCAGCTGCATTCACGCACTCGCATTCTCGTATTCGCAATCGCATTCTTGCAATCGCATTCTCGTATTCGCGATCGCATTCTCGTATTCGCAATCGCATTCGCTTATTCACAGTCGAATTCTCGCAATCCATTCTCGTATTCGCAGTCGCAATCGCATTCACGTTCTCTCAGTCGCCACCCTCACAGTCGCATTCTCGCAATCGAAAATTCGCACTAAGCCATTCCCGCACTCGCGATGGGGACTCAATGCCACCATTGTCAATCTCACCTGTAAATCAGGAGTTGAGCGGCACGGTAAGCTTCAGATGTATCTAGTATGGAATCGCAACATTAGGATTCGACAGCGCGCGGCCATGGTAGGTGAAGCGTCCCGTTGAAGCCCGAGTAGGTGCCAGTCTCACTCAACTCCTGATTTTGTTTTGCTGCTCAGGAAGCGAAGTGACGTGAACACCCTTGTTGCTGCTTGCGACAAAATCGAGGGAAGTGTTCGGTAGAGGATAACTCGAATAACTGACGGCTTTAGTATGTGAAAACAGTTGGAGTTTAGAAAAACCAGCCTGCTATGTGATAGTTTAAACAATGTTTGCTTTCCGCACAAGTCCACAATACAAGCAGGCGATTCATGTCAATTCCTTATAAACAATAAACCACAAGCATCTCCTGAAAGCATCACCCGATTGCTTGCCATCCACGTTCAAAGGCAGAAGAAAACCTGACACCACATGAAACTTGAGCACTTGCAGTTTCCTGCCCTTGCAACCCAGGTGATTACTTTCCCTTGTAACCAGCAGTCTCCCTCTCACAACCGAACCCAGTGTACCACCACCACAGTGTTGCGAAATAGTAGAAATTCGAAAAAGTAGAAATTCCTTACTGCTATTCCAGCGGTACTCGGCATCAACACCTCTTCTCATCCATCTCAACTTAAATCCCCTCCCCAGTCTCCGCTCTTCCTTCCCTAACACTCCCTCTCTCTCCTCTCCCCCTCAACCTCAACTTCCTCCAAACTCTTCCTGTGGCTCCCCCTTCCATTCACCAATAGCATCCTCACCTCACCATGCAAGAAACATCTTCCTACCGTAAATTCCTTAGCCATTCCACTTAAAGCCTTTGTCACTCCACCCTTCCACTCAAAAAGCCCCATCCTTACCTCACGGTTCGACATCAAGGTAATCTGCATCGTCCACCTCACTCCATATTCCAGCCCTCTTCCCCATACTCCTCGGCTTCCTTGACTTACCTCGCCCTCTTGCAGCCCACAGTGCATATCCGCACAAGAACCTGCTAATGAGAAAATGTGGCCCCTTCACCTGCCACTCCTCCACCATCCATCTCCCCCATTCGTCGGGGGTTCTTCACTTTGGCACCGCAGTGCCGGCAGCAGAACCGAGCGTGCCGCACATACATGTGGAAATGGTCCAAACTCACACACGCATGGTCGGAAACCCCCTCCCCTTGCTGCCACTGGCTCCTCCTTTAAATCTCATCTCTCCCCACTCTTCCAATCCCAGTAACTTCTGCCCCCGAACTCCCGTCCTCTCCCTCTCTGCCCTCCTCTGCCTCTCTTGCCCCTCCTGCCCCTGCCCCTGACTCTTCCAGTCACCGCGGGTTTTTCACCTTGGCACCGCAGTGTCGGCAGCAGAACCGGGTGTGACGCACATACATGTGGAAATGGTCCAGACTGCCACACGCGTGATGGGAAAACCCCTCCCTCCCTGGCGCCTGCTTGTCCCTAAACCCCACGCCGTGCCGCCCGCAGAATCCAATCGCCTTCACCTCGGGCAGCTGCAGCAGACCGGGCGGCAGATAGTCCAAACCGCAGCCGTCCACCACGAGAATGTGCAGACGGGGGAGTGCGCCGCCCAAGACTCGGTTGGTGGTTCTAGTAGCTGCCCCAGCGGCAGTAGTGGCGGTGGTGGTGGCTGTGGGTGTCGCGGTGGGGGTGGCAGTCGCAGTGGCAGTAGCAGTAGTGGTGGTGGTAGCTGTGGTGGTGAGAGACGGAACGGGGATGCTAGAATTCACAGCAGTGGTGGTGGTAGCTGTGGTGGTGGCAGGTCTGGTTTCTGTGAAGGGATTCGGGTTTGATTCAGCCGGAGCATTGCTGCTGGGAGCGCAGCTGCTGGGAGCACTGCCGAACGCACTGCTGCTACTGGGAGTGCTGCTGAGAGCACTGCTTCTGCCTTGATCCTTTGCTCCTCCTCCACCTGCTGCAGCGCCGCTGCCACCTGCTGCTGTGCTAGCTGCACCATCTGTGCCGAACCTGCTTCCACCCAGGCCAAAGGCCGCACTGAAGGAAAAGAAACTGCTGATGGGGGTAGCGCTGCTAGTGGATGCTGCAACAAGAGCCCTTGCTGCTGGTGGTGGTGGTGGCGGCGGTGGCGGTGGTGGCGGTGCAGTGGTAGGTGCTGCTGCTGCCGATGTGGCTGCTGCTGACGTGGCTGCTAGAGGAGTGACTGCTGGCGAGACAAATGCAGGCACGAAATTCCCAGCACCAAGCGAAGCAGAGGCAGGCGGAGGTGGGGGGATGCCAGACAGCAGAGGGTTGCAAGCAGCTGACGGGCTGGACGACGGAGGAGGAAGATTGAAGGACGCAGGGGACGGCCCAGGAGCGGCAGAGAGGCGCAGGGAGGAGTAGAGGCCGTGGGGGAAGGAGTTTTCAAAGTAGGCGAGCAGAGGCGGGCTGCCGGACAGCCATCCCTCGAGGTAATGCAGGTGGGAGAGGCGCGAGAGCACCCTCTCGTAGTGGTGCAGATGCCGTGCCGGCCTGAACGATGCTGCTGCTGATGGTGATGCGGAAGATGATGCGATGTGTGGGGGTCGCAAGGACGATGCGGTGGCTGTGGATGTGGATGTGGATGTGGTGGTAGGGAAGGGGAAGTGCACGGGAGAGTCATCGTCCCATGTCTCCTCTTCGTCCTCTGATCCATTGCCCTCGTCCTCATCCCCATCATCAGTCTCACTCTCCTCCTCTTCCTCCTCGTCACTCACGTAACTCTCGTCATCCTCCTCGTCTGAAGAATCTCCCTCAAATTCATCGTCATCATCATCTATCGCTGCTTTCCCCACCCTCCTCCTCCCCATCCCACTCCCCTCCCCTCGCCCCGCTCCCTCCATCCCTCCCCCTCTCACTCTCCTCCATCCCGCACCAGCCCACCTCCGCCTCTTCCTCCCCCCCTCCCTCTCCCCCTCTGCTCCCTCCAGCCCAAACCCAAGGTCGTCTAGAGCAGGGCAATCCGCTACAATCAGCTCCGTTAGGGTTTCCCACTGCTTCAGGGCGTTGGGGGGGAGGGAAGCCAATCGCCAGCAGTCGTGTATCACCAGGCACTGTAGCACGGGCAGGTTCGCCATGGAAACGGGCAGCTCTTCCAGGCGCGGGCAGAGCGATAGGCCAAAAACTTTCAGCGCGGGCAGCTGCCCGAGAGAGTCGGGCAGGCGTTCGAGGGACGGGAGCTTGAGCAGGAGCAGCGTGTCAAGGGCAGGAAGCTGCCCGAGGTCTTCGGGCAGGGAAATGAGCGAAGCACAGTCGGAAATTTCCAGGAAACGGAGAGAGGAAAGGGTGGCGGAGAGGTGTGGAGGGTTGGTGAGAGGGAGGGGTGGGTCGTGGAAAGAGTACGGCCCTGGCGCAGCAGCAGCAGCAGCGGCGGCAGCAGCAGCAGCAGCAGCAGCAGCAGCAGCAGCATAAGAAGGTGACCTGGTTGTGTTGCTGGGTGTATTGGTGTTGGGGGCTGCGGGCGCAGTAAGGCCAAACAGCGTGCTGACAGCTGATGCATGAGCAGCATCAGCATGAGCATCAGCAGCAGCACCTGCAGAAGTCGAAGCATCTTCAAGAGACAGCTCATCCAGTGACCTATGCCGCTCACGCCGCTCCAACCAACCGAATCCACCCGAACCTCCCGCCCTCAACCCGCCAGCGTTCCCGCCACCAAGACCCAACGCAGAGGACGCAACGCGGAAGGGCGGCAGGGTGGTCAAATGCCGGGCGCCATTCACGCACAGCCGCTCCAGCCCCGACAGATGCGCCCAGGACTCAGGCACCTCCCGCAACGCATCGCACCCCTCCACCTCCAACACTCGCAGACCCCCCAGGTGCCCTATCGACTCTGGTAACCCTACCAGACTCGGCAGCTGCTTTAACTCCATACTCTCAAGCCTCACCAGACACCCTATGTCTTCGGGCAGACTCGCTAGCCTCTCGCATCGGACAACTTCTAGGGTTACTAGGGCTGTCAGCTGCGCTGTGCCGGCCGGAAGAAGCTGTAGCGTGCTACAGTCGCTCAGGCGGAGGCGGGAGAGGCGGGAAAGCTCGGCGAGCGAATCCGGGAGGGCGGTCAGCGCAGCGCACTGCGACAGATGGAGTTCCTCGAGATTGGATAACCCGCCTAGGGAATCCGGGAGGCATGTGAGGCGCTCCGATTCCAGTTTGAGCACTCGGAGGGTTCCCACGCGGCCTAGGGTTTCGGGAAGCATCAAGAGGTCGAACGCGTTGATCTCGAGGTGCTCCAGCGCGGGCAGATCGCCGATGGACGGCGGGAGATGGTGGAAGCAACGGCTGGAGATGCGGATGGTTCGGAGGGAGGAGAGGAGGGAGAGGTTGCAGTGAGTGGAGGTGAAGCGAGAGAGGGTGCTTACAGATGGTTGACCTAGGTGCTCACTTTGACCGAGTTCTAGGGCTTCGAGTTGTGTTAGGAGGTTGACGGTGGGCGGGAGGGCGGAGACGCGGCGGTAGGAGAGGAGACGGATGACCTGGAGCCGCGGGCAGCCGCGAAATAAATTGGACAGACCGGCTTCGCTGAAGCGCGTGCGTTGCTGGTAGCCTACGTGGAGGAGATTAAGATTGGGACACGTCACGCCTAATCCGCAGAGGAGCAGGTCATCCGCGTCATAGACGGTTCGGTCGGCGACTATAAGGTGGGTAAGCAGCGGGAATCGCGCGAGCGACTTAAGGAGCTTCTGCGTGGAAATTTCGTGTGTCACGTGGACGTAGGTGCGGCCTAGGCAGGATAGTTGGTACCAGCGCTTGCAAACTAAGGCGTGGTCGAAGGAGCGGCGCGTGACGTAGTGTAGAACGCGAGCTAAGACATCGTCAGGTAGGTCGTTAAGAGGGAACGGCTGAGTGCAGGCGAAAAGCCGCAGCGAGGTGGAAGGGAAAAAAGAGCTCCACATGTTGGATTGGACGTGCCCCCTAATTAGGGTTTGAATAGGCAGCCTACCAAGGTAGGAGCCGGGACAAGTGATTGTGCTAATGCTTGGAACATAAGTCAGGAGCTTAAACTGGACGCAACTAACGATCCGCACGGCAAGAAACCGATGCTTCGACGAAAAGCACGTGCCATGGTGAGGGGGTAAGGTGCGAGCTTCGCACAAACAAAGCCACACTCGTGGGTAGTGGGTCACTACTAATTGGAAATTCCACCTCGATGCATTTAGGGTGGGGGATGAGGGAAGCGGTGTGACTGTAAATGCCCTAGACTCTACTGTTTGGTTGGTTCAACCAGATAGAGTGACCTAAACGAATTCACGAGCGTTCAGCTGCGTCTGCGAAACTACTAGAATTCGGTAGCAACGTCTTCGTGTAGAGAAGAGACGAGTGTGTGAATGGGGCAGTTTGCAAGGTCGTATCGCGTGGGGCCTGGTCCTCGGGGTCAACCGTGGACGACCTGACCGAAACCAGAGCAACAGCTCCATTCATCGTCACCGTCGCGACGTTTTGTCGAATAGTAATCCGACGGCTTTCATTTTGTGGGTGATTCGTGAAGCACGGAAAAATGTTGTCCTCGGCAGGAAAACACGCGGAAACGTCATATGCCGTGTGGCTTGGGGCAAGCTAGCTTGGCGTGTGATGTGCCTTGCAACTGCAATTGTCCATAGCGCGTCACCGAATTGATGCGGTACAGAATGATTCGCTAGCCTCATAGCATGGTAGACCTCTCTGTTATCTGCTACGTGTTGTAGCATAGACAGGACAACTAATAGGAACTTATGCAACCATCCTGCATTCTGGCTTTCTTTTTCACTACACACGTGTAATATCTCTCAATCTTCATCAACCATGTCATTAACTTGCTCTAGGAAGTTGCGCACTTGTGCTGCTGAAAGGAGCATCACTAGGCGAAGGTGTTGAAAGCCCTTCAGCTGTCAAAGCAACCATGAAATGGGTAGGGGAGGGGAGGGGGGGGGGGGGGGGGGGGGGGGTGGGGGGGTGGGGGAGGGTTAGAATTACGGTAGTGAGAGCGAGCCGATGGGGGGGAACGAAAAGGGAGGGGGAGGAGAAGAAGAGGGATTGGAGGGAGCAAGGGGGTTGAGGAGGAAATGTAAGGGGTACAAAGAGGGGAGCATACAACTCTCTACACATCACGACTCACATGCACCTGTACCAGAAACACGACTACCGGAATGAGCAACTGAGGACAGCCGGAGCATGATAAAAGCTGACAAGCAGATTGTTAATGCCAGTTGTTTGGGTGGTTCGATGTTCAGCAAAACCTTATTAACAAGGTTGGAGACCTTCGATGGTGTTTGGATGACAAGCGCAAAGAGAGAGAGAGAGAATTGGGAAGGGACACCCTAGCTGACCTGTCTGGAGGCCATGACGTCAGCATGGACTGGGAAGGAATATGATGATGTGGCGAGCTGCATGGCAACAGATGGGTGGGAAATGGTGCGAAGAAGCAAGCAGAGCACATGAGACACAAGGTGGACTATTGAGGTGCCTCAAAAGAATGCACTAACTCGGAGCCATGAGGCATGTGGCATGACATGTGGTATGCAGCGGGATGGTGAAAGATACAGATGCATGGTGGATGCGGCTGCACAGGATGGCCTACCTTCTTGAGCAGCTCGTCCTCTGGCTTGGGAAAGAACAGCTCTGAGGCGCTGCTCCCCGCTCCCTTGGCCTGCTTCCTTGCCGCCTGCACACGGACGGCCAGGCGGCATTGGATGACGGCATGTGGTCACATCAGCCGACTTGGGTTACTCGTGCAATGGTGATGAGATGCGGTCATGTCAATGCATGAGGACTGCATGGAAGGCTGGATCTAGACTTTCACATCTGCAGGCTTGCCCATGGCTGTGGTGCGTGCCAGGTGGGTGCCAGGTGGGTGCCAGGTGGGTGCCAGGTGGGTGCCAGGTGGGTGCCAGGTGGGTGCCAGGTGGGTGCAGGCCGTGGTGTGACCTTACATGGTGAGGTCAAACCACAGAAGAAGTGTGTCGAGCCTATTTTATGGTCGACTCAGAAATAAGTGTGTCCAAAGGGTGAAAGGATGCAATTACATCATTACAGCATTGTTGCCACATCCCTGCTTTATACAAATGGGTGCTCTGCAGCTGTAACCTGAGCGACCATGCGTTACAAGAACTCCTGTGTAGAATTGAGCACAGCCATTACCTTGCCGCCTGTCTGGCGGTACATGCGCGTGAGAATCAGGAACTTCTCCACCGGTGCTCCCTTCTCCAGCTGCCACGTGGACCAATAAGGGGGAGAGTGGCGAGGTAAGGTGGGAATACAGGTGGAGGGGGAGGAGGGGATAGGATAGGAGGAGGAAAGAGGCAAAACAGGATGGTGAATCTATGGCTTTGCAAAACTAAGGCGCACCACCTGTACCTCTCCTCCTTGTGAGAGAAGAGAACCCCCTGGATTGTTGTGCAACAGCACAGATTACTGACCCACCATGGGCTGCAGCGGTTTCAGGTTTGGAGTTTCGGTTTCAGGGATTTGGGTTTGAAGGATGTGAGATTTCAGGTTCAACGTTTTAGCTTTTAGGGTCCGTGACCCACCATGGGCTGCAGCATGCTTCTAAAGAGGTGTGGCACGAGTTGGAAGGGCAGGTTGGCCACACGCTCGCACACCACCACGCTCACTCAACCCCTTTGCATCTCCCCCATCCCCACAGCTCGGGGTTTTGGACTCAGGAGCACAAATGCGAATATGGGTTTATGGATTGAGATTTGGGGTTTTGGGTTTTGGCTTCAGGGACCTATGACCCACCATGGGCTGCAGTGTGCTTCTGAAGAGGTGTGGCACGAGTTGGAAGGGCAGGTTGGCCACACGCTCGCACACCACCACACCCACACGCCCCCTCTGCATCACCTTCCACAGCTCGTCCCACTGTGCCCTGTTGTCACACCCCTCATGCAGGAACCGGACAAAATCCGCCGTCCACCCCTTGGACTGCAACGGCAGTTTGGTGGGGTTGTGCGCAGGATGAGGATGAGGACGCGACCATGAGTTAGAATAAGAGGATGGTGATGAAAGGGCAGGTGGATTATACATGAGACTAGATGCACAAGCGAGCTGCTGATGTTAAGCTGCTCCACTGCCATGCCTTAGGATTCACAGAAAAAAGTTTTGAGGCGTCTCAAAACTGATGCTAAGCTGGTTCACTGCCATGCCTTCGGATTCTCCTCAAACAACAGCATTCATCAACTCACAAGGCATGGCATGGCATGATGCACCCGGTGTCACCTCACCTTGCAGATCAACGGCAGGCAAGCAGAGAGCCCCAGAATGCTCCCCTCATCCCCTGCTTTCACCACCGTTGCCACACTCCCACTCCCACTCCCACTCCCACCCCCACCCCCACCACTGCCAGCAGCGTCCCCTTCCCCGGCTGCGCCTCCTCCCGGAGTTCCCGAGGTGACCGCGTCCACAAAGGCCGGCAGGTCCCACCGCTTGCCGTCCAGGAAGGTTCGCAGAAGCGCCTTCACGCCGTGGTAATCCGACGGCTGGGCGTCATAGAAGTCGAAATCGACCATCAGGATCTGGTGGGGGTGGGCGGAATGACGAGGGATGGGAAGGAAAGCGGTCATGGAAGGGAACTATCACGGCATGGAAGGCAATATGAAAACAGACACAGCCAGCAAACACTCTGCCTTCGTACCACGGCTAAAGAACTAGAAGCTGCGGTAACCCCCATTTCTCAATCTCACAGCAAAATAGATCTCAACCGTCCAGTAGAGCGTCTAGAAGAAATCCTGAATCCTATCGTTGGTGATTCATTTCTGGTTATGTGACCCGCAAGCACTCAACCCTCCAAAAGCTGTCAGTACCTCCTCGTCGCCTTTCTTCTCGCCGTCGCCGTCGTTCCCTTCATCTTCCTCCTCGTCCTCTTCCTCCTCGTCCTCCTCTCCTCCCTCATGCTCCTCACGATCATCCTCCCTATCGTCGTCCTCCTCCTCTTCCTCTTCTACGTTCTCATTGGCCGCGATGTCAGTTTCCGCTCCCTTTAGCGACCGTTTCTGCTTCAATCTCTTGTCTAGAGCGGGCGAATCAACTCTGGCGCCGTCTCTTCCTCCGTTCTCCCCGTCGGCATTCCCAATGGGTCTCAGACCTAGAAGTTCCAATTGCTGGTCTTCTGACAATCGATCTAGTAGCTTCCGGAGTCGTCGCCGCGAATCGCGGCGTGACTTCACTACAGAGAAGGGGTTGTTGAACGGCGGCAAGCCGAAAAAACTCGAACTGGCGAGGCTGCGAACCATGGTGACATGCAACACGAACAGGTGCAATCAGTCAGAGCAGGTTTTAAAACTTTGATTAAATAAATTAATTTTGTCACCTCGCACACGGGGGTGTAGCTCACATGGTAGAGCGATCGCTTCGCATGCGATAGGTAAGGGGATCGATACCCCTCACCTCCACAAACCGAACTTGTTGTCTAGTGTTCCAGCTAAAACCATTAAAGTTTTCTTATGAGATGCAGTGTCCGTACAGGTTTAGCCACTTTGGTGGTGACCTACGCACAGGGAGACTAGACATTGCTTTTATGCATGCTGTGACATTACATTTGAGAACGCTTGTGGGAGCAAGCCACACCTTATTAGGAACCATACCCTTCCTGAGGCCATCCATCCATCCATCCATCCATCCATCCATCCATCCATCCATCCATCCATCCATCCATCCATCCATCCATCCATCCATCCATCCATCCATCCATCCATCCATCCATCCATCCATCCATCCATCCATCCATCCATCCATCCATCCATCCATCCATCCATCCATCCATCCATCCATCCATCCATCCATCCATCCATCCATCCATCCATCCATCCATCCATCCATCCATCCATCCATCCATCCATCCATCCATCCATCCATCCATCCATCCATCCATCCATCCATCCATCCATCCATCCATCCATCCATCCATCCATCCATCCATCCATCCATCCATCCATCCATCCATCCATCCATCCATCCATCCATCCATCCATCCATCCATCCATCCATCCATCCATCCATCCATCCATCCATCCATCCATCCATCCATCCATCCATCCATCCATCCATCCATCCACTTCATCACAGCAATCCCTGGAGGGGCCTGTGTACTGTGTATCACTCTACATCCCTGGGCATCTGCATGGCCATATGCCACCCTTGCCTGACAATGGACACACCATAGCATACTCCTAACCATATGTTGTATGTCTACTGTATTCACTTCATGCTACTGCCTTTGATCGCCATGTCTGTGCCTCTCAGTATCCCTGAGCACTCGTAGAGCCATGGGGCGCCATTGCTTGGCCGTAGACACTGACAGACCCATGCCAGTTGCCAGGCCCTTGAGCAGCATCATGGTGCGCACTATAAAGAAGATGTCTGCTGGGAAAGCCTGCAGTAGGGCAGGGAACATCGCAAGGGGGGGTGGAATAATAGCCGGTTAGCAGCATCATGGTGTGCACTATAAAGAAGATGTCTGCTGGGAAAGCCTGTGGCGATGAAGGGAGCACGAGCAGAGAATTGCAAACGTTGAAGACTCAGGAACAACAAATGCCTACAAGAAGACACTAGCTCTAAAAAAAACATTTGTCCGAAGAAACGGGACAGGCTGGTTGACAAAACAAATAACTACCCCTGATCCATTCCCAAACCTTACCTTCATGGCATTGCTCTTGAGTGAGCTCTCCGCCCCGAACGGGTTGGCACTGGTAACTCCGTTACCAGAGCCGGTATCAAACATGATCATGGCCATGCGGCGGAAGCTGTTGGGGTGCTCCCCGGCTGTCTTGGCCGTCTCTATCCCCATGGCCGTGAAGCACGAACCCACAGCCAGCATGTCCTCATCGGCTATTGCCACCACCAAGCGAGCCAGATTGAGCCTCAACGCTTCGGGAAGCTGCTTGGTCTGCCCATAATCTAACAGAGCCACCCTGCCCCCCGCGCACACGAGGATGTTTCCTGGATGGGGGTCCGCCTGAAAGTGCCCGTGCTGCAGCAGCATGCGGCCATACGCCGTGGATAGCGCTGAGAATATGCGACTGCAACGGGGGGTGAGGGGAAAGGGCAGGAGGTTAAGATTGTGACGATGGGAGGGTGGGGAGGAGCGTGCTAGATTCAGCCTGAGCGCCTCATGCAGCTGCTTGGTCTGCCCGTAGTCCAACAGAGGGGGACTCTGTCGTCCAAAGATACGACTGGGGAGGGAAGCGGGGGCACGGGACAGAGGGGGAGTGGTAGAGTAGGAGGACGGTGAGGATTGGAGGGAAGGGAGGAGGGAGCTTAGAATTGGACGTGGCAGGCAGGGGCGAACAAGGGCAGGCAATGAGAGTGGCCATGGCACATCATGTGAACCTAAGGAGAGGCACAAACACGAGTACCCCACCCAGCCCCGCCTGACCCCATCCCACCCAACCCACCGCACCTCTTGGTCTCTTTGGCCAGTGCACCACTGGGGCTGATGCCTTGCCGGAAGTCTCAGAATGGGCGTGTCCTCAGCAAGGTGTACACAAACACGAGTACCCCACCCAATCCCGCCCAACCCCATCCCACCGCACCTCTTGGTCTGCGTTGCCAGTGCGCCACTGGGGCTGATGCCTCGCCTGCGCATCTCCTCAGGCAGCCTCAGGATGGGCGTGCCATCTATGAAGTCCATTACCAATAGGCCCCTGGGAGAGCCACGAAAAGGCAGGTGAAGGAAAGAGGGGCAAGCAAGAATGCCTCAAATGAAGAATGGACTCAGAATGGGCGTGCCATCTATAAAGTCATCACCAGTAGGCGCCTGGGATTGACACAGTGGGCCACAAGGGGGCAAGACAGGAGACTGGGTACTAGGCCAGAAGTAAGGCGTTATTGAAGTGAGGAGGACTGATAGACGAAAGAGGGGAGCAGCGGAGGAAGAAAGGCAGAAGGCCACTTGAATGTCTAGCAGACGTCATAAACAGCACAGCATCTCTATCTGGTGAATGGGGCCACAGAAGCACAAGTGGCACCTGGCAACGGCAGCAGTAGTGGCACCTGGTGATAGCAGCAGCAACAGCATTACCTGGTGACAAGGCCTGGTATGGCTGCTGGAACGATGACAGGTGACGCCCGTGTGTCCATCTCCGCACTCCGCCCACCACCTTCAGCCCCGCCTTGCACAATGACATGTGCCCCTTGTCGATCCTCAGGCCTTGCCTTCTTCCCCGCATGCTCCACCCTCCCCAACGTCTCCACCCTCTCCACCCTCTCCACCCTATTCGCCCTGCTAATCCCTCCACGACCCACACCATGTCTGCCTATGCGCCTGCTGCTCCGCATCCCCCCATGCCTCTCCCACCTACCCCCTGCCGTCTCGCCCCCGTCCCGCTGTGCCAGGGCGTGTCTGATGCGCTCCATGGCTGCTGCCTCGTGCTCAAAGTCAAACTCGTACCGGATCTGCAACACAGGGACGAGGGAGGAGGGACACAGGATAAGAAACGAGGGCAGCACATACCCGTTCGTATCGGCCAGTAGTGCCGTTGAGCCGTTTCCGATATTTGAGCTGTCCGGGAAGTTCATGGCTGCTGCCTCGCGCTCAAAATCAAATTCGTACCATGCACCATGCACGGGGCGAGAGAGAGCAGCACACTACTAATGGGGTGACAATGCACCATGCACCATGCACCATGCACGCACCTGCTGCTCCAGCTCAGAAATGGGACCCAGCAGGTCCACTTTGAGCTCGGCGCGCTGCAGGAAGGCGCCAAAGAGACGCAGATTTGCCAGGTCCATGAGCATCAGCCGCTCTGCCCCCGCGCGCTGCACCTGTGGTGTGAGAATGAAGGGGAACGCGGAGGGCGAGGAGAGAGGAGGGAAGTGAGGGGCAGATAGGTGTGTGAGTGTGAGCGATGAGAGGACTGGGCGTAGCAGAGAGCTTGTGCTGTGCTCGCGCGCCCATGCGCATCAGGCGAGGTGCTCTGCCCCCCCGCGCGTCCATGAGAATTCTCAAAAACCAGCGCGTCCATGAGCATCAGGTGCTCTGCTCCCGCGCGCTGCACCTGTGGTCTCTTTTGAGACGTCTCAAGAGTCACCTGTGGTGTGAGGATAAGAGGGTGGAGAAAGAGAGTGAGGAAGCAAGCATGCCTATCCTATCACACAACGCCATACCACCCCATCATGCATATAGCATAGGCCCTGCCTGCCTGCCTGCCATACAAGCACAGTCATGCGCACGGTGCCCCCTGCACATGTGCTGCTTGCTTACCTTGATGGCAACACGGCGCCCATCCTTCAACCTGCCCCTGTGCACCTGCTTGCAATCCGCCCCCATCACACACACACACACACACAGAGGCACGGTGCAGGGGAGGGAATGACAAAGAAGACTGAGGATTGAGTAGAAGACGGAAACAAATGGGCAGACCATGGGCAGCGTTGATTGCAACAAGCACTTAGTCACAATCATACCACAAGGCATTCTGCTCCTTTCCCTTCCCTTCCCCCCTCACCCTTCCCCAACTCATCCTCCCCCTTCATTCTTACCCCACCCACCATCCTTCCCCCACCCACCATCCTCGCACACTGACCTGGGCAATGGACGCAGACCCAACAGGCTCTTCCTCAAACTCCGCAAACACGTCTTCCAGCCGCACCCGTGCCACGTCAGCAGCGCTTGCCACGTCACTCCCTGCCACGTCAGCACGTGCCAGCTCAGCCTCGACGGTGCGTCGGACGAGAGGGAAGGGGTCTGCGGGCGCACTGTCATGGAGGGGGGCGAGGCGACGCACCCATGCAGGGGGGGACATGTCTGGCTTGGCTAGGAACTGCCCTGCCTGGTGGGGAGAGAGGGAGTGAGGTGAAGGGAAGGGGAGAGAAGGGTAGAGGAGGAGTGAGGAAAGGAGAGGACATCGCACCCAGGCTGGGGGGGACATGTCTGGCTTGGCTAGGAACTGCCCTGCCTGGTGGGGAGAGAGGGAGTGAGGTGAAGGGAAGGGGAGAGAAGGGTAGAGGAGGAGTGAGGAAAGGAGAGGACATCGCACCCAGGCTGGGGGGGACATGTCTGGCTTGGCTAGGAACTGCCCTGCCTGGTGGGGAGAGAGGGAGTGAGGTGAAGGGAAGGGGAGAGAAGGGTAGAGGAGGAGTGAGGAAAGGAGAGGACATCGCACCCAGGCTGGGGGGGACATGTCTGGCTTGGCTAGGAACTGCCCTGCCTGGTGGGGAGAGAGGGAGTGAGGTGAAGGGAAGGGGAGAGAAGGGTAGAGGAGGAGTGAGGAAAGGAGAGGACATCGCACCCAGGCTGGGGGGGACATGTCTGGCTTGGCTAGGAACTGCCCTGCCTGGTGGGGAGAGAGGGAGTGAGGTGAAGGGAAGGGGAGAGAAGGGTAGAGGAGGAGTGAGGAAAGGAGAGGACATCGCACCCAGGCTGGGGGGGACATGTCTGGCTTGGCTAGGAACTGCCCTGCCTGGTGGGGAGAGAGGGAGTGAGGTGAAGGGAAGGGGAGAGAAGGGTAGAGGAGGAGTGAGGAAAGGAGAGGACATCGCACCCAGGCTGGGGGGGACATGTCTGGCTTGGCTAGGAACTGCCCTGTCTGGTGGGGAGAGAGGGAGTGAGGTGAAGGGAAGGGGAGAGAAGGGTAGAGGAGGAGTGAGGAAAGGAGAGGACATCGCACCCAGGCTGGGGGGGACATGTCTGGCTTGGCTAGGAACTGCCCTGCCTGGTGGGGAGAGAGGGAGTGAGGTGAAGGGAAGGGGAGAGAAGGGTAGAGGAGGAGTGAGGAAAGGAGAGGACATCGCACCCAGGCTGGGGGGGACATGTCTGGCTTGGCTAGGAACTGCCCTGCCTGGTGGGGAGAGAGGGAGTGAGGTGAAGGGAAGGGGAGAGAAGGGTAGAGGAGGAGTGAGGAAAGGAGAGGACATCGCACCCAGGCTGGGGGGGACATGTCTGGCTTGGCTAGGAACTGCCCTGCCTGGTGGGGAGAGAGGGAGTGAGGTGAAGGGAAGGGGAGAGAAGGGTAGAGGAGGAGTGAGGAAAGGAGAGGACATCGCACCCAGGCTGGGGGGGACATGTCTGGCTTGGCTAGGAACTGCCCTGCCTGGTGGGGAGAGAGGGAGTGAGGTGAAGGGAAGGGGAGAGAAGGGTAGAGGAGGAGTGAGGAAAGGAGAGGACATCGCACCCAGGCTGGGGGGGACATGTCTGGCTTGGCTAGGAACTGCCCTGCCTGGTGGGGAGAGAGGGAGTGAGGTGAAGGGAAGGGGAGAGAAGGGTAGAGGAGGAGTGAGGAAAGGAGAGGACATCGCACCCAGGCTGGGGGGGACATGTCTGGCTTGGCTAGGAACTGCCCTGCCTGGTGGGGAGAGAGGGAGTGAGGTGAAGGGAAGGGGAGAGAAGGGTAGAGGAGGAGTGAGGAAAGGAGAGGACATCGCACCCAGGCTGGGGGGGACATGTCTGGCTTGGCTAGGAACTGCCCTGCCTGGTGGGGAGAGAGGGAGTGAGGTGAAGGGAAGGGGAGAGAAGGGTAGAGGAGGAGTGAGGAAAGGAGAGGACATCGCACCCAGGCTGGGGGGGACATGTCTGGCTTGGCTAGGAACTGCCCTGCCTGGTGGGGAGGGGAGGAGGAGGGTGAGAGGGGAGTTTATGGTTGGGGGCTCAGGGTTTAGGAACATGTGTGGCTTGGCCAGGAACTACCCAGCCAGGTGGAGAAAGGAGGGATGGGGATGGGGATGGGGATGAATGAAGAGTGGAGATGGCATCTCTATATGCAGAAAGGACATGTGTGGCTTGGCTAAAAACTGCCCTGCCTGTTGGATCGGTGCAGAGAGGGGTGCTGTATCTCCGCGCATGCCGCGGTTACTTTTGAGTCATCATTGCTGCAGCCGTACCTTGAGGAAGAATCGCTGCTTGCGGTTGCGGGAGGTGACTGAAGGACACGCTCCTAACTGTCGCCTTTTGAGACGTCTCAAAAGTCTCCTAACTGTCGCAGCGGCGGCGGTACCTTGAGGAAGAAGCCCTGCATTTCGGTGCAGAGCGAGTGAAGTATCTCCGCACCCCGCTCGTGCTGCTCCTCCCACGCCGCCCGCCGCTGCTCCTCACTCAGCCTGCTTACGCGCACGCGCAGCTGGCACAGCTGATGGGGCTCGTATGGGGATGGGGGGCGGGGGGAAAGAAAGATAGAACCACGCAGCTGACTTCTGAGTCGACTCGAAAGCCTGCCTAGGCGCACGCGCACCCGGCACAGCTGATGGCGCTCACATGGGTATCGGAGTGGGGGAGTGGAAGTGAGGAAATGTGGAAGCAGGCGGAAAACGCGTGCGCGTGCGGACCTAGGAAAATACTATTGAGAGTCCACGGAACGAGCACTGTGGAAGGAATGGACTTTCTTGTCTACTGCATAGGAAACTGCCTTGGCTGCACAACTCACACGGCTCGTTATAGTCACCTTGTTGCTGCCTCGTTATAATCACCTTGTAGCTGCCGTACAGATGCACGGCTCGTCTCCAAAAATCGACAATGCGGTGCAGCGCCTGCTGCTGCTCCCGCCAACCCTCCACCTTCCTCCTGCTACCGCCGCCGCTGCCAGCAGTAACGCTGCTGGTAGCGTTGGTAGCGCCGGTAACCCTGTTTGTCCCCCGCGCCGTGGCGCTCCCCGTCTTGTCATGCGAATGCCATGGCGCGACGGACAGCCCGCAGCGGAATTGCGACTCCGCCTGCACGATCCGATCCTGCAGCCATCCCGCGAGCTCGGCGCGCAGCGCCTCGGGGTTCGATCCTACGACGGAATTTCCGTTACGGTCGGTCGAGGCGACAAGAGAGTGCTTCATGATCGAACCAGGCGGGTAACAAGGGCGGTAACGAAGCTTGTTGGGAATTGACGAGTAATGGGTGGCAGTTTAGGGCATGGGACTGACATGACGAGACGATGAAACTGTATGAATCACACTTAGTCCACGATTAGAGATTGCATGAACGATAATATATAATTATTATGGGACGAGGACGCCATGAATTATTTACCGATGATGTCATTTTGGGTACGCTGCTGCAACGCCTGTGATAAGGGATGCTTGCGATGGTTTGCGAAACTTAGCAGCTGGTTTCGGGGATTGAATCCTTCGTGTTCTGCGCACAGAGCTTGTTTCAAAGGGCACCGCAACAGCTGGGCGAAGAAGTGGGGAATTGTGATGGTGTTGCGAGTTGTTGCGAAATGACTCTCGCCACCATCCATGTTACTCGAGACAAATCTGACACCTTTTTGTCAGAGGCTCGTCAGCCGCAATACACGGACCAGAACGGTAACCGTGTTTGAACTGAACGGCACCGCATAAGTAGCAGTGCCCTTGTGGGAAGGCTCCAACGCAACATTCCCAGTTCAACATTCTCCAGCGCAACATTCTCTAGATGGCTTTCTGAACAAACTGTTCAAGAAAAATGTTTCCGGTAACAGATGTTAATACGGATTACGAAAGCGTTCATAAACGGTGCATCACGGTACACTTCTACGTTCAAGTCAAAGAGCATTCGACCTGACATGCCCACCACATACTTAGCAGATTTGTACTCATTTCGCGCCACGAGCCTCCACGCACCAACGTCACCTTCGAATTGCTGTGCTAGCTATCTCTCACGAGACGTTCCTGATAATCGGCGGCACGTAGGTCGGCACCAGGATGACGGAAGTGACCCACGTTGAGCTTGCCTCTAATGCGGTAGTAGTCGAACAGCAGGTCCGCTTGGCCCGGGTAGCATTAAATGATAAAGGGACGGTCCCACCATGAGTTCGTTGTAACTGATTCATTCTTTCAACCAACCAAGGGTAACGATGGTGGCTGCGCGTTTCCTTTCGACTACATTGGCACGGGTAGTACTAGTAGCGCTGGTGGCGCTCCATATGAGAGCCACGTCAGCATTCAACTTCTCAAGAGCCGAGGAAAAGTGCAGTGGTCGCTCAACTGCGACTGGAAGGGAAACGACATTGACCAAGCCGCCGGCAAGGGCGACACGTGCGGAAAGCAGTGCCTCAGCCGCGCGGATTGCACGCACTTCACGTGGACGGCCGAAAACGGCGGCACGTGCCGGCTCAAGGGGGCAATCAACGCGACGGAATTGGTCCCCGCCACTGGCACGTCGTGCGGTTACTGCGTAACCGATTACGGCGTCACCGGCAACCCGTACAGGGGAGTTCAGCAGTACCTCAACCGCGAGTACGCGGAGAACGTGAAATCCGCGATGCTCGCGTCCCCCGCAGACGCACCGTATTTCGCGAGCATGGCGCAATATCCGACGGCCGTCGTCACAAAAAACGGGACGCCCAAAACCTGTCAACATCCGGCGTATCCATCAGCCATGCGCGCTGGGGCATGGCTTCGAAAGCTGTGTGCAATCCCGAAGCAATTTTTCCGACCCAGGCATTGCCTGCGCACTGTCACGCTAGCTACTACCAATGCAACCCCTTTCACATTGTGTCTCCAGCTGGGTTTGGTATACGCTCTGCAAGCTTCCGTGTTAACATCTCAAAACTGTAGCATCCGATAAGAGTGAAGAACATAGTGTTGTGCCTGTGATTCAACAAAAAACTTCACGTCCATCAGAATAAAATATTATTAAAAAAAGGCACACACCAACTACTAGCCACACAAGGGACCCCTCCAAGCTACGATAACACCCAATTGGAAAGAAATAGATTTCAGAGGCAAGTACCGACACGCATCTCCACTTTCCTAGTAGCAACCAAACCATAGAGAAGGCTTGGTGACAATCATTCCAGCACAAAAGAAGAACCTTGATTCACTGCATATTCCAGGGCGGCCTTAGGGCAACTCCTCGCGGCATCGGCCAGCCCACCTGTTAAGATACCAGAGGCCAGGCGTCACAAACGACTCCACCATGTGCACGGTCCTCTGCACGGAGGCGACCGGCACAAGGTCGTAGCTCAGCTCGTCATCAGATGGCCGCATCCTCATGCAGCCAGTGCACTCGTCCTCCAGGGAGGGGTACCACTGCCTCACGAAGGCCACGGCCTCTCCCGCGGGGTGTGCATCCTCGCTGTTCATCATCAGCGTCAGGAGCAGGTGCACGCGGCCGACCACAGTCTCCCCAGTCCCATCCTCGTACTCAATGAACGAGAATGTGGCAGCACCGTGGTGAGAGGGGTTGGCGCGGACATAGTGTGGCCTGATCAGGCCGTGGTCCGTCCCGCGGGCTGGTAGAGCCAGCGCCGTGTGGACCTGATGGCACGAGAGGGGTAAGGGGGCAGGAGACGTGGCAGGGGGGTAGTACGTTCAAAAACATGGTGGAAAAGGAGAGCGAGCATGGTGTTGTCATGGGGGCAGCAGAACCCAGTACTTACCCACGCCGGAAAAGAGACGTAGCCAAAGAGGCGCGTCAAGTAGGCGTATGGCCCAATGCCTCCCGGGATTGCGGCATCGTACGTCGCGTACAGGTCCAGGGGAGCCTGCTCCCTGTCCGTGATCGCGCTGTGCATCCTGGATCGCTGGCGGCACAGCTGGGGCAGCCCACTCGCGATTGCATGCAGTGTGATGACATGTGGGTGTGGGGGGACAAATAAACACATGGTCTGCAACTCAGCACCCGCCAAACAGGCGGATGGGGCCAGACAAAGTCTTTCAGCCCACAAGCCTTTAAACTATCACCACCCCTCAGTCATACCGCAAGGGGTTGACAGAGGCAAGGGGTGGACAGAGGCAAGGGGCAGACAGAGGCAAGGGGCGGACAGAGGCAAGGGCGGACAGAGGCAAGGGCGGACAGAGGCAAGGGTGGGTTGTGTTGCTAGGTGTTCGACTGGGCCTCGCGACATCCCGCTCGTTGCGATGTTCCCTGGTTTCAAATGTACTCCACTGCTGCTGTCTGTTTTAGTGCTGCCGAGCTTGCTTCGTGTTGTTTCCTTAGCTGGTGCTTACGTGGTGAGATGGTTGCTTGTGTTTGTGCTGTGTTAGGCCTTGGTGTTTTCAGTGCAATTTGTCTGTGTGTTCAAATCGTGCTGCTAATCCACCACACGAACAAGGCGGGGGAAAGAAATGACTGACCTGAGAGGAACATCCCTGCTCCCCTCCTGGAAACGCGGCTCGCGGGGTGGCAGTGCGAAATACAGCGCGGGATGCTACCGTGTTGTATGACCGCGCGCTCCGAATGTATATCCTAATCATGACAATGCAAGGTTGTTTGTAACAATGTTACGTGTGCGTTATACTTGTCGAGGTGCTACTTGTAAAGCATGCTGCTTATTGGGAGGGTGCTGTTAGAGGGTGTTACCCTAAACGCAGGTAATCACCTTCGTTTGCTGCATCTTGTTTGTTTCACAAATATTTTTTTTTCGTATGTGTGTTGGCATTTTGACCCCGCGCTATACCGAACCTGTTAGTGGCAGATGCACCATTCGTGACACGTGCGTACTGTATCGTGAATGAAGGTTGCGCCGTGAGTGTTTCGGCAATCCTTGCCGAACGTGCGGGGGTATGTCTGTCCAATCATCATGAGCACTCCTGCAACATTGTCTTGCGGAAATGGATTGCTGATGATAAACCTCGAGCATTGTTCCGTGGGACATAGCCTTTACATTGTTTTGTCAGTCAAAGAGCAATGTTTTATGGCAAAATTCTTTGTGACGGTGTGGCTCGACACGATGAAGAAGGTCAACAACATCCAATGCCACCTCGATGACGCAGCGTCTCAGGCGGGTGGAAAGTCGATTCTCGTGCAATTCGTGATATACGACCTCCCGGGCCGCGACTGCAGCGCGTGGTCGTCTAATGGGATATTCCAAAAGGCGGCCTCGACACGTATAAGGCCAAGTACATCGACGCCGCCGTGTCGCGCCTTAGAAAGAAGGCGGCGAACGTGCGTCTGTCGCTCGTGATCGAGCCCGACTCGCTGCCCAACATTGCGATTAAGTTCGTCACAAAAAAAATGGGTGAAAATCCTTGCTTTTGCATTGCCCAAGGACTGTTGTTAGTTTGTCCCCAGCACCAATGCTGGAGGTCTATCTAGCGGAATGCTCACCAAGCTGAGAAGTGTTTGAGGATTGATTGGAAGGATTGCCTTGGCAATTTTCGTTAGGCTCGGCAAGGAGTGCCTCAGCATACGCAGAACAGTTCTCATACTCACTACACGGATCGTGGGAATTTCATACAAGGAAAACTTGTAACGGACCAAAGAATGTTACTACAGTACACCCTGCTCGATCTAGAAAACAATATTACCGTATACAAAACAGCATCACATTAAGCAACACGCATAGAGAATTTGTCACATTCTGTCCTCACATTGTGTGGCAAAAAATAGTAAACGTTTGGCATGTTTATTGTAGGTTTATGCAATATCGTACAATTTATAAACATTCACAATCAAGATGGTCTAGATTTAACCAAGACAAGCAAGCGGTGACCATTTGCTCAACGGGACAAAACAATACCGTATTTACACCCATAATTGCAGCATGCACAATGGTAACAAACAGGCCGACACTTCAAATCTGCAAAGAGCAACGAGAATGTTACAGTGGACTTACCTAACTTGCATGGCGCAGATGTTGACCGAAACTGTTTCGCCGTCTGGTATATACTTCTGAAAGCAGGGACAAATTCGAAAAAGGCACGTAGAATGCTCATGCACCCTGTTACGAACGGATTTCTCCTGGGAATATAATAGACACGGACAAGATGCATGTTTAGAGATTCATCGTTGGAATAAAAACTTACCTAATCTCCAGACGACTGATGTAGGGAGGGTAGGCGTTCTGCCTATCACGCCGTCGCCATATTGACACAGGCGGGATAAGCTCCTTCATACTGGCACGCTACGCAACCATGTCTGGACCTGGTGGAGGGGGGAGCAGAAGACAACGAACGGGAAATATAAAATTGGGCTTAAGAACTTGGGGCGCAGGAAAGAACGGAGAAGTGGAACAACTAGTGCAGTGCGCTAGGACACTGAGATGGAGGAGTATAAGAATTCTGGTAAAAATGAAGTTGAAATGAGATGGGCCTAAAATTTGAACCGAGAAGGACCAGTCACTGCTGCGTTATCTTTCTAGAATGCATAATGGCGATTCTTGGCAAACTGTTGTGCGAATATTGCTTTGAGTTGGCTTGGTGGCATGTGTGTGGATCAAATAATTGGCTCACGAGGGATCCTGGTTGGCGAAGATTGGCTGACGACAAAGTAACTGTAACCCTTAGCATATCATCCTTTGACAGGATGGGATACGTGGCTGACGACGAGATTCTGGGTAACCCTAGGCAAATCGTCAGCCACAGGAGTGTGACATCCGAGCTATAATATCCGAATTTCACACCACACACTGCACAATTGGATGTTGTCGCCGCGTCAGCAATGCCTTATCCAAAATACTGTCGCTGTAATCACGATCTTTATAAGCCCAAAAGGTTTTTCTCAACGTGCTCACAAATTCGTATCCTATTTCGATGAACCAGAGCTCCAATTGTAACAACAGTAGTGGAAGATTTTGTACCGCTCAGTTGGCCAACCGGTTGTGCTTATAACACACACCCCTCCAGGAAACACAATGTGAAAAGGGTTCCATTGCTCGGCTAGACGGTGACAGTGCATCTGCATTCCTTGGCTCAAAATGATTGCTTTGTGTGTGCTAACAGCTTTCTAGGCCATGCCCGGCAGCGCATGCCTGCTGGATACGCCAATTGTTGACAGCTTTTGGGCGTCCCATTTTTTGTGACGTTGGGAAGGAATCGGTGCGACGCGACGACCGAGAAGGAATACACGGAGGGCGTCGTGTACGGGATCGCGTCGTTCTCGCAGATCCCCGACACCACGCTGTATCTCGGCTCGGGGTCCGGCGGGTGGCTCGGTCAGTGCGTGTGCCGCGCGCGGTTGGTTCCGTTCCATGCCAATCTGCTTCCTTCCTATCCTTCCTCCCCATTCAGCCCGTAGCCCTGCTTCCACCGCTTCGCTTCGCACTCCCTTCACCCCACCCCACCCCTTAACCCTACTTCCCTCGCATCCCAACGCGTGACCAGGCTGGCTGGATAACATGAAGCGCGTGGTGGCGGTGTACAAGAAAGTCCTCGCGCACGCGCGGCAGATCAGCGCAGGCGCCAAGATCCGCGGCTTCGCGTCCAACGTGGCCAACTACAACCCGCTCTTCGCCTACCGCTGCCCGGCATCAGAGAAATGCCCGCTCGTGAAGAACCCGAGCACGGGCGAAATCAACTACGACTCGAACCCTTGTATCGACGAGAACCGGTTCACGTCGCTGATGAATGCGTACCTGGGAGCCTTGGGATTGCCGACCAGGTGGATCGTTGACACCAGCCGGTCCGGCCGCGGTGGCATTCATAAGCGCTGGGGTTCGTGGTGCAACGTGACGGGCGCGGGGACCGGACAGTGCCCCCGCGCGAATCCCCCTACTGCTCTGCAAAGTGAGCACTTAACATCGCGCACATCGTTGCTTCTTCTTGCTGTTGCTTCTCTTTTCTTCGATTTTTTCTTCATACTGGCGATGCTGTTTAAAAAACGTCGTTCCTCCAGTGGTCTCATACCGCCATTCCTTTCCACACACCTTGCTTGCTCGACAGTTGATGCTTTGGCTTGGATCAAGCCGCCTGGGGAGAGCGATGGCCATTCGTAAGTAAATATCCAGGACAAACAGCTTTGCTTTGATTCATTCTGCAAGGGCTTCGTAAGGGTTCCTAAATCTGCGTAGTGGACCTACCAGTTTCCTTGATGTGTTTCTTCTCTCTTAGTTCGTTATTTACCAATGATAGGGTGGCCTATGCTTCATTATCTCCTCTCTCATCGTAGGGTAGACTTCACTCATCTCCTCTCTCTCCCTGGCACCCCCTGCCAATGCATCTGATTCAGGAAAAAACTGGGCAACTCTCCCGTGGATCGCGAATGCGACCCGCTGGACCAGCTGGGTGTGGAAGCCCTAGCTGACGCGCCCCGCGCTGGCCAATGGTTCCAGGCAGAATTCGCCATGCTGGTTCGCAACGCCGGTCCGCCCTTCCCTGCTGCAACCATGGACCTGAGCGGGAAGTGATCAAGGGGCGCAAGGCCCAGAGCTGCCGAGGCGGTACGAGAAGGAGTTAATACGGTAACATATAGTTGCCAGAGGTCCACAGGTTTCTAAGGTAGGAAGGTTGGTTGGACCTAGTGGCCCTTCCAAAGGTAGGAAGGTTGGTTGGACCTCGTGACCAGGGGTTTTTTTATCAGAGTAAATTACTCTGTTTCTCTGAAAATCAGAGTGGTTTTTAGGGGGTCACTCTGACGTGTCTGGGTATTTTTTTTGGAGGATAAGTTTTCTCTGATTTGTCAGGGTTCTGATTTTAGCTACTCTGAGAGACCAGTGTATATTTGTGACCGGTATACTTTTCTCTGTACAGGGTATAGGCATTTCACCGTGTCACAACCCCTCCCCCCGCCCTTTTCTGCCGCCCCAATTGTTGGAAGATGGGCAAGTTGTATGGATATAACTCAGTAACCCCAAACTGGTGAGCGCGTAGCACAAAGCTTAATTGTTTTGGTAGGAGTGTAGAGGGCCTGGGTTCAATACTTGAGAGGACACTCTGAGTTGGAAAAATAGGGACACTGGGTGTCCAGAGTAGATTTTTCAGAAGTTAAGTTTTCTCTGACAAATCAGAGTAACGCTCACAATGAACCCTGAATTTCAGAGTTCTCTAGAAAACAGCTCTGGAAATCCGAGTAGTGAAAATCCAAAAAAAAAGCCCTGCTCGTGACCCAACCAAAAGTACAAAGGTTGAGGCAATTGAAGAGAACTTGAGACTCCAGTTTTGATTATTTTTGTCATGAATGGTTCGTGTTGTACCTCCCTAGACACCGACCTGGAATGGTGGTGTCATTAGTTCGCTAGGTGATGGAACGTGTCTGGCAGCTGGCTCCTACTCATCCCGCAGGTTGACTGACAAGTGTCAATGCTTACTCCACCTACCGGTACTTAGAGCGTGTTCCTACGGCCTCGTATCAGGTAACCTCGTATCAGATTTGCGTCGAACCGCACTGAAACGCATTCTAACGCAGTCGAACGTACTGTAACGTATTTCACCACGCGAAGCTGATACGAGGTGTAGGAACACGCTCTTATTACCGAACCATCGGGGGAGAGGGGATTTGGTGTCTATTGACCCTGTACAGTAGTGTACATATTGAGTTTGGCCTATTTGTGCTGTAAACAAGAGTGCATATAAAAGTCAGTCCCAATCAGGACCCCGCTACACATGCATTAAGGGTTACCAGGAATAAGTACATGCAGGGCTGACGTTTCAAATTTGGGTACCCTGATGGTGCAAAAAAAAAAACTCTGAGGGCACTTCGGCCAGATTTTGGCCACTCTGATGGCTCAGTGTCCAGGACACCCTTTCCCTGTGGTCAAAGGGTTGGCGAACTATGATCAGAGTGCTGTTTCTATCATTTGTTAATTTTTACACAAGCACTGTCTACAATGCCCGGCCGGGTTTAGTATTCACACAAGACAGCACAGCACCAACAGTCCTACTTTGTCGGCTGATCTATGTCATACATCTCCTCCCCCTCCTCGCCATCCGAGAGGAACGGGTTAACATCTTCCTCTGAGTAATCTCGGGGCGCTGACTGCTCTATCTCCTGATCCATCTCTAGGTTGTCGTCACGATCATCGTCTGACTCCGCGAGCTCCTCCTCGCCCGCCGGCTCCCTGGGTTCCTCTTCCTCCTCCAGTTCCTTCTCCTTTCGCTTGCGATCGTCAGATGGGAACAGAACGCTCTGCGCAGGGCGCCTCTTCTTGAGGCTTTTCCAGGTGTCGAGCACCCCAGGCCAGTCCATCTCGTACTGCAGCAGCGAGATCTGCATCAGCTCCGCGAGCCGCGCGTTGCAGAGGGACCCACGGATCCACGACTTGATCACGTTCTGATGCGAGAACCCCCGCTCGCACTCCACAGTGGAGAGTGGCAGGACTGCCAACGCCTGCCACATCAGCAACAGGTTGGGCCAGCGCTTGCACAAAACAAGGAGCATCAGTTTTCCCGAAGCGTTAGATTTGAGACATGCATGTGGCACACGCAGACTAGGTGGACTTACCTCTTGGCGTCGCCGCTCCCCATGAAGTTCGCCAGTCCCTGCGCAAATGACTCGTCCTCGTGGTGAGACTCCATGATTGGGCACCAGGTTGCAAGCTCCTGCGACGCTTTCTTGTGATCAAACCCCGGCAGCTTGTTTTTGAACAGAGCGGTGCAGCCAGTCAGCCAGTCCTGGCACTTGCGGTCTCGTGCGTGCTTGCTCTTGGGCCAGTGAGACGCGCGAAATAGCTTCGTTGGACCCATCCCCCGCAGGTCGTCCAGGCGAAACAGGAGACGATCGACGACGTCCCTCGCGAACTTGCGACACAGCTTCACGCACGCCTTGTAGCCGCTCTTGTACTCATGGTCCTTGAGCTTCCTCTCGTGCAGGATGTACGAGTGGTTCACAGGTCGGCCCTCCGAATCCGAGCCACGCACTCGGACCGTCTGACCCGACTTCTTGCCATACAGCGCCAGGAATTTCGGCAGCCATCCGTTGCCGGAACCACCGAAGTCCGCCTTCTTGTCGAGGTACCTGTGCTCGAGGTCGCCAGTGATCGACTCCACGGTCTTTGACACCTCAGTAACGTCGACCTATCCACAACAATTAGTGAATTAGGACACGAGTAAAAAACAACATAGACACCCATAAAACGCTAACTCACCTGCCGCTTCTGAAACGAACGGTTGAGATCATTCAGGTCGCCGAGGATGTCAGCGAGGAAGAAGAGGCAGAACTGAAACTTGTACGATGTCACCGTCTCGTACAATTCGTGCTCCTTCTCGTGGAAGAGCACAATCGCCGCGCCCAGCACCTTGCACAAACGCTTCATCGCGTCGCCCCGGGAGAGCCAGCGCACGCTGTGTATGCCCTGGACCTCGAGGTTTGTGTTGTATACGACGCGCTGGCTCCAGTGGCATGAGGCGCCAAGGCGTTCAGCAAGAGTGCGCACCACGGTGTCCACCATCGCGAGGTCGGGATTAGCCGTGGCCGCGTCCTTCACCGCCAATGCCTCCCTGTACATCCAACTAGCCAATGATTAGTATCCGTCGGGGTGTTGGTGAGGCGCGGTACAAAAAGCAAGATGAAGGCGCGGTAAAAAATTATATCACCTGTGGGCGATGCAGTGTGTTGACACGAGATGCGGCACATGCTCCCGCAGTCTTGTGACGAGGCCGTTGTCACATTCAATCATTACAGACGCACCGTCCGTGCTGATGCCCACCACTCGGTTGATGTCAATGCTGGCGGTGTGTAGGTGGTTAAGGAGCACCGACAAGAGAGAAGCTGCATCACACCGCTCGACAGTGAGAAGGGTGAGATACTCAGTAACGACTCGACGATTGCGCAAGAACGTGATGTACACAATCATGTGCTTCCCGCGGGTCCGGTCGGTGCTCTCGTCTGTGCTCAAGCCGAGGAAGGGCGACGAGGCGATGTGCTCCATCTGCGTCTGAGTCAACCAGGTGCTCAGGCAGTGCACCATCTGTTGGAAACCGTATCTGCAATGGTTACGACGAAACGAGACGTTAGCTTTGAAAGACAGTAACCAAACGTGACCTGAATTAGAAACCATACAAACGCACCTCGTGAGGTACACCCCGTAGGCCTGCTTCGGTATGTCGGGGGTGTCCTGTTCAGCGAGATGCCTCATGAGCTTCGGGAACATGCTGATGGGCGCGTCCTCCTGGCACAGAAACTGCACCGACCTCATCAGCCGAATAGCCCGCCTACCCTCAAGGTCCGCGTTGATGAAATGTTCCATTTTCGTCTGGCCGTTCGAAATTGCCTCCGCAATCTCTGCCTGACGCTGCATCGCCTCCTTGTGGACCGTCGTGTGCTCGTGGATGCGCATCGTCTGCATCTGCAGGTCTCGCCCGCCGTCGCCTGGACCTGAGTACTTGGTTGTCTCCTTGCCGAACGAGAGACACAGGCTGCACTTCACACTGGGACCACCGTCTTTAGCGCGAACCAAAAGCAGCCACGGGAATTTGGGCAACCACTGGGTTTTATACTTAACACTCGCCTCTATGTACTTCTGCTCCAATACCTCAGCCTTGGACAGGATGGGAGAGTTGGTGTCCGCACGTACAGGTATCTCCTCTGGTTCAGGCTCAGAGTCTTCTGGAGCGCTTGGTGGTGCCACGCGCACACCGCCGAAGGTCAACGTGCTCTGCTGAAACTTCCCGTGGAGTACGACAGTGCGCGCCTTCTTAGCTGTACGACCCTCGGGGGCGGGAGCGGCTTCATTGCAGCCACTGCTACCAACAGCAGAGGGAGGGGCTGTACTGGACGACGGGATGGCGGGAGGGAGAGTGAAAGGCGCTGGTGGTGGTGCGGGATTGGGAGGAGGTTGCGGCCCCTTGTTAGACGACGCGATGGCGGGAGGGAGAGTGAACGGCGCTGGAGCAGGCGCGGGATTGGGGGCCGGTTGCGGATTCTTGCTGGACGACGGTAACTCCTCGGTATTAACAACAGCAGCGGTAACTAAAGGTTCTGGAGTGACTGGAGCTACGCTTGATCGAAGGAAGTCTAGGCCGCAAACCCTACGGTCGGGAGGCTTTTCCGGGACAGCCTCAAGGGAGTCCTCAGCGGGAGATGAGGACGCCATGGCGAGAGAAAACGATGAATCAAGAATCTGAAAGCACGAGAATGAAAACAAGATGTGAAACTGGCGGAGGCCCTTCAGCTTGGAAACAACCAGCTGCAGCAGACGGAACGAAAGCCGCGTCGCCACGACAATGGCTCACGGAGTGGGGTGGGGTTTGATGAATGAATCGGGCCTTGAAGACGGGGCCAAATTCATTTGCCACAATGCCACCACACATAGCTGGTGAGCCATGCCACCAATTGCGATCAACCCATTACAGTAAGTGAGGGTGGCGCGGTTCGCGTGGCTGCAGAGTCATCATCAAACTGGCCGCAGCACGCCGCACCTGGCTGCCTTGCTGTGCACAGCGCACCGACAGATTTTGTCAACATTACGTGGTTTCGAAGCCACGCGAACAAGGAGACAACCACGGGGGGTGGTGAAATGATTACGCGTGGAACATTTTTTACTTTCAGAAATTTCGAGGAAGCTTCCTCTCAATACATTGGCATACAGGGACCACATACTGCATACTCTGTAGAGCCAGACTCCAGAAACGACTAAGTCTGAGAACTATTACACTATATCAGGGGCCTACAAACAATAACACTGAGGCCCTCAGGGATGAAATATTGATTACTTTGCAAATCCATATTCCACAACCTCAATGCTCTGATTGGTCAGACTAATCAGACTATTTAGTCTGATAGCGTCAGCCCTGTACATGCCCTGATGAACATGAGATAATGAAAACACAACGACCTTATGTGGTGTTACTGGTCCGATCCGAGCAAATCCTCGTCTAAATCTTGATCGGGACGAGCAGTGAGGCGACAATTAGCCATCGCTGATCAAAGCTGACAACTAGAAAAGGGGGTGCACATATTGATTGTGAAACAATGGTGAGAAAAACGAGGAGTACAAACACTACAACGGAAATAACAAGGGGGTTGTCGAAATAGAATACCCTCCTATGGCACTCCCCATACTCACTGAAACATCTAGAATGGGAGTGAAATGGGAGGGGTATACTACTTCCGTATGTGCTAACTGCCTAAATTGAGATGGCCAGATGTAGTACTGCTTCCCTACGTCTCCTCTCCCTCACTCGTCCTTATCAACACCCGTACTGTCCGCATCCCACCACGGCCTACCGCTTCTCCCCACCCAGCAGCCAGGAGCGGTGCCCAGGGTGGCAGCAGTGGGAGGAGGCAGCGTGGCACTGAGCTCACAGGAGGATGGGAAGAGACGCAAGGGTACAGGGAAAGAAAGGACAGTGGAAGAGGGGAGTTGGGGGCGGGAAACCCGGGGGGCAGTGGAGGTGTGATGGGATTGAGTGAGAACGATGCACGTGGTTGTGCTGCTGTTGGTAGGGTGATCGCGGCGTTTCTGAGGCCGCCGTGGCAGGAGGCTGCATGGGATGCTGTCACGAGGTGACGTCTCACCACACACATGGTTGTGTTGTGTTCCACGAAAGCCCGCATCCAAATGCGAGCAACGGTTGAGGCGTGTGTGCTGCTGTGACAGCACCACTCCAGTCACACGTCCACTGGCCCCACTCCACTCTGCATTAATGCCACGAGCTTCTCCCCATGTCCCCTTCCCTGCCACCATTCTTCACATTCCCGCTCCTTTCCACTGGTGCGTTGGTGAACCTCATTGGCTTGGACGTTACAATCCCTACCATGAAGCTACCATGGAACACGCATACTGCCCCTATCCCTTTTCCCTTCCCATTCCCCCATCATCCAACCTTCTCATTCTTCCAATTCACTCTCCCCTCATCCTCCGCTGCTGACCTGGGCAATGGATGAAGACCAAACTGGCTCCTCCTCGAACGCTGAAAACACGCCTTCCAGCTGCACCCGTGCCACGTCAGCAGTTGCCACGTCAGCGTGCGCCAGCTCAGCTTCAGCGGTGTGTGTAATGAGAGGGGGCTGGGGCGGCGTTCCCACGTTGGGGGGGGGCATGTCTTGCTTGGCTCGAAACTACCCCGCCTTGGGGGGAGCAGATGAAGGCGAGTGGGAGAAGGGGCGGAACAAGGGCTCGGGTTGAAGGATGAGAGGTGTGATGAGAGATGGGGGACGAGACAAGGTGAGGAGAGGTCAACTATGCAGGGGGGGGCATGCCTGGCTTGGGTGGGAAGTGGGCTGGCTGAACGGGGAAACGAGGAAGGTAAAGAGGAGAGCACGGAGGAGGGAAGAGAGGAGATGAAATCGCAGCCATGGGATGACGTGTCCGGCTTGGGGTGGGAATTGGACTGCCCGAGGGGCGAGGGGGGAAAGGCGCGGGATGGGGAGGGTTTGGGAGGGTGGTGGGGAAAGAAAGGAATGACAGCAGCAGAACTGGGGATATGCGCGGAAGAAAGGCCAGCATTGTGGCCAATGAAGAGGGGACACGTGTAGCCAGGCTAGGAGCGAAGTGCATGGAGGTAAGTGGCGGCTGGGGAGGGGTTGGAAAGGTGGGAGGGAGTCGGAAAGGTGGGAGGAACGATAGTGGATAGGAGAGAGGGCACAGCATGGCATGGCGTATGGGGAGGAAATGGAAAGGCATGGTGGATGGGGAGCGGCATGGCAGCACGTGAGGTGAGAATGCAGCAGGGCGGTTGGGGCAGTGGTGTGGTGGCGTTGGAGCTGGCGATGATGCACATCGTGCACAGCCTGCTAGGGCGAATTGTGGCTAGGGGAGACGCCACCTCCCCTCTCCTCTTATCCGCCGTGTCAGACGGAGCTGACGGTGAGGGGAGTGCGCTCTGCTGACTCATTACAATCGTTAATGTGCCAAGGGCTCGTTAGATACCCGCTGCTGGTACCACTCGTAGCACTGGTAGCGCTGGTAACTCTGTTCGTTCCCCGCGCCGTGGCACTCCCCGCCTTGTCATGCGAATGCCATGGCGCGCCGGACAGCCCGCTCCGGAATTGCGACTCCGCCTGCACGATCCGATCCTGCAGCCATCCCGCGAGCTCGACGCGCAATATATCGAAGTTCGAGCTGACGTTAGAATTACCACTACGGTCGGTCGAGGTGATGCTTCATGATCGAATCAGGAGGGTTACGATGGTGACAGCGACGTTTCTTGGGAGTTGACGAGTAAATGAGAGAGAGATTTCGGAACCGTATGGGCCTGACATATAGTCGTACGAATCCCATTATCTCGGATATCAGACATGTTGCGGAATTACGAACTGGGCTCATATGAACGAAAACGAATTATGATGTAGGAGGATTTGTTTCTTGTGGAGGTGGTGCAGGCTGTGGCGACTGTAATCAGGGTCCTTGCGATGTGGGCAACATCGCACACGGTTTGCGATTACTGACAATGTGTTCGGTACGGATTTCTACCCGTGTGCGACACACCAATGAAACTGTGGATTGCGCAGCGAAGAGATGGCGATGGCCTGCCGACCTATCGCGACCGTCATCCTCAGGATAGTCCTCCCTCGCCAACTATTCGTTTCACTCACGTTGGAAACCATCCACATTCCCCTGCCAACGCAGTACAGCGATGGTACAATTTGGTGCGTTGTTTACAACGGTAATTCAAATACAACCGCGCTCAACCGTGTTGGAACCAACTGAACGACACCCCACGACAGATCTGCTCCCAAGATCTGCTCGGAACATGTTCACATTTCGCGCCACACGGCACCTGGCACCAACACGCACCGCTGATTGCTGTGTTGCCTCTGGCTTCAAATCAAACATTGTTTTCCTCCACTAATGATCTCACTTGCCTTCCCTTCCCACAGTTGCTGCTATTGTTGACACCACACGCCACCACGCGCCAACCAATGTGTGCCTTGCTCTAGCAGTCTTTTTCCTAGAATTATTGGTGTATGTTTGGATCGTAGGTTGGCAGCCGAGTGACGGAAATGACCCAAGTTGATCTTGCGTCCAATGCGAGTAGTTCGACGTGGCCCCAGCCGCGTTCCCGCCGTGAGTTTCGCTCGCCGTGGATATCGTTCCTTCCGAACCAGCCGACGTCGCCGGGAACCAGATTCACGGCGGAGCTCCTAAGATTATTGGTATCACTACCGCTATGGTGTCACCAATAATTGTCATAGCACACCCCTCGGACCGCACAGCAGAATGACGGACACAACTGAATCCGAGCTTGCCTCGGATGCGATCTGAGCCGCAGTGCGGCTTGGCCCTGGCGGCGTTCAAAAGGGACGGTCCCGCCGTGAGTTTGCCACACTCGTAACTCATTCATTCCTTTCAACCAACCAAACCTGAACAATGGAGGATGCGCGTTTCCTTTCGACTACATTGGCATGGCCGATACTAGTCGTGCTGATGGCTCTCAGTCTGACACCTTCGTCAGCCGCATTCAACTTCGCAAGCTCCGAGGCCGGAAAAGTGCAGTGGTCGCTCGACTGTGACTGGGTCGGCAACGACATCGGCCGAGCCGCCGGCATGGGCGAGACGTGCGGACAGCAGTGCCTGAGCCGCGCGGATTGCACGCATTGGACGTGGAGCGCCTTCAACGGCGGCACGTGCTGGCTCAAGGGGGCCATCAACGCGACTGAACTGGTCGCCGCCACTGGCACGTCGTGCGGTTACCGCGTCGGCGACAGCGCGACTGGCAACCCGTACACGGGAGTTCAGCCGTACCTCAACCCTGGGTACGTGGCGAGCGTGAAAGCCGCGGTGCGCGCCGCGCTTCCCTCGGATGCGCCGTTTTTCGCGAGCGTGGCGCAGTATGCGACGGCTGTGTGGCTCGACACGATGGCGTCCCTAGATTCCATCCCCGGCCACCTGAGCGACGCAGCGACTCAGGCGGGCGGCAAGGCGATTCTCGTGCAATTCGTGATCTACGATCTCCCGGGCCGCGACTGCAAGGCGTGGTCGTCCAATGGGGAGATTCCCAAGGGCGGCCTCGACACGTACAAGACCAAGTACATCGATGTTGCCGTGGCGCGCCTTAGAAACAAGGCGGCGAACGTGCGTCTGTCGCTCGTGATCGAGCCCGACTCGCTGCCCAACATCGCGACGAACATGGGCACGAATCGGTGCGACGCGACGACGGACAAGGAGTACACGGAGGGCGTCGCGTATGCCATCGCGGAGCTCTCGCAGATCCCCGACACCACGCTCTATCTCGACTCCGGCTTCGGCGGCTGGCTCGGTGAGTGCGTGTGCCGCGTGCGGTTCGTTCCGTTTCATGCCAATCCGTTCCGTTTCTTCCTCCCCTTTCAGCCATAGCCCTGCTTCCGCCTTTTCGCTTCGCCCTCTCCTCCCTCACCCCGCCCCTCACTCCTACGCCGCTCGCCTCCCAATGCATGAGCAGGGTGGCCGGAGGGAATGAAGCGCGTCGTGGCGGTGTACAAGAAGGTCCTCGCGCGCGCGCGGCAGATCCGCGCGAACGCCAAGATCCGCGGCTTCGCGTCCAACGTGGCCAACTACAGCCCGCTCTTCGCCTCCGGCTGCCCGGCGCTGGAGAAGTGCCCGCTCGTGAAGAACCCGAGCACGGGCGAGATGTGCTACGACTGGAACCCGTGCATCGACGAGAACCGCTTCACCGCGCGCATGAATGCGTACCTGGGAGCCGCTGGACTGCCCACCAGGTGGATCGTGGACACAAGTAGGTCCGGCCGCGCTGGCATTCGCAACAGGTGGGGGTCGTGGTGCAACGTGAAGGGCGCGGGGATCGGACAGCGCCCCGAGCCGAATCCCGCTAATGCTCCGCAAGGTGAGCACCCTTGCCTTTTCCTGCTGCTGCTGTTCTCTCCTCTTCTCTTCCTGGCGATCCTGTTTTGAAGTGGCGTTTCCCTTGGGTGGTCTCATGCGGCTCCCTCCCCTTCCCCGCACACCTTTTTCTTTCCTGCCCGGCAGTTGATGCTCTGGTTTGGATCAAGCCACCTGGGGAGAGCGATGGCCATTCGTAAGTACCTAATCCCTCCTATGCGCCTGTGGTGTGGTAGTACTAGTTTCCTAGTGCGTGTGCCCCTTCCTCTTTGCCAATGGGTCATTTCTCAATGAGCCAATGTGGAAACGGTTGGCTGTGCTTCTTCGTACACCTTCACTCATCTCCCATCCTTCCTCCAACCTCTCATCTCCCCAGAACAAAGTTTCTGGGCATTTTCCCTGTGGATCGCGAGTGCAACCCCGATGACGCGCTGGGCCTGGACGCCCTATCGAGCGCGCCCCGCGCAGGGCAGTGGTTCCAGACGCAATTCACCGCGCTTGTCCGCTACGCCAACCCGCCCATGCCTGCTGGAAAGGTGGACCCGCCCACGCCTGCCGACCCGTGCATGACCGACCCGAAAACGAACCCTGCGTGCGATCCGTTCTGGGAGGACTTGGCTGTCGAGTACTCCCCGCAGTACAAGTTCCACCCGGACGAGACCATCTGGCCAATCACGATCGACGAGTACCTTACGCATGTGTATGACTCCATGGGTTCGTATTTTGTGGGAGATACGGAGCATCAGGTTAAATACCAGGCGGGCCCGATCACTCCCGACAACCTTGATACATTGCTGGAGAATCCGAATCTGAAGTCCAGTCATGGATCTACTGTCCTGCGTATTCTGGGTGAAATCAGTCAGAATACGGCCTGGGTGAGGGACTCGAGGCGCAACCCGAAGAACGGAGGCACGAAGCTGTACACCGTCATTTACAATCCGAAACCCGACGACAAAGACTCGTTTGTGGAGATTCAGTATTGGCTCTTCTACCCTTACGTGAGCATTCCAATCCAAATAGTACCCTGGATTCAAGTACTTCCTTTTGTCTTCTCCCTCTCTCACTCCCCCACCCCCCAGTTTGCCCCAACCCCTCTGTGAAAAGTTGTGAACCTGTTTCAAGCGTTCAAGATTTGCTTTATCCTTTGCATTTGCAGAACTTTGTCAACTCCCTTGCTGGGGAGTACAACCACATCACGGACCTGGTGGCGATTGCAATCCGCTTCTCAAAGACCGGCCAGCCTCAGCGCATTTGGTACGCGCAGCACGGTGGCGGCCCCGTGTGGGCGTGGGACACGGGAGCTGACTGGGCCGACCCCAAGCCAAAGGAGTTTGCTACGGTGATGGGGACGCATCCCATTGTGTATGTCGCGGAAGGAACTCATGAGCATTACCATAAAGTCGGTGAGTAGCTCGTGGAACATCTCACCCACCGTTTTCTACGCCAAGGCTAATCCTCGTTGGTGCCCTGTTCGTCTCTTTCATTCACAGGTAGTAGTTTCCATTGCAACGTGGGCCATTGTGACGAGACTGCCAATGGAGGAGTCGTATGGACGCCCAAGGACAACCCAAAGTCCTTAGAGTTTGTTCACGTGAAGAGCGAGATATCCGCTTCCATGCCGAATGCAGACCGCGCGAAGCTATTCACGGGGAGGAACAAGTGGATGGCTTACAATGGGAAAGTTGGCGGATATTGTAAGTGTGGTCGCCCTAACCACGGCGTGTAGACACTGCTTCGGACGATGGGTGCTGACTTTGTTTGCGTTTGTTCGCAGATATGAGTTGGCTCTCCAACGGTAAAGAAGTTACGCGCCTTGAAACTGGAGTGAGCGCGATATCTTTCCAGAAGTACCAGGGGCAGGTAAGCTTGTGTTTGGCTACAGAACATTTTGTATTGTGTCATTCTTTGGCATGGAATGCAAATCGGCCTCTAATTTTTCTTCTTGTTGCGCCAACAGTTCACTGCTGCGCTAGGGATTCTTAAGTAAGCAAGGAGCGAATCCCTGAGGGGTGCTTGCTGTGAGAAGAGGCAGCTTGGCACAAAGTGGAGGTGTGGCACGGGGCAACCCCGACATGGGTTGAGTGGGGAGGGGACTGTCTTTTCTTCAGCGAAGCGACTCTCCTGGCCCCTTGACCCTTGACACGGGCCCAGTTCCACCACTATGAGTTAGCTCTGAATAAAACGCGTCGTGCTCCTCCTCATGTTGCACGTTGCCGAGTGTCCTTGCTTACTCCAGCTACCGCTACTTTCCCTGAAGTGGTGTTTGGTGTGGGTGGGGATGCCCATGAATGATCTATTTATTAAGCTACGGTATGTATCCAGGAGTGTACTGCATGACAGTTCACCATTGCCATGAACAAATACACAAACTCAAGGTTCACAAACGCACATCAAGCACTAACACGTGTCAATGAGTTGACGCGGTGTGGCTGCCTCGAGCAAACCCTCACCCATACCTGTCATCTCTACTTGACCCGAGTACCCAGCGAGCCGGCAATGAGCTGCCGGTTATCAGGGCTGCTCTGCACGCCAGGCTCTGACGTTGCTTGTCATTGCACCCACCCACCAACCGTTCTCTGCTGTGCTGAGCGTAAGCAGGGGGGCGTGCCCGTAGCACAAGGCAGGTTGACACGACGTGGAATACTATCAGGCAAGCCGGAATGCTGATATGGTGACCGCCACGCTTCGAGACACGCGTCTTATATGAGTTGGTGTTGCTGTTGCTGTAGTCATCTTCCTCCCCTTGGCTGCCAAACAGCCCACTTGTTCCCCCCCTCCTTCCTGCCTCTCCACCACCACTGCCATCAGCAGCAGGAAGCAGGTCTGCTCTCTGCACGTGCATTCTCAAGTTCCCCAGTTGAACTGTCACAGACCGAGCCGCTGCTGCCGAACCTGAACCTTCTCCCCGGCCTTCTCCCGGACCACCACCCACTGCCATCACCGTACCACGCATACTGGTGCCGAACCTCTTCACGCACACAGGCTCCCCCAGAGCAGGAACCCAGTCCGCCCCTCCTGGGTCTCCCGCCGAACCTCCTGCCGAACCACCTGAACCTGCGGCAGAGTCAGCTTCGGGAGAGAGGCCCGTCAAAGCCGCCACCGCTGCCACATCAGCACATGCCTGGTCCGTCGCCGCCCGCTCCGGAACACCAGCAAGGGAGGCTTCCTGAAAAGCGGCAACAACGCGGGAAATCTCCTCCCTTGCTGCCAAGACCTCGTCCTGAACGTCCCTCTGATACCTTCTCTTCCACAGCACCTCCCTCACACGCACAGGCTGCTCCTGCTGGCCCTGCTGTGTGGTGCTTCTGCTGGTGTAGTGGGCCTGAACGTCCTTCAACAGCCTCTCTGCTTGTTGCCTTGCCTCGGCTACTTCTCTCGCGTCATCCACGTTCCGCTGCCACTGCTGCTTGAGAGATGCTAGTATTCCCACCTCCTCACCCTCTCCCTTCCTTCATACTCGTCCGCCTCACTCTCTCTCCCTTGACTTCTCTCCCCGAATGTGTTCCCCTCCTCTTCCTCCCTCCCCTCCTCCCTCTCCTCATCCCCACCTGCTTCTAGACTCGCAGCACGGGCCAGCCTGGCGGCTCTGGCGACGAGGGAAGGAGGCAGGCCGCGGGAGGCAGCGAGGGAGAGGGCGTAGGAGGTGTCGGGGAGACCCCAGAGGATGTGGAAGGAGGGGCGCAGGGAGACCGGGTCGAATGCAACACTGGCATTCTCAATCCGGGAATCGGCCGCCTGACGGAAGGAGGGGACAGAGACAGGAGGGTGAAGGGAATAAGGGGGTGTTAGGAGACTGGTCAGACACACAGAGGAGAGCGTACCCTGAGCTTCTCAAGGTCAGCGTAGTAAGTGGTGGCGAGCGTGAGTAGTGTACGCTCTTCCGAGCCACTGCCCGCCTCGTCCAGAAGCACTAGCATGGCGGAGGTGGCCGGAGAGGGGGAGGACGAGGAGGGGGAGGGGGAGGGGGAGGGGGAGGGGGAGCGGGAGGAGGGGGAGGATAAAGCAGGCGGCGGAGAGGAGGAGGGAGAGGTGGGAGAGGAAGGTGCAGAGGAAGAAGAGGGAGGGGAAGGGGAGGAGGGCGAGTGGGGAGAGGAGGCGAGGAGGATACGGGAGACACGGCGCATGTGGGCGCTGAAGGTGGAGAGGCTCTCCTCCAACGACTGCTCATCTCCAATGTCTGCCACCAAGCGGTCGAACCAAGGCACCACCGCCACTCACCCCCTCCCTCTGCTCGCTCTGCTCTCTCCCCTCGCCCCACTCCTTCTGCTCTCTCCTGTTCCTTCTGCCTCTATCTCTCTTCCCCTCTCTCCCCCGCTCTCCGCCGCCCCTGCCTGCTCTTCTCCTCCTCCCTGCCCCTCCACGTCCCCCGCCAGCGGCAGGAAGAGCCCCGCCTTGGCCATGAGCGCGGCAATCCCGAGGGTCTTGAGGGCGGCGGTCTTGCCGCCCGCATTGGGGCCGGAGATGACCACCACTGCCACGCCGGCCGGCACCAGCAGGTCTATGGGCACCGGGGGAGACGGCTGGGGGGATGCTGCTGCTGCTTCTGCTGCTTCTGCTTCTGCTGCTGCTGCTGCTGCTGCTGCTGCTGCTGCTGCTGCTGCTGCTGCTGCTGCTGCTGCTGCTGCTGCTGCTGCTGCTGCTGCTGCTGCTGCTGCTGCTGCTGCTGCTGCTGCTGCTGCTGCTGCTGCTGCTGCTGCTGCTGCTGCTGCTGCTGCTGCTTCTGCTGCTGCTGCTTCTGCTGCTCCTCCTCCTGTTGCTGCTACTGCTTTGGTGTCTGCTGCACCTGTGCTTTTACCCGTCCTGCTCTGAGCAGCAGCACTGGGGGCGTCAAGATACATCTCCAGCAGCACTGGGTGCTGTATACCGCGAATCTCAACCGCATAAGATTCGAATCTGTGCGATTCTCTCCCTGCAAGAATGGTTCCCCCAGTACCAGTGAGTGACCCCAGGTGTATCTACTCCTGACCTTGAATCCCCATGCTCATGGGAGGGAGGGTGTGTGGGGGGGAGGAGGACAGGAGGGGAGGCACCCATCCACAGGGCATGCCTTGCACGGGCACACGCCAGGTCCAACGCGACGATCCTGCCCGTCAGATCTCGAATCAACGGCGCACCATCCGCCACCTGCTCGGCCATCTCCCTCAACACTCGCCTCTCCTCCTCCGCCTCCTGCCCACTCAGCTCTGCCTCGTTATTGTTCAACTCGATAGCCTCTACAGGCTCCACAAAGAGTGTAACGCCGGTGTTACTAACATCTCAAGTAACCCCTCCTGGAGTAACAGCACTCTTTTTCCCTGCTCTCACCGCCACGCACCCTCTCCCTCTCCTCCTACTCACCTGCGCCTCATCCATCCCCCCTCCCTCCACAACACGTCTTGCTGCTCTCTGCAATGATTCGTCCAGCTGGTTGTCCCGCCTGGCGGCGCGGATGGCTGCCAGCTCAGCTCTTGCTGAGTCAGCAAGGGACTTGAGGCGCGGGTTGATGGCGGTGCGGATGCGGAGGAGGAGGTGGGGACACGTGGCAGCAGAGGAGAGGAGGGAAATGAGAGGGGCGAGAGGCGAGGGGTTGCGGGAGGAGGAGGAGGAGGAGGAGGAGGAGGAGGAGGAGGAGGAGGAGGAGGAGGAGGAGGAGGAGGAGGAGGAGGGGAAGGAGGCGGAGGAGGAGGAAAGGAGGGACGCAGAATGCCAGTTTCATCTGGAATCAGCCCGATGCAAGCACCTAGATCAATGCCTGACTGCAACAGCGATGCCACTGATAGGAGCTCCGAGGGAGTTATGGTCATGGGCGGGGCGGGTGCAGCTGTGGCAACAGCAGCAGTGGCATCACTATCACTGCCAGAGGAAGCACCCTCGGAGATACCATCGACTCCATCACCAGCAGCAGCAGCAGCACTGCGGTGGAGCCGAGAGAGCAACCCTCCCACGTCCACAGCACCGTTGAAGTCCAGCCGTCGTGGCAGCAGCAGCGCTGCCTCCGTCTGCAGCAGCAGCGCCTGGCTCTCCTCCCACGTGAGCCCCACTGCCAGCCGCCCCTCCTCCGCCTCCCTGTACCCCATCACTGTGTCTGCGAATCGCGCCACCTGGCGGCACACGATTGGCCACTCCAGCAGGTCTTTTGGGAGCCGCACAACCTTGGGAATGTCGGGAGCCATTCCCACCCTGCTTCCATTCCCAATCCTGTTCTCACCAGACCCCGTCCCCACCCCTCCTCTCCCAACCCTGTCCTCACCAGACCCCACCCCGTCCCTTCTCCGCTCTCCCTCCATCCCACCCACACCCGACTCTATCACATCCGTTAGAGTCACACCGCCTACGCTGTCCCCTCCTCCGCTTGTAGCAACACCACCCGCTCGAGCAGCAAGGCGACGCCTAACCCTGGCACAGCGCGCGGCAGTGTAGCGGCAGCAGGGAGATGCGAGGCTGTGGCAGGGCAACGGTCCGAGCGACCCAGAGAGTGGCTGAGGGTGCCTGTAAGGGGGCAGCGTAGAGAGGCCAAAGAGCGCATTTTCACAAGAGGCCCGTAACTGAAGCCCGAGAGGCAAGTGTCTTGTTGGAATGAGCTTGCTTCTTGGCTTACTTGGGCGATTTCGTGAAAGTGTGGACGTGGGCTGGCTTGAGGGGCACGACAGGGCATGTGCCGGCAAAGGTGCTGATGATGGCAAGAGAGGGTGGTGCTGCAGCGACATAGCCATGGCAAGGTCGAGGCTGTGGCTGCCAGCTGTTTCGACGACGAAGGTTCACTGCGAGGAGATCGTGATCAAATTTGAGCGAATGTGAGCAATTGAGCGACGAAGCGACTGTAAGAGACTGTGCGCGACTCAATCTACCGGCAGAAGCTGACGGCCGGCTGAGGAAACGCTAAAACGAGTCCCCAACAGTCACTTGACGATGGTCTGCGCGCCTCTGAGCGCGAGAAACGCCTGCGCGTGCGGGTGGGGGAGCGAGCGCGCGATGGCGAAGGCGGCGGGGTTGGCATAGCGCAGCTTGCTGTGCGGGTCCGTGTAGGGTGCCTCCAGCCCCGCCCCGTTCTATCGCGGTACTTGTTAGCGCGGTACATTGACGGCGGCGCCTCGATCGTCACGTCTGCACGCGCGCGGGGGAGGGAAGGGGGAAATGGGGAGAGACAATGAGCTGTCGTTCATTGGCTCATGGCAAGTAGAGACACATACGGTATTGACTGTGAAGTAATGATGAGAAAAACGACAAGTACAAACATAGCAACAAAGAACAGGTGGGGGGGTGGCAGGAAGGAAGGGGGGTTGGAGGAATAAGATCTCTAAGAGTATGGTATCCCTTCCCATTTCACTCCCCATACTCACTGAATCTAATGTGAATGCATGCCTCTAACCCATCCAGCAAGAAAAAGCCCCACATTCATGGGTGCTTGAGACAAAGCCCCACATTCATGGGTGCTTGAGACACCGGTGACCCGAGAGTGGCTCATGTGTCGCGATGCGATTGTGACGTTGTCCCCACAAGCTGTTGTGCCAAAGAGAGGAGCGAGACGAGGAAGAGCCTCGACAACAAGGTGATGGAAGTTTGTGGGCCTTTCTCCACAGCATGCACCCTAAGAGCGACCATCAACCATGCGAAACAAAAACGGTCTGTTGTAGCCACCTGGATTGCGACGATGCTGCCATTTCTCAACGTGCCGCTGTGCACCTGTTGCCCCGCAACACTTGCCAATGCGCGCCTGCACACACAAACGTGCATGTATGCATGTTCATACTCGCACACATACATCCATGCACACAGACACGGACATGTGCAAGTGCTCATGTGCACACGCGCACGCACACATACACACAGAGTGCATGCAACATCGTACCCTCAGCACCACCATACCCTCAGCACCACCATACCCTCAGCACCACCATACCCTCAGCACCACCATACCCTCAGCACCACCATACCTACGCCTTCTCTCCCTCATTTCTCCATATCAACACCCCTACTGTCCGCATCCCACGATGGCCCCCCTTTTCTCCCCACCCAGCAGGAAGGAGCAGTGCCGAGGGTGGCAGCAGTGGGAGGAGGCGGCGTGGCATTGAGATAGAAGGAGGGTGGGAGCAGGCGCAGGGGTACATGGAAAGCATGGACGGTGGAGGAGGGGTGATGGGGATGGAGAAGGGGAAGGCAGGGGAGGGGTGATGGGAGTGAGTGAGAGCGATGCAAAAGGTTGTGCTGCTGTTGGTAGAGAAAGTGGCAATGAAGCAGAGGGGAATATGCCAGACGGAGAAGGAGCGGGTGAGCAGGGGGCGAGGGAAGGGAGAGCGCAGGGGGCGAGGGAAGGGGGAGCGCAGGGGGCGAGGGAAGGGGGAACGCAGGGGGCGAGGGAAGGGGGAGCGCAGGGGGCGAGGGAAGGGGGAGCGCAGGGGGCGAGGGAAGGGGGAGCGCAGGGGGCGAGGGAAGGGGGAGCGCAGGGGGCGAGGGAAGGGGGAGCGCAGGGGGCGAGGGAAGGGGGAGCGCAGGGGGCGAGGGAAGGGGGAGCGCAGGGGGCGAGGGAAGGGGGAGCGCAGGGGGCGAGGGAAGGGGGAGCGCAGGGGGCGAGGGAAGGGGGAGCGCAGGGGGCGAGGGAAGGGGGAGCGCAGGGGGCGAGGGAAGGGGGAGCGCAGGGGGCGAGGGAAGGGGGAGCGCAGGGGGCGAGGGAAGGGGGAGCGCAGGGGGCGAGGGAAGGGGGAGCGCAGGGGGCGAGGGAAGGGGGAGCGCAGGGGGCGAGGGAAGGGGGAGCGCAGGGGGCGAGGGAAGGGGGAGCGCAGGGGGCGAGGGAAGGGGGAGCGCAGGGGGCGAGGGAAGGGGGAGCGCAGGGGGCGAGGGAAGGGGGAGCGCAGGGGGCGAGGGAAGGGGGAGCGCAGGGGGCGAGGGAAGGGGGAGCGCAGGGGGAAGAGGAAGCGAGGGAGGCCGCTGTAAGGGCGATGGAGGCGTTTCTTCTGAGGCCACAGCCTTACGAGGTGAGGACTCACCACACTCAAGGTCGTGTTGTTTCCATTACAGCCAGCATCTGCAACACAATGAGAACCACGCCAGCACCACCATACCCTCTGCACCACCATACCCTCTGCACCACCATACCCTCTGCACCACCATACCCTCTGCACCACCATACCCTCTGCACCACCATACCCTCTGCACCACCATACTCTCTGCACCACCATACCCTCTGCACCACCATACCCTCTGCACCACCATACCCTCTGCAGATTATGTCCGACCTATCAACCTTAACTCCCCTCTGCACCACCACACTACCCTCTGCACCACCACACTACCCTCTGCACCACCACACTACCCTCTGCACCACCACACTACCCTCTGCACCACCACACTACCCTCTGCACCACCACACTACCCTCAGCACATCATGTCCGACCTCTCAACCTTACCTCCCCTCCCCCGCAACTCACTGTCTCTCAATCGCCCCATGCACCCGTCTACCACCTGGCCCGTGGTTATTCAGGTCGCCAAGGGGCTTTGTCTCGGCTCAGACTACGCACAAGGCGTCTCTGCTGCTCCCACTTCGCGTCAGGGATAATTCTCTGCTGCTCTCTTTCTGGTCTCGCTTCCTATCCACTCCCATCCCACTCTCTGGCCCACTCCAGACCCACAAACTCCACGCATTGCCTCACTGCTTCCTCCTCTTCCCAAACCCACCCCCCAGCAAGGAGCGGAATAGAGGGTTGCAGCAGTGGAGAAGCCAGCGAGCCAGCTGCCAAAATAGAGAGCGCCAGCTGGAGTGCTGCTCCCCTACGTTTCCTCTCTCTCACCCCTCCTTATCAACACCCTTACTGTCCGCTCCTGAAAGCAGCGTGCTAGCTGCCAAAAGGAAGGGGCGGTGAAGATGGGTGGCAGCAGCGGGTGAAACCAGCATGCTAGCTCCCAAAAAGGGAGAGGGTCGGCTACGGTGCGGACCCCTCGCCTCTCCTCTCCCTCACTCGTCCTTATCAACACCCTTACTATCCGCATCCCACCATGCCCTCCCGCTTCTCCCCACCCAGCAGCCAGGAGCGGTGCCGAGGGTGGCAGCAGTGGGAGGTGGCGGCGTGGCATTGAGCTCACAGGAGGGTGGGAGCAGACGCAAGGGTACATGAAAAGAATGGACAGTGGAGGAGGGGAGTTGGGGGCGGGGAAGAGGGGGGGCAGGGGAGTTGTGATGGGATTGAGTGAGAGCGATGCACGGGGTTGTGCTGGTGTTGGTAAAGGGGGTGGCAGTGGGGCAGAGGGGAATATGTCAGACGGAGAAGGAGTGGGTGGGCAAGGGGCGAGGGAGGGGGGGAATGCAGGGGAAGAGCAAGCGAGGGAGGACGCTGCACGGGTGACGGAAAGGTTTCTGAGACCACCGTCTCCTGAGGCTGCATCCGATGCTGTCACGAGGTGCGCTCTCACCATCACAAGGTGCACTCTCACCATCACGAGGTGTGCTCTCACCATCACGATGTGCACTCTCACCATCACGAGGTGTGCTCTCACCATCACGATGTGCACTCTCACCATCACGAGGTGTGCTCTCAAGGAACACCACTTATTGGTGGTGGTAGACATTGCGTGGCTGCAGAATCGGAGTTGTTAGCAGTTTGTTAAAAGAAACAGGCTTGTAAAAACCTGTGTTTGTGTGTAGAAAAAACTTCTTGTGAAAAATAATCCGTGGTAACTAGTTTCGGCGTAGAAGCCTTCGTCAGACCACAAGAAAGCAAATGAGACCTCGAGGCTTATATAATGCCCTCGAGGGGATCCCGCTTCTATTGAGCTCGCAGGGAAACCCAAGTCTCAGCAAAAAATTCTACAGTAACAGAATACACTACGCTAGCACTTACGAGCAGAAACTAAAAAGCTTCCAACCCTTTTTGGCAATTTCCATGCCAGAATAGCTCGCCTCCCTGTAAACACATCGCGTGACATTGTATCCAGGTGTGTTTTGAGTCGACTCAAAAAGGACCCCAGGCGCGAACGATCAACCAACAGGTTGAGCAGACATTTCATCACCAGGGGGCCGCGACTTGAGGAGTTGCGAAGAGAATCGGCGCGTAGTAGAAGTTCAGAACGTTCAGAGAAACTGACACTCTTGAAAATGGGGAGAAGAAACCGTTCGGGGTAACCGCGAACACGAAGTCTTACGAAAAATAAGGCGCGGGAGTTGAAAAAATCTTCACGCGAGGAGGATCGCAGAAGGAATCTTCTCAGTTCGCTACGAATGAAGCTCACTTTAGTGCTCCTGGTATGGTAGGAGTTGAACGGTAAATAGAGATACCGGTTCATCGGCTTCTGGAAAAGCTTGCAATCCAAGATACCCTTTTCTTGAAAACGTTTACCCGTAAAGAAAGTAACGTCCAGAAAGTCCATGGAATGAACTGAAATGTTCCAGGTCAGTTTAATGGATGGATGGAGACGGCACCACTCAGGTCACACGTCCACTGGACCCCACCCCACTCTCCCTGTATGCTCCAGGCTTCTCCCCTTGTGCCCATCCCCTGCCCGTTCGTTCCCATTGGTGCGTTGGTGAACCTGATTGGCTTGCTAGGGTGAGCGTTGATTGGGTGCCAGCACGGATGGCCGCCCGGGATAAGCAGCAGCAGACACCGCGCATTGCATGGTGTATGGGTGGAAATGAAAAGGGATGCTGGAAGGGAAACAGCATGGCAGCATGTGAGGTGACAATGCAGCAGGGCGCATGGGGCAGTGGTGGCGTTGGTGATGCTGGCGATGACGCACATCGTGCACAGCCAGCCTGGGCGAATCGCGGCACACTGTGAGGAGGAAAACCCTACTTGTGCGTGGGCTTGCACGGCAGCTGACTTGACTCACAGCTGCTTTGCTGACGTATGGCTGCTGCAACCCCACCCTGAGAGCAAGCAGCCCTGCAGCGGCGGCACCTTGAGCCTGCCTGCTGCAATCCACCTTGAGGGGAAGATTCCCTACAGTGGCGCTACCTTGGGGAAGGACGCAGCCGTGCAGAGGCATGGCTGCTGTGGCGTTACCTTGGGGAAGGAGCCCTGCATGTGGGAGCACACTGTGGGCATCAAGGTCATTTGCCCTTGAATCGACAGCCCTACTGCACAGGGAGTGCTGTACCCGCTCGTGCTGCTCCTCCCTCGCCGCCCGCCGCTGCTCCTCGCTCTGCCTGCCCACCCGCACACGGTGAGGTGTCACTACAATCGGAATGATTGTGCGGGTCATATGAAACCCTATACAGGTCAGCGCACGCATTCCATCTCACTTGAAGGAGTGTCCAGCCCTGGCTCAACTTAGTATCTAGATTTTTAGTAGGTGCCGGGCAGGAGAACGTGCCAGTCGCGTCATCTGGCACAACCTATAGTTTGTACTATACGCCTTCGAATCTTGTGGAGTCTCATCGTCGACTTGACATTGGCTTACCCGACGTTGCGGCATCTTAGCGAGCACCTGATTCGTCACTAATATACTGCCTGACGTGGCTTGGATTACTGCGAGAAGAGGCTCGGGGCGCGGAGTTTATCGTGGCTTAGCCCGCCCTGGAAGGCATTGTCACGCGATAGGCGCGTCAACCGTGTGTCTAACCGTCTGCGGCTAACGGGATAAATATGGCCTCAAAATATGTGCATTTCATCAAACAGAGCATGCAAGGCGAGCTGCTGCGATGCCGCCTGTATCTTACCTTTTTGCCTGTGAATGGTGCCTCGAGCACTTCACGCAACGCACAGCGCTGGTAGCTCACAAGCTGCATAGTCACGAATGCCGTAGGCAACGCAGGCGGTACCTTCGGTTCCTCCGTGCCAACCCCTTCGCTGACATCAATGACTATTTTGCCGAGGCATCTCTGACTGCCGAAGACGAGCCGACATCCGATGCTGAAGATGAAGGAGACATGGAAGAGGTGAGCCCATTCATGTGTAATGTTGCTGTATAGGTTGGGCTTTCACTGCACGCATGTGAGTAGCAGACTTAACCAAGTCCGGCCTTTATTCCGTTTCCGTGCAGGGCTCTGAAGGCCAACCCCCCGGCGGTGCAGGCACCAACGAGGAAGTGCAGTCGGAGGATGGGTCTGACTGGGAGAGCGACTTCGACGACGGTGATTCAACTGAGAGCGATGATGACGACAGCGCCGTCGACGAGAACGATTTCAACACAGCCTTAGAGTTCTTCCGCTTCGTCATCGGATGCAATGGCGGCCAAGGACTCAGCGACGAGGCCACGGTCTGGCTTTTCAAGCTCCTGCGCGACCCCCGCCTGGATCTGGAGGCTATTCGCCGCTGGCGAACCAAACACGCCGTCCTTCAGTACGGACTTCGCCTCATGATGGCGAGGCGGGTGTACAGGCAGGTGGAAGTGCGCATCCCAGGGATCGACCACACATTCGAGCTGATGTGTACCAGCCCTATCGAGGTACGATTTGCAATCAGAGTTTGCACTTGCCTCTGTCCACCCTTCCTTCAGTCAACACTTGCCTCTGTCAACACTTGCCTCTGTCCGCCCTTGCCTCTGTCCGCCCTTGCCTCTGTCCGCCCTTGCCTCTGTCCGCCCTTGCCTCTGTCCGCCCTTGCCTCTGTCCGCCCTTGCCTCATTTCGCCCTTGCCTCATTTCGCCCTTGCCTCATTTCGCCCTTGCCTCATTTCGCCCTTGCCTCATTTCGCCCTTGCCTCATTTCGCCCTTGCCTCATTTCGCCCTTGCCTCATTTCGCCCTTGCCTCATTTCGCCCTTGCCTATGTCCTCCCTTGACATTGTCCGCACTTGCTCCGGCACAGGGAGTCGTGGAGATATTCGGCCACCGTGACAATGCAGATGGCTTCCAGCTGTTTGCCCGTCCGGTACACTCGGTGGCGGGACGCGTGTACACAAGGCCGGAGACTGGTCTTCTGTGGGAAGCCGCACAGGTACGGGACTGTGTTTTTGGGTTGTACCCCCTTTGTAACTAGTTTATGGCGTTTCTCATCTGGGTTTCTCCAAATGGGGCCGGCCACAAATCACAATCCTGTTTCCCACGTTGCTCAGTTATTGTGGTGATCTGGAACGAAGCTGCCCTTGTTGTGTTTGTTGTTGGCAGAACGCCCTGGACGAGATCTATGGCCCGGGCCAGGTGGTGGCCCCCATCATACTTTCAAGTGATGCTATGATTCTCAGCGGGAACGAGCGCGTGAAAGTTTGGGCGGTTTACCTAAGCATCGCCAACATCCACCTCCGTCTCCGTTGGGGTGATTCGGGGAAGATTCTGCTTGCACTACTCCCAATGCCTGTCCATGGAATGACGGCCGAGCAGAAGGTGCAGCTCTTTCAAGCTGCGATGCAGGTGGTCCTCGCTGACCTGATTGCCGCATCACACACGTGAGTGCCAGCAGCCATTGGCCCAGCCAAAGCCGCAGTCCGCCCTTCACTCAGTGTTTTTCTATTGCCTTAACACGCCCTTGGCTCTTTCCGTCATTGCGTCAATGTGCCCTTGGCTCTGCCCCCCTGGCATCTTTCTGCCTTTGCCTCTCTTCGTCGTTGCCTCAATACTCCCTTGCTACAGGGGGATTGCGGCCCGCGATCCATGGGGGGTGGACCGGGTCATATGGCCTCTGCTCTTCTCGTACGTAGCAGACTTCCCAGAAACCTGCAAGGTTTCGTGCACTCAGCAGCATGGCAGTCATATGCCATGCTCCCTGTGCTACGTGGATAGGGGGCAGCTCAGGAACATGACGGCAGCTGCGTCGGAGTCGCGCTCTGTGGACCAGCAATCGTCACTGATTGCCAATCCTCGGCTGGCCAGGACGTACTCCACGCTCTGTGTCGCGGTATGTATCGGCTCTAAGTTGGAGGTTTGCGCCTGTCGTGGCCTGGTTGTTCAGCCCATGCGGTAGGCACCGTGTTTACGTCGTTTTTGCTCTGTGCATGCAGTCGTTCCTCTGGGAGTGGAACTTCTCCCGTACACTTTGGGGGAACACCTACCTCTCCCAGATGCCAGACATCCTACACATCATCTACCTCGGGTTCTGGCTGTACCTTCGCGCTGCACTGCGTGGCCCTGATTCCCGCGCCACCACCTTAGACAGGTACGTTTGCCCCTAGGCATTTGCTAGGCGGGTGTCCAGCTCGACTGTCCGCACTTGCCTTTGTCCGTCCTTACTCTGTCCGCCCTTGCCACTGTCCGCCCTTGCCTCTGTCCGCCCTTGCCACTGTCCGCCCTTGCCTCTGTCCGCCCTTGCCACTGTCCGCCCTTGCCTCTGTCCGCCCTTGTCTCTGTCCGCCCTTTGCCTCTGTCCGCCCTTGCCTCTGTCCGCCCTTGCCTCTGTCCGCCCTTGCCTCTGTCCGCCCTTGCCTCTGTCCGCCCCTTGCCTCTGTACGCCCTTGCCTCTGTCCGCCCCTTGCCTCTTCCCGCCCTTGCCCTGTGTGTACTTGCTCTGTCCGCCCTTGCCTCTGTCCGCCCCTTGCCTCTTCCCGCCCTTGCCCTGTGGGTACTTGCCTCTGTCCGCCCTTTGCCTCTGCCCGCCCCTTGCCTCTTCCCGCCCTTGCCCTGTGGGTACTTGCTCTGTGCGCCCTTGCCTCTGTCCGCCCTTGTCAATACGCATTTGCCTAATGTGATGCAACCTCACGAGGTCAAACCCACTGCGATTGGTGCCCAAGATGTCTCCGGCATCGTTTCACTATTGCTTGCTTTCGTTGCTATCAACATTCTTCATATGGTGCAGGCGTCAGAATGCACTACACCCAGGCGCCAGGCAGGCGGGACTGCTAACTCCTGGAGACGCGAGCTACTGGGTCTCTGGTGCCAACTTCACCGCGTCGGAGCATGCCGCTGTCATGATGGTGCGCCCCTACCTTCTAGTTTATGCTCTCGTACGAGTGCCCAATGGACGTGATGGTTGTCAGATGGCATTTGCTGACTACGCGCTTCCTGTGTGGCAGATTGTACCATTCGTGCTGGAGGGGGAAGTTGCGGTCATTTGTAGCCGCACGATTGTCGCCTTTCTGGACTGGCACGAGACTTTCGTGCGGGCTGCGGAGCACACGGATGAGAGTCTGAGTGCATTCGACACTGCCACTCGCAGGTATGCTGTGTGTGAGCTTGTCCACAAGCGCTGCAGTTGCCGCCAGCGTTATGCGGGAGTCTAGTCTAATGCTTGACACTTATTCTCTTTGTTTCCATGCTTTCAGGATGGTGCAGTTGGTGGAAAGCACCTTTCCACGCGAGCACTCTGGGTGGAACCTTGTGAAGGTGCACCTGCTGCTTCACCTTACTGAGGCGATTCGAAGGGGGGGCCTGCCACGAGAGTACTCCGCAGCGGTGTACGAGAACGCACACATCCGCACCTGCAAGAGGCCGTACCGACAGTCCAACCATCGGGACGTGGGGCGTGTGATTGCGCAGCACAACACCAACGCTGCTCTACTGACCCGTATCCCAACCAACCTCGAGGGCAACCGCCAGTACAACACCGCGATGCGCCGGGTAAGGACGCATGTAAGGATCCCTAATGTGTGCTGTAATTATGCATGTCGGGTCATTATGCCATTGCCCTTTGCCTCTGTCCCCCCTTGCCTCTGTCCCCCCTTGCCTCTGTCCGCCCCTTGCCTCTGTCCGCCCTTGCCTCTGTCCGCCCTTTGCCTCTGCCCGCCCTTGCCTCTGTCCGCCCTTTGCCTCTGTCCGGCCTTGCCGCTCTGAGCGGTATGACTGAGGGGTGGTGATAGTTTAAAGGCTTGTGGGCTGAAAGACGTTGTCTGGCCCCATCCGCCTGTTTGGCGGGTGCTGAGTTGCAGACCATGTGTTCATTTGCCCCCCCACACCCACATGTCATCACACTGCAGGCAATCGCCAGTGGGCTGCCTCAGCTGTGCCGCCAGCGATCCAGGATGCACAGCGCGATCACGGACAGGGAGCAGGCTCCCCTGGACCTGTACGCGACGTTCGATGCCGCAATCCCGGGAGGCATTGGGCCATACGCCTACTTGACGCGCCTCTTTGGCTACGTCTCTTTTCCGGCGTGGGTAAGTACTGGGTTCTGCTGCCCCCATGACAACACCATGCTCGCTCTCCTTTTCCACCATGTTTTTTAACGTACTACCACCCTGCCACGTCTCCTGCCCCCTTACCCCTCTCGTGCCATCAGGTCCACACGGCGCTGGCTCTACCAGCCCGCGGGACGGACCACGGCCTGATCAGGCCACACTATGTCCGCGCCAACCCCTCTCACCACGGTGCTGCCACATTCTCGTTCATTGAGTACGAGGATGGGACTGGGGAGACCGTGGTCGGCCGCGTGCACCTGCTCCTGACGCTGATGATGAACAGCGAGGATGCACACCCCGCGGGAGAGGCCGTGGCCTTCGTGAGGCAGTGGTACCCCTACCTGGAGGACGAGTGCACTGGCTGCATGAGGATGCGGCCATCTGATGACGAGCTGAGCTACAACCTTGTGCCGGTCGCCTCCGTGCAGAGGACCGTGCACATGGTGGAGTCGTTTGTGACGCCTGGCCTCTGGTATCTTAACAGGTGGGCTGGCCGATGCCGCGAGGAGTTGCCCTAAGGCCGCCCAGGAATGTGGAGTGAATCAAGGTTCTTCTTTTGTGCTGGAATGATTGTCACCAAGCCATCTCTATGGTTTGGTTGCTACTAGGAAAGTGGAGATGCGTGTCGGTACTTGCCTCTGAAATCTATTTCTTTCCAATTGGGTGTTATCGTAGCTTGGAGGGGTCCCTTGTGTGGCTAGTAGTTGTTTTGTGCCTTTTTTTTATAATATTTTATTCTGATGGACGTGAAGTTTTTTGTTGAATCACAGGCACAACAATATGTTCTTAACTCTTATCGGATGCTACAGTTTTGAGATGTTAACACGGAAGCTTGCAGAGCGTATACCAACCCCAGCTGGAGACACAATGTGAAAGGGGTTGCATTGGTAGTAGCTAGCGTGACAGTGCGCAGGCAATGCCTGGGCCGGAAAAATTGCTTCGGGAGTGCACACAGCTTTCGAAGCCATGCCCCAGCGCGCATGGCTGATGGATACGCCGGATGTTGACAGGTTTTGGGCGTCCCGTTTTTTATGAGGCTGCTGCTCGCGCCACCCCCCACTTTCGTTGTAGTTCCGCAATTACCGCTACCGCCACCTCTCGTACCATTATTAGCACTCGTAGTGTTGGTAGCGCTGCTTGTTCCCCGCGCCGCACTCCCCTCCTTGTAATGCGAGTGCAATGGCGTGCCGGACATTCCGCTCCGGAATTGCGACTCCGCCTGCACGATCCGATTTTGCAGCCATCCCGCGAGCTCGGCGCGCAACGAACGGGTTCGAGCATACGAAAGAATTAACGCTACGGTCGGTCGATAACGAAGCTTGTTGGGAGTTGACGAGTACCGGGAGGCAGTTCTCGAACTAAATCGCTAGGGGATGGGCCTGACATGGCGAGACATGTTACGAATCTCCACAATCAGACATTGCGTGAATGAGATTCTCCACAGGAGGTACATGCTCGTGAAGGGACGGAGGAAGCCATTATAGATGTTATCGTTTATAGTTCGACGGATCAACATCGCCGCACGCTGTGGCCAAACCTTCGAATCCCAGGCAAAACGCGATACTTTTTGTCCCGTTCAGGAGAATTGCATGAAGAATAGTTGCTTTGCTACTAGTTTCTGGAGTTTTGCATTTACTTAGATTTGGACCGCGCTTGCTTCAACTTCCAGTCGCCCGGTTTTCCACGCCGATCAATGACGCATGACTAACGGTAAAAAAAAAAAACAAAATTAAATATGGTTTGGGGGTCGAATAGTAACCCAAAAACTTAATTTAGACCCAGTAAGCGAGATAAGCGAGATGTCATCGTCGATCGCGCTGGAGACAGCGCGACCGGATTGAGAAGTATTCGCGGTCAAGAGAAACAATTAATTACAATTTAAAAGTTAAAATATCGAATCGATGATCCCTTCTTCATTGTTTTCCATGAATGTTGGGCTGGTTTGATCTGGAGCCTCTGATTGGCTGCGGAACTGATTCGTGCAATGATTCGGTCAAGCGGCCGAATTTCCCGCCAAAAACGGGACTATAGGGGTCGGGCCAGGCCTAGGCGATATCGAAAAAATCTACTCAGGGGGGAAAAGGGACTCTCTCAGCGAGGGCCTCTAACCCGGAACATTTGTATCCTTTTCCTGGTGAAGGATGTCATTTTGGGTAGGCTGCGAAAAATGATAATGGGTTCCTGTATCGAGTCATACGTGTGTACCACAAACAAAGCTTGTTACGAAGAGCACCGCGAAAGTTGGGCGAACAGCCGATGATGATATTTGCGAATTGTCTCGTATCACTAAAAGACGAATGTGACCATAATGTTGGACTGTCGGTCAGTCGTGACACACGATAACAAAACATTATCTGGTGCGCTGCGTTCCAAAACAGTAACCGTCATTGACCTGAACGACGCTGTATGTGCATCAGAGTCCTAGGGTGGGGGGATGGTGGGTGGGAACGCATGCGGGAAACATTGTCGGTTCAGGGTTGCCTTTGAAAGACTTTGGTAACAAGCGTTGAAAACATTTCATAACGTTTATAAACGATTTATCACGGTATAAAGGGAATTTCAATTCTTGAACAGCGTGGACTTGAGATGTCTGCCACCCTGACGGATCTGCTCTGCGAACTTTGTTTCCATTTCGCGCCACGCGCCACGACGCACCAACGTGCACCTTTTAATTGCTGTGTTGGCCACCTCTTGCTAGACTCCTGAAACAATGGGTCCACTCCGACCACATTGTTCCTAGAAATATTGGTGTCACCACGACAAGTTGTGATGTCGCCAATTATCGTTGGATTACGTGCCTCGGAAAGTGGGTAGGCAACAACAGTTCGATGTGACCCAAGTTGAGCTTGCCTCTAATACTGTACGGTAGTAATTCGACGTGGGCCAGCGGCGTTCCCTCCGTGAGTGCCGTAACTCGTTCATTGCTAAGAAATTCCTTCCCATCCACCGTCTCTTTCATACTATATTCTTGCCACTGTGGTGTGACATTAGTAGTCAGAAAACACCCCTCGGACCGCACAGCAGAATAGCGTGTGCAACTCAATCTGATCTTGCCCCCTAAGCGATTCAAGCAGCAATTCCCCTTGGTTCTGGCAGCGTTTTAAACGGACGGTCCCGCCATGAGCTTGTCGTAACTTATTTTTTTCTTTCAACCAACAAAGCCTAACGATGGTGGCTGCGCGTTTCCTTTCGACTACATTGGCACTGGTAGTGCTGATGGCGCTCCATATGAGAGCCACGTCAGCGATCAGCTTCTTAAGCACTGAGGCCGGAAAAGTGCAATTGTCGCTTAACTGCGACTGGGTCGGCAACGACATTGGCCAAGCCGCCGGCAAGAACGACACGTGCGGGAAGCTGTGCCTCAGCCGCGCGGATTGCACGCACTTCACGTGGACGGCCGAAAACGGCGGCACGTGCCGGCTCAAGGGGGCAATGAACGCCACTGAACTGGTCCCCACCACTGGCACGTCGTGCGGTTACCGCGTCCGCGACAACGGCGCGATCGGCAACCCGTACAGGGGAGTTCAGCAGTACCTAAACCCGGAGTACGCGGCGAGCGTGAAAGCCGCGATGCTCGCGTCTCCCAAAGATGCGTCTGTTTTCGCGAGCGTGGCGCAGTATCCGACGGCCGTGTGGCTCGACAAGATGGCGAAGCTAAACACCATCCAAGGTCATCTGGACAACGCTGCGGCTCAGGCGGGGGGAAAGCCGATTCTCGTGCAATTCGTGATATACGACCTCCCGGGCCGCGACTGCCATGCGTATTCGTCTAATGGGGAGATTCCCAAGGGCGGCCTCGCCACGTACAAGGCCAAGTACATCGACGTCGCCGTGGCGCGCCTTAAAAACAAGACGGCGAACGTGCGCCTATCGCTCGTGATCGAGCCCGACTCGCTGCCGAACCTCGCGACGAACTTGGGGTCAGCTCAGTGCGACGCGACGACGGAGAAGGAGTACACGGAGGGCGTCGCTTACGCTATCGCGAAGCTCTCGCAGATTCCTGGCACGTCGCTGTATGTCGACTCGGGGGGCGGCGGGTGGCTCGGTGAGTGCGTATGCCGCGCGCGGTTCGTTCCGTTCCATTTTTTAGGCGCCTCAGAAATAGATTCCGTTCCATGCAAATCTGTTTCCTTCCTATCCTTCCTCCCCTTTCAGCCGTGGCCCTACTTCCACCGTTTCGCTTCGCACTCCCCCTCACCCCACCCCACCCCTCAACCCTTACCTGCTCGCCTCTCAACGCTTGGACAGGCTGGCCGAATAATATGAAGGCCGTCGTGACGGTGTACAAGAAAGTCCTCGTGCGCGCGCAGAAGATCCGCGCAGGCGCCAAGATCCGCGGCTTCGCGTCCAACGTGGCCAACTACAGCCCGCTCTTTTCCTACCGCTGCCCGGCGGCGGAGAGATGCCCGCTCACGAAGCACCCAGGCACGGGCGAGATGAATTACGACTGGAACCCGTGCATCGACGAGAACCGTTTCACCGCACGGATGAATGCGTACCTGGGAGCCTTGGGATTGCCGACCAGGTGGATCGTGGATACGAGCCGGTCCGGCCGCGCTGGCATTCGCAAGCGCTGGGGGTCGTGGTGCAACGTGAAGGGCGCGGGGATCGGACAGCGCCCCCGCGCGAATCCCGGCAGTGCTCCGCAACGTGAGCACTTCACATCACGCGCATCCTTGCTGTTTCTTTTCGCCTCTTTTTTGTCTTTTTTGGCAAATATGTTTTGAAAAAGTCGATTCCTCCAGTAGTCACATGCCGCCGTTCCTTTTCCACACACCTTGCTTGCCCGACAGTTGATGCTTTGGCTTGGATCAAGCCACCTGGGGAGAGCGATGGCCATTCGTAAGTAAAAATGCAGGACAAACAGCTCGTTTCAATTTGTTCTTAATACTGCACTGTCGCTCTAATTGATCCTAAACATGCGGAGTGATCCTACCATGTACCTAATATAGTGTCTTTCTTCTCTTTCTGTGAGTTAATCATCATATCATCTGGGCTATTCTTCCTTGCACCTTCACTCATCTCATCTCCCTTCTCTGCCATGGCTATGCTTCGCTTTACCCTTCACTCATCTCGCTTCCTACCTCCCCCCGATGCATCCAATCCAGAAAAAAAATTGGTATTTCCCTGGTGGATCGCGAATGCGACCCCCTCGACCAGCTGGGCGCGGAAGCCTTATCTGGCGCGCCCCGCGCTGGCAAGTGGTTCCAGGCGCAATTCGCCATGCTGGTTCGGAACGCCAACCCGCCCATGCCTGCTGCAACCATGACATGATCAATAAGGGGCCGAAGAGTTGAAGGATGAGTTACCAGAGGCCAAGTGATTCGGACCTCTACGTTGTAGGCTGGGAGCTGCCCAGGCGGCAACGAAAGGAGTTCATAACACAGTCTCGTGATTTTCTTACTCAATTTAATTGGCCCTAAATGGTGTGTGCCACCTCCCCTATCGACTTTGCTTTGCTGGCCCACAAAGCTTGCCTCTCCCTCTCCATCCCTTTTCCTCTTCTCTTTCCTTCCCT